AGTTATTTTTGCTTGGAGTAAGTTCAATAGAAATTTTTCCTGCCCAGTTTGGCAAGTATCTTAAAAACCTGAAGATGAGGAAAGATGACAAAGGAACTCTAAGTTTCAGTTTTACTTTAGTTGCAGCAGTTCCATCTGAACCAGAAAGGTTAACATAAACTCCTGGAACGTTAGGGTCAAGTCTTCTTATTTTCTCAATAGTTGCATATTGGTCTGTTTGTTCTCTAGCTTGTGGTTGTACTGAGTTTCTCAAAGCGAACCATTCATAGTTTGCCCATGTTACTGTTTGAACTAAGTCAGAGTTAGAATATATCTTATATCCCATGAAAACTTCTGGAGCATATTGGTATCCGACATAGAAAATACCATTGCAACCTTTCTTGTCAGACAACTTGGCAGAAGGTTTTATTTCAATGTCTTGTTCCACGTATAAGAATGAGTTGTCAATAGAAATAATATGAAACCTGTCGCAAGCAATATCTACTGTTGTTGAAGAACCTTCTCCAAACTCACCTACATTTCCATAAGAAACAGCAGTTGTATATTCGTAAGTTCCAGGAACTATTTCTGACCTTCTAATGGCATTGTCGCATTCGTTATACCATTCGGAAACATTTCCGTTCATGGCATCCAAAACTGTTGGCGTTATATTCTGAGCGGCGTACATTTCATATGGGTAAAAATATAGAATAGTTGGATTTATGTGTCATAATAGAACCCACTCGGACCAAGCTTTACTTTCTTCCTGACTGAGTTTTTAACTCTTCTTTTTCCTTCATTGCCACTACTTTCACTAGATGAAGTTACTTCTTCACTACTTTCACTTTGTTCTACTCTTCTCTTCTTCTTTGGTGTCGCTTTTGGTAACTTGCCCTCTGCTTCAAGTTGTTGCATCTTTGCCTCATGTTCACCGAGTATGTTGTAAATTTCCCATGTCCTTTTTGCCTTTGGGCTCTGGTCGCCCATCTCAGGTAACCTATATCCTAGAAAGAGTTTGTCATAGTTTGTATTTGAGTCTTCGCGTATTGTTTGCATGACTCTTTCCTGAGTTTCCGGTTCAAGCTCTTCAAACAGAGCTTGTCCATATGGAATAAGCTCGTTTCCAAATATATGTTTTTGTAGCCATTCTGGTTTTCTTTCCATGTTACCAACAATATCTTTTGTGAATGGGAAAGCTTTTACCCAATGTTTCAGGCTTGCGTCATTTATTTCTGTAGTTGGTTTTATTTTGTCAAGGAACATGTTTTTCAATACTAACATTTCATTTGGTACTGTCCATTTGAGTTTTCTTAAATATTCATCCCTTCTCGGTTCATTGTCTGCAAAGTAAGTTTTTATGACATTTTGTAAACTTTCGTTTGCAAGGTCATGTACAATAGGTTCTCTTCCTTCGCTCTCCCTAACTTTCTTTCTAAACTCTTCACCAAATATACCATCTCTATGGTTCTGTGTAGTTCTTTGAGATAAATGTTTTAGAACGTCAGGTGTTATATTTCCATCAGCCATGTTCATTTCATACTGGTCCAAAATATCTGCATCTTTCAATCTTTCAATGGCATTAAAGCCGCGCTGAAAATACCAGCTATATCTGGTTCACCATTCACTTCCATTGCGTCTACAACTTCTTGGAATTGTGGTTGTAAGTTTATGAACCACCTATCCGGGTTAGCTTTATGACCCCATCTCATTGTAGTTCCATAGTCTGCAGAAACAAAAGTAGGTTTGTTTCCATATTGGTTAGGTTCTGAATGAACTTTAAACAATGTTTCATTTCTATATGTTTTGTTGAAATTTAACCTTTTATTTTCACCGAGTTCAGCCAAAGATTGAACGTTATATGGTCGTAAGTAAAAAGGGTTATTGTATTTGCGTACATTTTCTTTCAGTACTTCCATTCTATGCTGAATATTTTCATCTGGTGTTGGAGTCTTTTGTATGTCGGCAAACATTTTTCGATATTCTTCTACCATGTCAGCCGAATTTTTCTTAGACTCTTGGAAAGATTCCATATTCACCTCATACTCTTGTTGAGGGTCAAGATTTTTCGGCTGTTCCAAATCTTCATCTAGTTCTGTGAAGTTAGTTTCCAAAGGAGGGACTTGTTCGTTTCCTTCAGGCTCTTCTAGCTGTTGTTGCTGAACTATTTCTTCCATGTCTGGTTGTATCTGAACTTCTTCCTGTGGAGTTTCTTGTACCTCATCTGCTGGCATTTCATATATTCCGAGACCGTTTTTAACAAGTTCCCTATCTAAGTCATCCGGACTCATAAACCTTTCTTCTTTCGTTCCGTCTCTATTTTTTACGCGTTTCATGAAGAGAGTTGAATTGTCATTTAGCTCTGACACCAAATATCTCGGAGTAAATTCAGTCATGTCATTTGGATGATATGCTATTAAATCATATCCCTTAGCGAGCTTGTATTTTCCAGGTTTGAAATTATATCCCATTTGGTGCTGAGCCATAAAGCTAAATAGGTTCGGGTCAGTATTTCCTTCCTTGAACTTTCTAATAGCTTCTTTATATCTGTCACTAAAGTCAAGAGTATCTGGGTAACCATAATCTTCCTTTAGCATTTTTAAGAATTCTTGGTTTCCTTGTTCTCTACTTCTTTTATGTCCTTGCTCTGTTTGTGGTTGTTGTTGTGCAGGATTTTGAACTGTTGGTTGCTGTGCTGGTTGTGGAGGTGGTTGTTGTGCAGTGTTTTGAACTGTTGGTTGTTGTGTTGGTTGTTGTGTTGGTTTTGGTGCATGCCTGTGTCTGTGTCCATGTGACGATGTAAATGTTTTAGGTAGTCCTGGTGCAGGTGCTTCTCTTGGAGGGTTTGGTGGTATATAAGTTCCACTAGCTAGTATATAAGTTCCACCAGCTGGTATATAAGTTCCACCAGCTGGCACATATGTTCCATCTGCAGCATAATGTCCTACCTGACTTTTCGTTTTTAAGAAAGCATTTACTAGGTCTGTTTTGGTCTGTTGTAACTCTTTTTCTTGACTTTCCACAACAGTTGCTCTAACGGCGTCATAGGCACTTTGAACTGCCTGTCTCGTTGCTGCATCTGTTATTTTCGTCATATTTTGTGCTACTTCTCTTAACTCTTTGTCGAAACCTTCAGACTTCAGTTTCTTTCCAGATGAGAAAGTCGTTCACTAGTTTCACCTTACTATGAAGAGCTTCGAAGGCGTTCTTAAAGTCAGCATTCATTAAAGCTTCATTTGAACTGTCTTCATCCGCTTGTATTTTTGTCCTTATTGACCCTATAAGTTGGGCTGCTTTGGCGTTGGCTTGGGCATCTAACCAGTCATTGTTAGCTTTTATATATTCTGCGCTTTTCATTGCCTTTTGCATGGCTGCGTCGTTATTTTTACTTTCTTGTGCTAAGTTTTCATACTGTACGGTTTGGTTTTGCAACTGTAAAAGTTTTTCTGCCTTTACATTTGCTTCAACTTCTTTTTATACTCATCGCTATCCATATATGTCTTCAGGGCTTTTTGTTTTATCTCTTCATCTTTCAGTACTTTATATTGAGTAGTATGGTTTTTCAAATTTACAACATCTTGTTCCATTTTTTGCTACTTCTGCTGCTTTTTCTGACACTTTTTTCGCATATTCCTCTGTACTTAGTTCTTTCAGTTGTTCTTCTTTCTTCTTTTTCTCAACGTTTAACTCATTGAGTTTCTTTGTGTGTCTGTCATATTCTAGTTTCTTTTTTTCACTTATTGTTTCTGTATGTCTATGTTTGACTTTTTGACATCTTATTTGATTTTTGAGTGAACTCAAATTCATTTACTTTGAGGTTATAGCTGTTCCGTCTGCAGCTCCACCATAGCCTGCCATTTTCGCTAAAAGTGCCGCTCTTAAACCTCCACTCTGTGCACCAAAAACTCGTTTAAAAGCATAGGGTTGCTTGACATTTTTGCAACATAGTGGGGTCATTCATTATTTGTTGTTGCAACTGTTTTGTGGTGTCATTTTACTATTGGATGTTTCAATGCTCTCTTCCTCTTACATATTCTTACGTAGCTTACGTGGCATTTTAAGTGAAGTTAAAAAGCGGTTTTTGACAGATGTTTATATGACACTTTTCCGGTTTATAGGACCTCTCTCATATTCTATCTTGTCATATCTAAATCATAGTCATGTATGTCCTCTAACCATCTCATAACGGTTTCCAAACCACTTTTATCGGATGTAAAGTAAAAGCATGGATGGTTATGTAAAACGTCTAAAGTTTCTAAAGAGTCTCTCAAAGTATACTTCCTTGGAACGCCCGTAACTTTTCCTGTAGCGACGATAGACCCTTACTTGTCCGGACAAAGTTATACTATTTTGAGTGCTCTACAAAAAAGTCAACGACGACGACTCTCAAAAATTTTTTATGGGCTAGAGGGCGCAACGCGCCCGGGAAGCCCCCAATACCCCAAAAAACTTCATTTTATACTAAACATCTTCAGGGCTAGAGGGCACGAAGTGCCTGGAGGCCCCACTACCTTTTTTTTTTTTTTTTAAATGAGGACCATTTAAGGTCAATATTCCGAAATCTTTAATTAGAACATGGTCGATGAAACAGAATTTTTTTTTTCAACCCTCAGAATAATCAATATTTTTATTATTCGATTAAAAATATCAATGGCAGGTGTTGCATGACTTACAATAGGGAAAAAGGCATCAGAAATTTCATAGATTATATTCTAATCATCTCAATAAAAAAATTTTAAAAATGTTGTGTATTATTTTATGATACATGCAAATAATAAGGAAAAATGAATACAATTATTTCAATTATCAATTTTCAAAACTTATTCAAAAAAATTCATTTGAAATTTCAATTTTTAAATGATATTCAATTTAAGGAATTATGGTATATCTCGATAGAAAATGCATAATTATATTCAATTTTAAGTTGGCAGCTATTCAATGAGAGACGATAAATTAATTCTGTTTTGGGTATTTTTGTGAGTAGTGACGCTTCTGAACCTGGATTAACCACTTCTTCTTTGTTAATGCCAATAGGGAATCCTATTAATAGATTTTGTGATGACTTTTGCTCCAATTTAGTCGAAGATAATCTAATATCAAACTCAAAATCAGAAATTCAAGAAGAACCTCCCGAAAATTTTGAACTACAAGGTTATGCTATTTTACAGAAAATCGGAGAAGGCGCAGAAGCCTCTGTTTACTCAGCTACGAAAATCGGAACTTCAGATATTATAGCACTTAAAGTTTTTCGTAAAGATAAAAGACTTGGCACAGAAAAGCCGAAAGAAATCGAAATAGCTCAATCCTTAAATCATCCAAATTGCTTACCAATTTTAGGATCTTTTGTTACACCTTCAAATGAGTATGTTATATCAATGCCATTATCAAAATACGGAGCTTTCCAAATCTCAAAAAAGCCAGAATTAACGACATACGACGCTATTCGCTTCTTAGATCAAGTAGGAAGAGCATTAGAATATATGCACAACAACGGATATGTACACAGAGATATTAAACCACAGAATGTCCTTATTTTCGATTCCGTCCTTACATTATGTGATTTTTCAGTTTCAACGAAACTGAACAATCCAAACGAGCTGTTATCAGGAGAAATAGGAACATCATTTTTCATGGCTCCTCAAGTTGCAAATCAAGAACCATACAAGCCAAAACCTGCTGATATGTGGAGTTTAGGCGTTTCAGCTTTTGTATTAATTTACGGAACATATCCTTACGATTTACAGCAAATATACGACTCAGCTGGCATTAATAATCCCAAAAACAATGTTTCTAGAATTCAACCACTCGGAGATTTAGTTTTTCCAACTTATCCTAGCCTACCAACTGAGCTAAAAGATATATTAAGTAGACTGCTTGATAAAAACCCAGATACAAGGATGACAGCCACAGAATTAGTGAATCATCCTTTTATTCAACAATATAGAAATAAATGGAACAATATGGTCGCTCTCATGGAAGAGACTGATGCTAAATAAACTGTAAGTACTATCATTATTTAAATTTTAACACTTTTTTTTTAACATTTTTTTTTTAAAAGTGTTAAATGAGATACATAGGATAGATCTTGCTAAATGACTCAGCTAGTACAAGATCATCATCCAATATCACTCTTCATATTGCATTTAAAGCACAATAGCATGCTTATTTGTTCAAAATTATTCATTTCATAAATATCATCATCATTTGATGAAGGATCAATTACAGACTAAAGAAACACATGACAGGCTAGCTTAAATGATAGATGTGCATATATAAAAGATATGTTTCGATAAACTTCCCTTTAATTTGTCGAATTACACAACAATTTAAATTTTTCTTTAATGAAATCCAAAATTTCCTATACGAAATCATTTAGATCCAAGAAATACATAAACTCTATGATTTCAGAGACCTAATTCCTTTTCAGTAAACTTTGTTGTGGAATGAAAAAGTGACAAATTTTGAAAGGAAATATGCAATCTTCGAATTCTAACAAATTCGAGACTTTTACAGAGATACTTATGTACGTTCCAACTGCCATTATACTATTTATTTCATTTACATTCGCAATTTATATACTTAATTCGGATAATGATCCTCCAGCCTTACCTACAAATAGCAGAGATTATTCATATGATTGCCCATATATAAAACAAGAAAGTTTATCAGTCAATGATTCGAGATTGTCATTTAAATTTAAAGTTGGCGACTTTTTACAATTTCCCAAGCAAACTGCAATGTCAATGCTAAAGGTTGATGTACAAACAGGCCTATTTAAAGCAACATATAATATGTCAAGCATTTGGGATAGACAAGGAAATATTTCAGAAATTTCATTTAACGTTCTACATCCAATTATTGGAGATGCTATCATAACAACACGATGCGGCAACTACCCAATCGCTTTCGACCAAAAAACAATCTCTAGCGTTAATATTTATCCCATTGGATTCACTAGATTAATGCAAGGCTATTTTGCTTCAGCTATAGTTGGAAATGGTTGCTGGGAAAATACAGATATTTCATTTTTCATTACTAACGACATTCAAGTTCGTCCATTTGTCGTTGGAAAAAATGATTTTCAACCAGTTGCCGTAAACAATGGTAATTTCGATCCAAAAGCTTATGCGGATTACTTCAATATTACTTACTATGATTCTCCAAACGATTTGGCCGTAATGGCTGTGTTTGTAACTGCAAATCCACATTTTGCTTATGAAACAATCATAGATGTCATAATTCCTGTATCATTCTATTCGAAAAGTAATGAGGGATCAGGACATTGCCTTGTCCTCACCAAAGATCAAAACGATTTGCGTCCAATTGTTGAAAAAATTTTTGATGGCGAAATTATTGAAAAGGATAGAAAGGTTTGCTACAAGAATGGTGCTGTCTTAACATCATCAACAGGACTGAGATATGATATTGACCCAGATTTGCATAATTTCGATGAAAATCTTGGATATATAATTAGATTCCAAGAAATATTCAATATTGACAGAGAAATATTTGCTGATATCAAACAGAAGTTCACATCAAAGAAGATGAAGAACAAACAAATAACTGTTGTTGAGAAATTGAAATTTTTAATTCCAACTTTGAAGAATTTGTATCCAAAGGCTAAAATTGAGGTCATACACGATACAGATTCTATTTCATATATAGCAAGTATTGTTTCTAGGTCCAGAATTTTAATTGGGACAAATATCTTTAATTTAGCTTATTCTGTGTTCCTCAATGAAGGAGCAACATTGGTTGAATACCAAATATCAGGTGAAGAAGGAAGTAATTTGCTTTCAAAATGGGCTGAAGTAACAAAAACAAATTACTTAGTAATTCCTCACAAATACGACAACAAACCTATAGATTCATATTCAAATTATTTCAAATTAGTTAATCACCTTCCATTCCCACATCCAAATCCTCAATTAATTAAGGAAATTTTTGATCAAAAATTTCCAGATCTGAATTAATCTTTTGTAAGTAAATAAATGTTTTTAGTTATCAATTCTTCTTCTTTTTAAGCTATATTCTATATTGGCAAAAATATCTCAAATTTTTTATATAAGAAGTGATAATTTATATGGGATAATCGAAATACCATCTAATAGTACTTTTTAAGGATCATAAACAAACATGTTCTGAGTATTCCAAGTTTCTTATTATGATATTATATTAGTATTCTCAACAGACCGAATGACTATCGTAGAATTAGTGTCAAGTTTCGATTTGATATTTAACAGAATACTTCATCATTTAGCTTAAATTGAATTAGAATAAGAAAATTTTATTTAATTACTTAATATCAAGTTCTCAGCTGCATTTTCTTGAACATGGAAAATGTTTGGAACATGTTTTCCATGAATAGAAATAGCTATCGAATGAAATAAATAAACAAATCTTTATTCTAATATATTATTAAGAAGCAAACACTATGTTGTGTTTGTGTTCATATGATATAGCATAATACATATAGTATTTTGCTATTATTTAAAATAATCTAAACTAAATTTGTTCCTTTGATGGCTCTTGAAGCATGTATCCAATGGATAATCTTTTTATGCAGGGTTGTGAATAATATGCCTGTTACAATTGCACATCCAAGAGATTTCAAGATTATTATCAAATTTTCAACATTTTTATCATGCATTGGTCTTACATAAGAAGGATCTTGCTTAAAACCTATACCTGTAATTATAAATAGTGTAAATTTAGCATTGAACTCGCAATCAACATGATTTACGTTTTCTCCTACTTCTTTATCTTTTGTACCGGAAAACTTGCAATTAAACATCTTAGCATGTGTTCCTGCATTAACTGTTTTACCTTGAGCAGCATTACAATAATAAAATAAACAATCCGAAATTTTTCCAAACTGACGATTAAAATCAACTGTTATTGCAGCACTTGTTGAAGTTATAACTGATCCTTGACTGCATCTCATGAATATACAATCTGTTACTTCGAAATTAACTGAATAAGTTAAAACAAGACATCCGTGATGCATTGCAGCACTTATATTATGAAATACTACATGAGTAATGTATACAAACCCATTCTGTATCTCTGTGTCTCCAACACAGTCATTTGCTCGTACTGTTGTGTGATTTGAATCAAACATATTGAAAATTCCTTTGGAGTTTCTCATAATACCACCATGGTTACGAGAAGTGGATTTATGAATAACAGAGCTATTGAAATCAAAGTTAACAACAGCTTTTGTTCTTAATTCAATGGATCCTTTAGATGCAGTAGCAGAACATTGTATAAATGAGCAGGAGTTAATAGATAAGTTAGATGAACATACAATGGCTCCACCACGTAAAGCTTTACAAGATTGAAATAAAACATTTTCTAAAATTAATGGACTGGTAGCATAAATGGCTCCACCAGCAACATTTTCTTCAGTAATATTTTGGAATATTGTATTGGAAAGTGTTATAACATAGGTAGAATAAACTTCTCGATCTTGGAAAGTCTTAAATTCCGAATTAAGTATGATATCTTTGTTTATTAGAGGCTGAAATTGTAGATTTTGGTTTGAATTTAGGGATCTGTGTAAATATTTGATACAATTTTTCGAAAATATTTCTTTAAAAGGAGAAATTCTGTTTCCTATAGTTTCAGCATCACTGAAATATTCCAATTTCATCATAGAATTTGAGTGATAATATAAGATTGATAGGAACATTTCTGTGAATTAATTAAACTGAAACCAAATCTTCAAAAATTAAAAGTAAATGAACTAAATAATGCATAAACATAAAGGTTCGATACCAAATTATCGAAATTTTCAAAATTTTGAAATTTCGATATATTAAAGTAATAAATAAAAAGGTTTTGTAATTTAGCATCTATAAGTATAATTCTTTACTGCTTCTGCTGCTGCTTGAGGAGAGCCTGGTATTGCTCAGCTTTCTTCTTTGTAGCCTCACGCTTCTCCTTACGCTCCTTGAGCATACGGTTCTTGCGAGCAACACGGCGAGCTGTGATAAGGCGCTGGACCTTTGGAGATGTGAATTTGCCTGGCTTGACTTCACGCTTAAGAACGAGCTTGGAAGCATCGAACTTGGAGTCTGTGATGCCGAACATGGCGCGGAGTGTAGAGGCGCGCTTTGGACCGAAGCGGCGTGGAACGACTGTTGTTGTAAGGCCATCGATTTCCTTTTCACCCTTCTGGAGAACAACGCAGTGGAGGGCTGAGATTTCATCGGAGATGATGCAACCACGGACTGTCTTGCGCTTGCGCTCACCATCCTTACGTGGGCGGTAGCAGGATGCGCCGGTCTTGAGGAGAAGGCGGATACGGCGTGGTGTGATAACACCCTGCTTCATTGGGAAGCCTTGCTTATCGAAACCACCACCGATGCGGAAGAGATAGCCCTTGAATTGGCCACCGAGCTTCTCGCCTTCGATATCTTGGCCAACACGCTTTTCGTAGAGGGCGTTGAGGGCGGCTGGGTCATCAATATCGACAACAACTTGTGTACCGTTTTCTGGATAAGCGAGTGTAATTCTCATTCAGACAAAAGGATTTTCAAAACCAAACAAACTCTTTCAAAGTTCATATGTCTTTACAAGAATTTTTTTTGCAAGTTTACATGACAAAAAATTTATCGATATGCGTTCTAAATTTTCTTAGAAATCAACAAAGAATGGAGCCTATTCCAACATCCGTTCATGTTTGCTCATTGCAAACATCGGCAATAAAGAAAATAGCACAACAAGCAGTTGAAGAAGCTGAAAATGGAGACAAGATGACATCTTACAGACTGAAATGGTTAAATGTTGCAATGGAGTACAACAGACAACAGCAAATGCAGTATGTTTTCGCAAATTTAGGCTCTAAAGGTAAAAGTCCAAAGTTTAGAGCAATTAGAATGCGTCCGTTTTGGCATAACTGGAGAAGAGAAATTATTAGAATGGATTGGGATGAAATCAGAGAAAATGTTGATCGTAAAATGATGATACAGGATCTTTCCGAGACAACACGCTACTTTGAAAGCCAAAGAATCGAACTTGCTTCAAGAGCTTTCGCAAAGTCTCCAGAAATCATTGGAATGCCACTTGGAGACATTCTAAATATCAAACCAGCCAAGCCTCTTTATACATTTCAGACTCCAGGATCTCTTAGACCTGGATATTACAATCAAGGCTTTAATTACGTCGAATCTGCAGCTCTTTCTACCTTTTCAGATGTATCTGATTCAGAACCACAGACAGATAATGTTGATCCATGGGATAAACCACTTGAAGATGAATTTGTTGAATTAGCAGAAAAACGCGGCTTCATGGAGCCAAACAACAAAGCAAATGCCGCGAAGACAAGAGATATCAAACCAGAAGACGATGAAAATATAGACGAACCAGAGCCAGAAAAGAAAGAAAAAATTCAGAACGAAGAACCTGTTAAGAAGGATGAAATCGTTGAGAAATCTGCAAATACATCTACACCAAAGAAGAATAATTTAATTTATATCATTGCTGCTGTAGTTATCGCTGTTTTATTAGCTGTTGGCTGTTTTATTGCTTTCAAACACTTCAAAACACCTGCTACACCTGTAGTAAATAAGGCTCCTGCAGGTAAAAAAGCTCCCGCTGGAAAAAAGAAATAGATTTTTTTTTAATTAGTTAAAATGTTTCATTATATCGACAATTCATTTTTTTGAAACTAGCACTTATTTTTAATATCTTCAATTGATATAATTCTAGAAATATTTTTTGGAATTTTTAAAAACATTTGATTTCTCATGTGATAATTCACAGAATTGCATATCGTACAATACTGTAATAATTCTCAAATCCTTGTGAGTTAATATTTATGAAGGAAAAAATGAAAATCTAATCTTTGATCAGAAACATATTTTAGAATCAAAAAACGTATTAACATCAAATGACAAGATAAATGGAATATTTATTTTGACATAATTTCGGTGAATTTTTTTTCTCCAAACAAAAAAAATGGTTTTCTCTCGAAAGAAACAGGAGACTGAACGCATTTTTAATGTAGGCGTGAGGTCAACTGTTTCATCACATTCTAGTAATGTTGTTGTGAACTCGAAATATACATGGTATTCATTCCTTCCGCTTATTTTGTTCACTCACATCACTCGTTTTATGAATTTTTACTTTATTCTTATTGGTATTCTTCAATCTTTCAGAGAACTATCACCTGTCAATCCATGGACAACATGGCTTCCAATTATTGTTATTTTTGTTATCGCAATCCTCAGAGAAGGCTACGATGACATCAAATTACACAGGGAAGATAAGAAAATTAATGAACGAAAATACACAGGCTATGTAAACGGCGATTTGAAAGAAATTCAGTCAAAAGATTTTCATGTTGGTGATGTAATAATTTTAGAGCGTGATAAAGAATGCCCAGCAGATATAATCGTACTTCAATCCTCCGAAAAAGATGGAACATGCTCAATTGAAACATCAAATCTTGATGGTGAAACAAACCTCAAAGAAAGAACAATGCTACCTGTTTTTGCCGAAATGGATCCATCTACATTCAAAGATTTAAACGCAAAAGTAAAATGTCAACCTCCAAATTCAGAATTATATTTATTCAACGGTACAGTCGAAATACAAGGCAATTTACACGCAATTACGAGTTCCAATTTTATCCAAGCGGGTACTATTCTCAGAAATACTAACAAAATCATAGGAACAATCGTATATGCCGGCAAGCAAACGAAACTTGGCCTAAACAGCCAGAAACCACCAGTCAAATGGACAAAAATCGAGATTCTCCTTAATACTGTCTCCAAATGGGTCTTCGGCATTCAAATTTTGCTGTCAATCGCTTGTGGCTCATTTGGTAATTTTTACCAAATCAAGCATATGATGGATTTCGCATATTTAGAGATTACTAAATACGATTGGCGTGATTGGCTTACACTATACGTCAGGTTCTTCCTATTGACAACCTCAATGATTCCGATTTCTCTCAAAGTTACGTTAGATATCTGTAAATTCATTTACAGTTTGTGGATAGAACTCGATAACAAGATGATATTAAGTGATAGAAGGAACAATGATACCGAAATAAAGCATACAACATGCGCAAATACAAGTGTAATTGAAGATCTTGGTGCTGTTGAATATATTTTCACTGATAAGACAGGAACTTTAACCGAAAACGTTATGGAATTGAAGAAATTTTCGGCCAAAGGTGTCATTTACGGTTATTCTTCCGATACAGAAACAATTTATGAAGATCCGTTATTACATAACGCATTTGTCGAACATGATATGAATGTTTATAATCTAATAAGATGCCTAGCACTCTGCCATACCCTAAAAATCGAAAATAATGAACCTATTGGAATATCTCCGGAAGAAATTTCATTTATTAAAGGTCTTAATAGGCTAGGAATTACTGTTACGCAAGAAGGAAAGATATTCTCCATACAAAGTGAGAGTTTGAACATTCCTTTGATGAGATATGAAATTAAATATGTTATTCCATTTAATTATATCAGAAAGAGGATGTCAGTTATCGTAAAAGACCTTGATTCCAATAAATATTGGCTTCTTACTAAAGGTGCTGGCGAAATTGTCTCTAAAAATTGCGCTGTTCCGAAATCCTTTGAATATTTCGATGGACAGCAATATCAACTTGCTGGTATGGGCTTGAGAGTTATGGCTCAGTCCCAAAAAGAGCTTTCTGAACAAGAATTCAATACTTTTATATCTAATATTGAACACATTAGAAGAGAAATCAATAACAGAGAGGAGAATGAGGCAATTGTCTATGATAATCTCGAAAAAGACTCAGAATTGCTCGGAATGACCGCAATTGAAGATAAATTACAACAAGGAGTCCCAGAAACAATTTCAATGCTCAGAGATGCTGGCATTAAAATCTGGATGGTCACAGGTGATATTTTACAGACCGCAATTAAGATATCTTTCTCTACTCAATTAATTCAGGGCGATGGAAAGATTTTAGACCTTTCCTACAAGGGAACACCGGTCAGTAAATTACTTAGTACTGCAAAAGAATACGTAGATTCACAATTTAAAGTTTCTCCAAATTTTGTTTTTTATTTAACTCTCCAAGGAACGACCAACCAAGCCTGTTTACCAGAGTTATTATCACCTCCACTTGTAGAAGACTTCAAATCGCTCGCATCAAGAGCGAAATGCGTAATTGTAAGTCGGGCCACTCCATTACAAAAAGCTCAAATTGTTGAATGCATCAAAAGCATGAACAAGACAGTCCTTGCAATTGGCGACGGCGGCAATGACGTTCCAATGATCAGAGCAGCCCAAATCGGAGTTGGCATCCATGGAAAGGAAGGAATGCAAGCAGCTGCAGCCGGTGATTTTGCATTACACCAATACAGATTTTTGCAGCGATTGCTCTTAGTTCATGGAAGATATGCCGGATACAGAACATCTTGGCTCAGCCAGTTCTGTTTCTACAAATCGACAGTTCTCTGCTTGATCCAGTTATTATTTATGTTCTCAAGCGGCTTCTCCGGCTCTTCCTTCTTCAATTCATTTAATATTATGTGCTACAATGCCATATTCACCATTCTCCCTGTCATATTCTTCTTGCAGGACAAAGACATTGAAGAGAGTTCCATCTTTTTGCACCCTTACGTTTACCAAGATACACAACATTCGATTTTTTGCAACAAGAGGACATTGTTTTGGTGGTACATGAGAGGTATATACCAAGCAATTGTCATTACCATCATTTGGTACTTCGTTTTCACTGAACATCATGCGAATAACGTTGATGGCAACGCAGCTTCATTAGATGAGGCCCAGCAAGTTGTATATTCCGCATTAATATTAATTATCCTGTTCACAGTTACTTTAGAGACAATGCATTTCACTGCATTGAATTTAATTTTCATTTGGGGCAGTTGGATTCTCTATGTTTTTGTTGCAGTTGTTGCATCATCAATATCATCAATCGAGATGCTCAAAGACATGTATCTCGTCATGTGGAGAACAACAGCAAATCCAATACATTGGTGCACAGTTATAACAATGGTTAGTTCGGCCATTGCTCCTCCTTTCTTTGTACAGGCTGTGGCTTCAATGGTCACCCCAACAAGGACACAAATTATAAGAAAGAACGAAACTGTGAAAAGATCTGTTTTCGAACCTGTTTATTTGGTTTCAAGACAGCAGAACAGAGATGATAGAAGACTTCTCGCACCAACATATAACCCAATGTCTTATTGGGATCAAAGTGACTCAATTTTCTGTCAGACTTGTTAATTTCTGTTTTAAAAAAAGGAAAATATTTTTTTTTATCACATATTTTTATTTTTATTTTCTTGACATGTGCTCTATTCTCAAATTTTTAGAGAATAATCATAAGCAAATGAGCATTGCCGAATCTGTTCATATAAACAGAGCATAGGACACATCATATTCTAGATATAGAACAGAATCTTGTGATCACAATCTAGTTTGATCTAAGTTATAAAGTTTGTATAAATTCAATGACGCATACAATAGTGAGCCCTAGTATTGAAAGATTTACCCGATCATGCGAGAGATATTGAAATAATTCAATTTATAGATTACGACAATCTATTTCTGATTTGTTGATGCTTTGCAGAATGTTTTTATTAGAATATAGATGGTTTGGGATATACAGCTCTATTCAGCATAGTTCTTAGAACTTTTTATATTCAATTTTGCAATAATATTGATTGATAATGAAATTTCATGAATTCATTTAATGCATACAGTTAGATATATCAAATTTGATCTGTGGTTTTCTCTAAGTTGAGTTACACAATGGTGTAGCTGATAAAATATAGTTTTCTTTAATATGATATGCCGTTTTAATTACACTACGAAAGATATTGTAGTGGACATTATGCATTGAATATTTAAAAGTTATGGTTATATAAATTTTTGGCAATGATTGAAAATTTGAATTTGAACTTTATATTTTTAATCAAATAATCATACAAATTGACTTGCAATTATTCAGTGATAATGTGCTTGATATTAAAAATATTGATTAATGATGAAAATGGTTCGATTGCAATTGAAATATTGCTTTTATAATTCAAAATAGTTTGATAAAGTATACACTACCAAATGAAATATGATTATTCAGATCAAACAAGGAAATAATCACAATTTTTGTTACGAAATTTGGATTTCTTCTTTAATTTTTAAGTTACTTGAATAAATATGAGATGATGTATAATTTATAGTAGGTATTTGATTGTCACGAAGCACAAATATGCATTTTTGACGCAATTTTTTTGACATTTTGTTTATTGGAAATCGAAATAAACGAAATGGATAGGTGCATGATGCCAATCAAAACATAAAAAATTATGAGCATCGCACTTCAGGACTGATTGACGGAAGATTTAACACAAATTGAGAGATATTATTTTTTCAATGAACTAAATTTGATTTCAGAATTCAAATTTGACAAATTTCAATAGATATTCGCATATCAACATTTTTATAGCATTTGCTAACCATAGAACTATAATCTATAAAAATTTCAGAATTGAATTTTGAAAAGGAAAATTTTTAACTGAAATCTACATAATCCATTTATTATGCATAGCATGCAATCGTTCATATAAATTCATTAATTTTATTTATTTTTTCAAACCTAAAATTTCGATGAATTATATATAATTAGTTATATAGAATATAATATAGAGTAGCCAAATACTGATTTTGAGAAAAACCGCTGTGATCCCATACTTCCACAAAAAATAAAAAGCCGCCACAATTTTTGTGAGAATTTTATCATTTCAAAGAGTTTGATTTTTAAAATACTCATTTATGTTGTAGATTCATATTTCATAAATATTTGCTATGACCCACTATAATGTAAACATCACAAAAAAATAACTTCATAACTTTCATGGAATCTAAGAACAGCATTCCTTACCTTAAGATCCTTGTCGCTGATGACCAGGAAGGATACTTCAAGCTTAGGAGCGAGGTCGGTAGTGAGAAGCACAGATATCAGAGATTCCGTAGAGTTGATACTTTCGATGGAATTTTATCTGAGATCAAGAAGTACTGTATCAGAAACGATAACGACGACTGGAAGCGCTGCTTAGTTTGTGGTATTTGCTGGTTGTCCGGCTGCTTGGCTGTTAATGTTAAGCAACTTTCTATCTTAATTCAGAAATCAAAATCTAATATAAACGGTGTATTTTCAAAGCTTGGTTATATTACAGATAACAAGCAAGCTAACCTTCGCCGTGATTTAATCGAAACACTCCCAATCTTAAGGGGCAACCATATTGAACAGAAATTTTGGACAATCCGTGTCAACCCAACAATGACACCAGCTCCATCCATCAAAGCCAAGTTTGAGGAGGATTACCTTAGCGCTACACCTCAGCCAACCCAGAATCAGGAATTTTCAATTCCAGGATCAGATGCTATGCTTAATTTATTTGATGTCCTTGATGTTAAGATTAAGTCAGGAATAGAATGCGGTCGCGACTGCGACGATTTCGATTTCTACTCTGATTCAGCTTGCTGTTTCCCAGTACAGTTCTTCTATCCACAAACAGCAACCGACACTTTCTTTTCTTTCGCTTAATTCTTTTAACCATGATATTAATAAATAAAAGTGTTTGCTTTCATCAAATTTTAACATTTCTGTTTTCACCAATAAATAAAACTATTGTGATTGTATTTTAAAATAACCAAGAAATGAAGCTATGTATAGGAATATATCTTATATCCAGGTTCCTTATCTTTAATAATTTTACCTAATATATTGATTCCTGCTGAATTGTTCATTTTCGTACTAATTATCAGCACTAGTATCAGCAAAATTGAAGTTAAATGAACCAATCTTTATATAAAAAAAGAGATTTACATGAATCCTCTAATTTGATGTCAAAACCATTATGCGAATGTATTTCTTTGTTCTTGAATTTGTAAGAAGGAGTGATTTATCAATATCTTTATCAAAAATTAATGCATCATAAATTTTTGACACGTAAATTTTGTAATTTTCCTTCGCAACAATACACTTTTTCGATGAAACATTCAAATTTGTGAGAAATTCAAATTAAAATAATTATCGGAACAGAGAATGTATATCACTTTTAAATGCTTTTTGATTTTAACGTTCAAAGATTGTCAATTTCCATCGTCCATCTCACAATTATAAATGCATGAAATATGATGGACATGTGCTTTATCTTCATGATATCAAAATGAGATAAGAACTTTTCACATGCAGAATTGTATAGCAACTTCAGAATATATATCATTTGTTTCCAAGTTATTTATCTTTCATTTTATCAAATCAAATGACTTTTTCCCCCAAAGATATGAGAAAAATCTAATTTTATACTTAATTAGTGACATCTGATACAATGTTCTATTAACTTCTGAATTTTTTTTAATAACCGATTTCATTTCTCAACTTTTATAAGTTACAAAAATTTAATTCAAATTACATATTTGTTATTCAGTTAAAATCAATGAATATAAAAAGTCGTAAACAAAATTTAACTTAAAAACAACATTTCACACCAAATTCATATTTTAAAACTATATAAATGATAAAATTATTTTCTATTGTTTTATTTTCTACTTTGGCTAAGTCAATGTATTAATAATTTTCAATATCAAAGTGGTAGTAGAAATACAGTTCTTGATGGATGTTCTGGATCAAGTGGTGATATTATTATCCCTAAACATGTCAAAGTGATAGTTTCAGATTTTATATATTTTTGTGCATATGACGTCACATCAGTTAGTTTTGAAGAAAACAGTGAAATAATCAGAATATATAATTTTAGCTTTCAGTGGTCAATTATTACATCAGCAGATCTCAGCAATTGTAATAAACTTTCATTTCTCGACGAATCAATATTTGAAGAGTGTTACTATTTAGAAATAGTTAAACTTCCTAAAAATATTACAAGTATAGGAAATCGATGCTTTTATTGTTGTGCATTAAAATCAATAGATTTACCCGAGTGTTTAATATATATTGGAGATGGCGCATTTTCTTATTGTAAATTAACAAACATCACTCTTCCAAAAAATTTAACATATATTGGAAATTTTTCATTTACAGGTTGTTTATTAAATAATAGTATTACAATTCCAGAAAATATAACATACATTGGAGATCGTGCATTTTCTGATTGTAAATTATCAAGTGTTACATTTCCAGAAAATCTAACATATATTGGAGATGAAGCATTTTATGGTTGTCAAATGACAAATATCACTCTTCCAAAAAATTTGAAATATATTGGAAAATATGCATTTGCTGAGTGTCAATCTACAGATATCACAATTTCAGGAATTGATCTATATATTGGTAGTTATTCATTTTATGCATGCAAATTATTAATTAATCTCACTCTTCTCGGAAATGTTTCATATTTTGGAGATCATGCATTTTCTGAATTGATCAACCTAACTACTGTCACAATTTCAGGCAGCTTAACATATATTGGAGATAAATTATTTAAAGATCTCATATCATTAACAAATGTCATGATATCAAATAATGTCACATATATTGGAAAATATGCATTTTACAATTGCTCTTCATTAACAAATATCACAATTCCAAATAGTGTCACATATATCGGAAATTCTACATTTAGTAGTTGCTCTTCATTAAGAAGTATCACAATTCCAAATAGTATCACATATATTGGAGATTGGACATTTAGTAGTTGCACTTCATTAACAAATATCACAATTCCAAATAGTGTCACATATATTGGAGATTGGACATTTAGTGATTGCACATCATTAACAAGTATCACAATTCCAAATAGTGTCACAAATATTGGACATACTACATTTTATCATTGCACATCATTAACAACTATCGCGATTTCTGGGAATGTACAAACTATTGGAGATAGTATATTTTATAAATGTGAAAACATCACAAATATTATATTCCTAAACAGTCCAAATAGATTCAGTTATGACACTTATTTTACTCGTATTTCTACTAAACCTCCATATATTTTCATTCCAAGAATGTTTAATTCAAGTGGTTATTCTGGATATGTTAAATACAAAAGTCATTTATATGTCACAAGCCGAACAATTTTAACAAATTCATCTAAAAATTTCTTTGGCTATAAGAATGTTTATGTTCATTTTGAGAACAAAAAAGGAATTTATGATAACACAACAATTGAAGTCCTTGAATACATCTCTATTGAAAACATCACCATTCCTCTCTTGATGCCTGAAACAGCGAATGACTTTATATATTATAGATCTCATCCTAACCGCCTGTCATTTGCCATTATTAGTCTTAACTCACAATCAGTTTCATGAATAAAACATATATAAATTTTACATACTCCTATACTAAGATTTTTACTCCAGCAAATTTTAAACTCTTTATCAATATTAATAGCAACATGATTTATATATTACTTTATATGATTGTTATTCATTTTTTTTTTGCAGTTTATTTTAGAGTGAGGAAAAAAGTAAAAAAAGGTGCTCAAAATACACTCAATTTTCCACTTTTTTTCCCCAAATGATCACATTGAAATTCTTTCAAGTTTTTTTAACAAAATACACCTTTTGAAATAGAATGATGATAATTTTATTCGAAAAAAAAATTATATGAATGTGGATCAATTTGAGAGTGCTTTATTTTTTCCATCCTTAGGGATAATTTATTGGCTTTAAAAGGCAGAGTTTTCATTCTGGAGCTCCCAGCTAAACACAGGAACCTATCTCTTTCTTTCTTTCTTTTTGGGTATTAATTTATCTTACAAGCTATAGACAACAGCATAATTTTAAAATCATAAATTTAATAAATAATTTATTTACATCAAAATATAGTTAATTTTTTTTAGAAGTCAACAGTTTCATGTGGAGCATAAATGAGTTGATCATTTTGCTCTGATTCGATTGAGTTCTGCAAGATTTGTTCAAGTTCTTCGTTCTGGCGCTTAAGTGCATCTGTTTCTTCGATCAATTTCGCACGTTCTTCAAGTTCTGTGACGTATCTCTGCATGACTTTGAATGCCGTCTTCCATATTCTTTCCATTTCATCGGTGACAACATCAGTCTTCTTCTCGATGAATTTGAGCTGGTCAGGCAACTCCTTCTTCATCTTCTGCTGCAATTGGATGATGGCTCTGGCAACTTCGGATGATGTGTTTTGTGTTGCATCGGCTGTGATTTGGCCGAAAAGACTTGTCTGGTTCTGTTGTGTACTTGGGTGATAAGCTTCGACGAAACGACGGAGACCTTCAAGAACTTCATGTGGACGAACGAAACCTGGAGTTTCGAGTTCGAATTCTGTATCTTTCAAGAAATAAGAAAGTAATTGAGCGGCGTCTTCATCGGAAGTGATGCCTAAATCTTGGAGCAAAAGGTCAACACGGATCTTCATCATTGATGTCTCGGGGTCTTCGTCTTCTGGAAGATTAATAAGATTCTTGACACGTTCGTCAACAAGGAAACCAACTTCATCGGAGACAAGGCGCCAAAGATGCTCAAGGTTCTCTGAGAGTTTTTTGCCCGAAATAAGTCCTGTCGTGGTCTTTTCTGTGGCTGAATCTTCTTTGACTTCTGCTGGAGCTTGCGGAGTCTTCGTAAGGTCCTCAAATTCTTCTGTGCCGATGATAAGACGGGCAACATACTCTGGATTGACAGGAGGAACTTCCTTGCCGAGTTGTTGTGAAGTAATAATTTGATTCGCATCGATAACTTTGAGAACAAGGTCGTGAAGACGCTTCTCGTTGTAGTTCCAGACTTCTCTGAATGCATTGAAGTCGGCAAAAGCGACTTTACGGAACCTTTCTTGTAGTTTACGATAATTTTCGGCAATCTTCTTGTATTCATCGGTCGTTTTCTGGTTCTCGTGCTTGAAGTGCTTTTCTTCATCGTAGTACTTGGCTTTGAGGTTGCGAATTGTATCCTTTTGACGTGAAATCTTTTTAGCTTGCTGCTTGGCTTTGTCATCGTGCTCTCCTTGGTTATCTGTGAGAATACGAGTATCGTATTCTAACTGTTCCATGGAAAAGTGGTATTTTGCAAGGGAATCTTCTAATTCCTTCTGAGCAGCTTGAAGACGATACTCGAACTCGGTACGCTGGACAATGTACTTCTCAGCGTTAACTCGACGGATGTGTTCAAGTTCGTCACGGTTTGCAATAGCCATATTTGTAACTTCTTGAAGAAGAACCTTTTCTCTCTCTTGGCGCTTAGCTTCGACTTCCTTAGCTTCACGTGAAAGTCGATATGAATCTGCACTTCGTGATTGTTCGTAGTTTTGAACGACGGTGTTTAACTGTGTGGTAATTTCTTGACGCAGTTTGTTTTCATTGTCTCTCATAGTTTTAACAATGTTATCAATTTGGAGATTCTGTGCTGCTATCTTATTAACGTACTCATGATCTCTTTTCATAACTTCTTGTTCTAATTGCTTGACGAATGCAAGCTTCATGGCAATAACGTTTTCGCACTGCTCCCTTGTTTTACGAAGTTCTTTATCGAAATCAACTGGATTTGTCTGAGCCAAAACATTATCCCAGGCATCACCCCATTCAGCTTTGTCATCTTCAATTTTCTCATCAATTTCTTTAAATTTCTCTTGGATTCCTTTCTTCGTATTCTTAAATCTATATGTACGTTCTTGTTCGATAGAAAGATGCTCTTGGACCATTGCAGATGTGCTCTGACGAGCCTTCTGGAACATTTGCTGAATCAGTTTCCTGCTTTCCTCAGATTGCTGACTCGAGCTCATTTTTTTTCTGTTACAAATTTATTGGAGGGTCTAAAAACGTGCAAAAAATATATATTGTAATTTTATGATGTATTTGATATAGCCATTATGTATAGAGCAATAATTTCAGATCAAATGTATATCTTTATATGAGAAAAAATCTAAATGCGTACTGATCTATCTTCAATCTTGATCATTTTCAATTGTTTCCGGTAAGTTTTAATTAGAAATCTAATAAAGTATATAGTGTTAAAGGGTGTTTCATTAATAAAGATGTTTATTGGTTAAAATAATATTGATGAAACAACAAGGCAAATAATTGATATGAATATTCAATCAGTCAATAAGTAGATTCAATTGTTATTAGAAAAGAAAACTCTTATCTTTATTATCAAATTTTATCAATTATTTATGGGAATTCAGCTATTGTGAAGTAGATTTCATCTGTACTCAGGAAATTAATGTTTGTATATATGATATTAAGGTAGGATATTGGGATTATTAATTCTATATAAAATTTTATCTATATAAATAAAAGAATTTAAGCGCATGGCATCCATTGCGTCTGTACAATAATATCTTTTGAAAGGGAAGCAAAATAAAGAGATTAATTTTCATAATGCTCAAGGACAAGCTTTAATCAATAAAAAACATCTAAACTTCATGTACATTGTTGGTTTTAAGCTAGTTATTGAAATTTAAAGTAAATAAAATGTGCGCAATAAAAAAACCTACGAATAAATCGGATGAAAGCTTAACACCAGAATGAGAAGTAGATGATGTGAAATGTTGTTTCTTGTAAAAGGAAATTCTGAAGATAATTTGTTTTGAAGTAGAAAATCAGTGTTAATAGGTAAGAAATTCAATAAATTATTCTAATTTGACTTGATAGAACTGAAATATATCCGAATTTTTGAAGGTAGTATAAGTAAAGAAGAAATCTTTTTGAAATATGGAGAAGACACATTAATTCACAGGCCAATTCCCAAAAATCTAGAATCATTATCATAATTAGTACATGATATTAAAATTTTGTAGTGAATAGTGGAGGGTGAAGTTACATTCAATATTTTGTCTATCGGTTCAAAAACGTTTTTGACAAAATCGACAAATGTAGAAAATTTTAAGAGAATTATAGAAAATAAATATTTTCCAAGATGGACGGTTATGTCCATTCTTTGGTTTTCAAATTTTACAATGGGATTTTCAAAAATATTATTCATACAATCAAATACTAATGCATCTGAACCAAAATTAGTGATAAAATAATTGAAAGATATTGAAAACTTATCGACCGCGATCAAGGATAACTAGATTCTATTTGTATAGATGAGATGTGTTTCTTTACAATACAATAAATATGCATTTTTGACATTTTTACGAACATTAAAAACCGATATTGAACAGATTCCTCCAGTTCAATACACAGAGACAGGATTACTCAAAAAAACAATATTTGTTCGATTTGCAAATATTTATCGTTTTGCCAGCATTGAAACTTTGAAAAAGGGCAAAATATTACCCTTTGCAAGACCCTATCTCTCAATTATTTGAGAATATATTCAATTCTCGAAGTTTGGCCATTATTTTTTTAACATGTCTTCAGCTGAAGAAGAAGTCCATCATGATTTAGAAATCCAGGAAGTCGATGCTGGCTCCCAGGAAAAAGCTACAATCCCAGTTAACAAGCTCAAGAAGGGTGGCTACGTTCTCATCGAAGGCCGTCCATGCCGTGTTGTCGATATTACAAAGTCCAAGACAGGCAAGCACGGACACGCTAAGGCTGGTATCGCCGGCACAGATCTCTTCACAGGCCGCCGTTACGAAACCCACCTTCCAACATCCCACGAAATCGAAGTTCCATTCGTCGATCGTTCCGATTACGGTCTCATCAACATCGATGATGGCCACACACAGCTCCTTACACTCGATGGCACACTCCGTGAAGATGTTGATCTTCCACCAGAGGGCAACGAAATGCGCCAGCGCGTTATCGACCTCTTCAACGAATGCGTCAACACAAACGACCAGGTTGTTGTTACAGTTCTTTCTTCCAATGGCGAAAACCTCATTGTCGATTGCAAGAAGTCCACAAACTAAAAAATTGGGATATAATACATTCATATTATATACTATAAATAATTCAAATATTTTTTTGCAAATTCTTTTAATTTAATGCTTAATCTGTCATTCAATTATCAAAACTCGGATTATATGGCCATCATTACATTTCTAGTACTTTTAACTAATAAAAATTCATGCCCTAAAATATCAAGGATTAATTATGATTCTTTTTTAAAAATATGATCATATAAATTCAAAAATATTAGTTTTGACGATTTGTAATATATTAAAATAAAAGCTTTATTTGAAATACAAATTACTTTCTATTCGTACTATAGTCTTACTTTTCTTCTTCCTTAACTTCATTCTTAATAAGAGGCTCTCTTGCATTTTCGATATCAATTGCAAGCAATCCTGTTAGAAATCCGGATGCATGAACTGAAGCTTTAGCGCCTTTAACTGTAAATACAATAACATCTCCTTCATTGAAATTGAAATCAACTTGGGAGGATTCAAATGAGCCCAATGTAAATGGAATGAGTGCAACTTCATCTTGATCGTTAACTTTAGCATAAAGAACGAGGCGTCCTGTTTGTGGAGTATATTCTTCGCGGCCAACGCAAAGATTTGTTATATGGAGTGTTGCATGCTCAGAAACTTTAACTGTGCATGGTTTTTCGCTGGAGATAATTGTTGTCCAAACAGTGGAATAATTATCTGGAAGTAGCATAGCAAGTTTACAATAATCGTTCCGAATGGTGACACAATTTTAGATTTGCTGATTAGATCTAGCAAATATTTTATATATGCACCAACAAACCAAATTTCATCAAAATATATTTTATTTACCTAAAATTTGAAATAATTATTGCAATTATGAAAGCGCTGTTAAAGGAGTAAGAGTTACACAAAGTATACATTTGAATATATGTGATTGATTGGGGTATAGCTTGTAGAACATTTAGATGAATTTTAACATATAGGTGTTTTGTTTATTAATTTCAGCAAATGAGACATAAAAGACTAATCTTACTCATATCTAATTGAATCACATATATTTAAGATCAATATAAAATCGAAATCATATGTGAGCCAATTATTCAATGAGAATGCTATCAAGTGGCTTATATCTTCAATAAGGTTAATTGTTCAATATTTCGAAGCATATTGGCTTCTAATTGAGTTTGTGTAATAGGAAATGAATTATCAAATATCCATTTCTCATGGATAGTTCATTAGACCAAGCCAATAATTTACATGACAATGACCGAACTTTGAACTTTGGAATGGGAAATTATCGAATCAAGGAAGAAATTTGTAGAGAAAAATCCAAAACGTGACAAATTCTGAAAAATGCTCAACTTTGATGCAACTCAGGCACAAAATGAGGCACTACAGAAGAGATTCGAATGGGCATCTGCCTATTTAGATCTATCCAATATGAGAATGAAGAAACTTCGTGAATACATTCGCACTGTAAAAACTGAATACAAAAAACACACTTCATCTATGCCAACATTGAAAGTTAACAATTTCAAGAAATATATTCCAGATCAAAGTCAGCAAGCAGCTCCCGGAATTCCTGGCTGCCACACTCAAAGATTAGAAATTTTAGGATCAATGTCTGAGCAAATTGTATCAGAACTTGATTCGTTCTCCAATTTTATCGAAGGAGCCATCCTTGAGCCTATGGCTGACTTCACATTCCAATGCGAAGAGCAATTAAAAGGAATTGTGAACAAATTCAATGAATACACCAAATATCGCCATAACACAAAGCAAACTGCCAAATCCTGCTTCAAAGATTACACGAATGCAAGCACTGCCGCAGAGAAAGCCTATAAAGAATTTCTGACAGTGACGAAATCAGGAAAGACAGATAAGATTGAGAAGGCCAATAAGGCTCTCAAGGATGCCTGCGCCAATTACCAGAAGTCTGTATGCAATTTAAGGCAAGCTGTTTGCAAATTCAACACTGCTCACAATAACTACGTAGATTTCGTTGAAAGTGCCATTGAACAGATGAATCAATACCATCCGAAGAGAATCCAACTCATTTCGTCCCTCGTAAACGAATGCCTCGTTCCATCTTGCAATACATTTTCAAACAACTATCGCGATGTCAAGAATTGGTTCGAGCAAAGCGCAATCCCATGGAAGATCCATTTCACTCAATTTATTCACTCAAAAGGCATCGTAAGAATGATTATCAAACCAAAAGATTTTGTTCCGATTTCTTTACCATTTACGGAGTTGTCGCAATACGAAATCGTTGCTGCACCTCTTAACCAGATCGACGCTCCATTATTTATTGCTACAGTCACTAAAGATTTCCAATCTCAGCATCCATTCCAGATGAATATCACCGCAGGTACGAAAATCTTTACTTACGATAACCTAGAGCACGAATGGGTCCTTGCTCGCGATCCGTTGGGCCAAAAACGCTATGCTCCATCAGCTTGCTTAAAAATTGATAGATCTAAGATAGCTCTCGTCAGAGCCGCTCAGCTCTCTACCGGAAAAGGTTCACTCGCAGTCGAAACTGGCGAACTTTTAACAATTATCGGCGAAAATGACACCCATTACACCTGCGAGAATATCAAAGGTGAACAGGGTCAGGTCGCTAAATACGCTGTATTTGTGGAGAAACAATAAAAAAATTATTATTTAATATTTTTGAAAATTAACCTTCTTTTTTAACACAAAGTCAGAATAACCTTCTATACAAGATATTATATGACTGATTCAAGTATATAATCAGTATAATGATATCAAATTCTTAATATTTTTGAAAATTAACATTCTTTTTACACACTAGAGTAGAACAACCTTCTTTATAAGATATTCAATGACTGATTCAAGTATATACTCAGTATAATGATATCAAATTCTTAATATTTTTGAAAATTAACATTCTTTTTACACACTAGAGTAGAACAACCTTCTTTATAAGATATTCAATGACTGATTCAAGTATATACTCAGTATAATGATATCAAATTCTTAATATTTTTGAAAATTAACATTCTTTTTACACACTAGAGTAGAACAACCTTCTTTATAAGATATTCAATGACTGATTCAAGTGAATGTTCAGTATAACGATATCAAATTCCTGATTAAATGATCTCACTTTTGGAACTGTATTGATTTTGAGCGAATACTTGATGAAAACATTTTGTATATGTTATGAATTCATCAAAAGGTCAGTAAATCTAATAAGAATTACGATTTTTAGCTTTAATTCTTATAAGGTTGATAGTTAGAGAAGGAGAATATTCAATGAATTATTTACATATGAAGAGGTGATTCATAGGCAACATTTAAGTCTTCAAAATCTCAAAGATAATTCAATCTCATTTTCATCAGCTTTAATTTTCACTCATTCATCTAATATAGTAAAGCTATGCCAGTTATTTTACTTACGTGAAGGAATATCACTACTGGAGCACCAATATGAGCAGCGACTGCTTATTCTACCAGACCAAGAAGCATTAGATCGCGGATACCAGCTTAATAAAAATTCGTAAAAGCATAATTATTTTTTATTTCTAATGAAATTTATTATTGAATAAAGCAATGACAATAGCATCTTATAATGAAACATCGACTTATTTGCACCATGTGAAATAAGAATTTCCGTTATTTCATTACAATTGCATTTTGTTGCATAATAAAAAGCGGTTTTTCCATAATTATCTCTTTCATCGATATTTGCACCAAGAGGAATAAGAACCACGGCTGTTTCTTAACTATTATTTATTGCTGCATAATGAAGAGCAGTTCTTCCGATGTTATCTTTTTCATCGATATTTGCACCATGTGAAAGAAGAAATTCAGCTGTTATTTTACTATTATATTTTGCTGCATAATGAAGTGCATTAAACCCATCATTATCTTTTTCATTGATATTTGCACCATGTGAAAGAAGAAGTCCAGCTATTTCTTTGCAATTATTCGTTGCTGTATAATGAAGAACAGTACTTCCGATATTATCTTTTTCATTGATATTTGCATTATGTGAAAGAAGAAGTTCAACCATTTCTTTATAATCATGTTCTGCTGCAATATGAAGAGGAGTTTCTTCAAATTGATTTTTTTCTTCAATATTTGCACCATATGAAAGAAGAAGTTCCGCCATTTCTTTATAATTATGGTCTGCTGCAATATGAAGAGGAGTTTCTTCAAATTGATTTTTTTCTTCAATATTTGCACCATATGAAAGAAGAATTTCTGCTGTTTCTTTACCGTTACATTTTGCTGCATAATGAAGTGGGGTACATCCTCTATTATCTTTTTCATCGATATCTGCACCATATAAAAGAAGAACTTCGGCAGTTTCTTTACTATTGAATTTTGCTGCATAATGAAGTGCTGTATATCCAATATTATCTTTTTCATCGACATTTGCACCATATGAAAGAAGAAGTTCAGCTATTTCTTCACTATTGTATTTTGCTGCATAATGAAGTGCGGTAAATCCATCATAATTTTTTTCATTGATTTTTATACCATGTGAGAGAAGACATTCCGTCATTTCTTTATAATTATTTTTTGCTGCATAATGAAGAGCGGTAAATCCATGAATATACTTTTTATTGATACTTGCACCATTTGATAGGAAATATTCGCAAAGAGATGGGATAGCAAATATTCCCGAATTAATTAAACAATAATTAATAGAATGAGTTTGATCGAAATAAACTAAATAGGATTCAAGATTATTGTAAATTCCACAATTTTCTAAATCGATCTTTATTTTGTATTCATTCATCAAGAAAGTAACAAAATCAATGTTGTGTGAAATAATTGCATATATCATGCAATCTTTATTTGGCTTTTGATATTTCAAGCATTCACTCATGATCTCTTGATTTCTTCCTAAAAATGAAAGTTCTAGACATGTTTCAGTTATATTTGATTTAAATTTGGTTCTTAAGAACTTGAAACAATCAACAGCTCCATGGTAACAACATAATTCAAGTAATGAATATCCATGCATAGAAAATGGATATAATCTGCTGTTAAGTTTTTTATATTTATTAAATCTTTTAGTTTCAATAAAGCTGATGAACTTTATTAAGTCATTATGCATAATTGCTCTGTAGATCGTATTTTCTGTATGAATATCGAGTTTTCCTAAATAAATATCTTCAAAATCAACAGACTTGTCTAATTTAATTCCATATTCTTTATAAAACAGAAAGTTTGAAATATCTTCAACTTTGTTGACATTTTCTATATGATATTCATCATATAAGAGTTTGGCAAGAAATAAATATGACTTTGCATAGCGATTATTATATGGAATGATATTTAAAATGTCTTTTATTACATTTTCGGGGAGATGTTTCTTTGAATCAATCAATTCTGCTTTGATCATTTTGTAAATCTTATTTAATTCATCACTTTTTTCCGTTTTTAGCTGGTACAATGCAATATATGAATCTATGTAGTATTTGTAGGTATTTCTCAATTCAATGTATTCTTTTGGATGAGCGTCTTGATCAGACATGAAAAAATTTTACCCAGATTTGCCTTACTTTTACCACCTCTCTAAAGCTGGGGACACCGCCTATCGTTGGGAGTAGCTATTAAATAGAACCACCAAGGGTACTTTTCGAATTGCTGGTGTAGTGTAGTGGAAACATCCGACATAATGATTCATTATGCTAAGGTTTGATTCCCATTTAGCCAATTTTTTTCTTTTTTGGATCATGAATTTTTTTTAGGTCACTATAAGATTTGTTTCATGTTCTAAATCTGCTGCATATGTAATCTATTTTTATTTACCTATTTTTTAAAAATCTATTGGATTGCCAAATTTGAATATATTTAAAATCATAAAACTCCAAAAAAACTATAAATATATGTTTTATGCATAGTGCCGATACTCAAATATCAGATTACTTAGATCCATGAATAATATCCGAATTTTTTTTCTTAAAATTAAACTTCAAAACTTCTTGCAATCTTATTCTTCATCAATTGTAAATTTTTAAAACCATTTTTTAAAATAATTTTGCGTAAATTTTATTCTCATGTTGTTTTAATCGAAAATTGATACATTTTCAAAAAAATAATATTGACTTATGAAATTCATTTTTAAGGTGAAATAGTATTGTTTTTATTAAAGTATATGAATAATATATAAAAAATTAATGAATAATATAAGCAGATTTTTAGTTTACAAAACAAATATGAGCAATGCAATTTCAAACTTTTGCTGGCAATTTCGATATTGCTCAAGTTTGTAGTATTTGTGATACCTATAACATCGGCTTAATCAAAATTCGATTTTTCTTATGAGTTATTGAGAAAATTTGATTGCAATGAGAAGGATTTCGACGTTTTTGATAAACTAAGAGCTGAGCTTTAGGGGTTCAGTTCATTTATGGCTGTAGTTTGATGTGTAGATCTCTTTTTTATTGTAAATTCTTTCAGCATGGAGATCGAGAATGAATCTTTTGAGAACTTTATGAGTTTTTACACCCGTAAAGAGGTCCTTCGAGGAAAGATAGTCCAGACTACATGAAGATGTGGGTTAACCAAAAAAATCCGATGGTTTCCCCATATTCATGTAGATCTTCGAAAAAATGAGCACCAAAAAAGCCAAAAAAATAGGCTTTTTATTGGATTTGTACACTAGATCAATAACCTATTTAGGATCTGACACTCTTTTTAGCCAGAGATATGAGGTCCTTTCTAGGAAAATGATCTATTCATCCATAAAAAAAATGAATTATCGTTTTCCCCAGAAATTACATGGGGAGTGGTAAAAGTAAGGAAAATCTGGGTAAAAATAAAATAAATATAAAAGCTATAAATCAAATTTTAACATAGAAAGTATTCTTTAAATCCATTAGTAAGGATACAGACTTGACAATTATTAAAAAAAGTTGTAATTTGACGATATGAGTTATTTGGGCGCATCGAAGCGATAAAATTGATTGAAAATTAATGAAAAATGCGGTAGGCATCGTCAAAATACTTGTAATTATACCAATGAACAAATCCATTCCTTAAACACCCGTATTCTTTTGATTTCTATAAACCTTGCTTCAGAACTCAAAAATCTCAAAAATTCATGTCAGATTAATAATTTTTGCCAGAATTGCTTTATTTTAATAAGGTTCATGATAGAAAATAGAAATGGTTAATTATTACCAGAAAATAACTAGACCAAGAAATATTCTCAAAATTTTATGAAAATAAATCTGGTAACAGTTCATGATAGATGATGCTCAGCTAATTAACGATCGGTATCGTTAATTCTATAGAATTTAAATTTGAAAGAGACATCCGAATACGCTTCTGAATTTTGAGATAATACATATAATTGAGTTTTTACTCTAAATTTTTTGATGGGACTTTCGGCCAATCTCATTGAAGAAATATACAAATACATTGACTTGTTGAATAGCTCGCTTGGCATGTTCTCAGACAAAGATCTTAAGTATCAAGTTCAGCAAATTCAAAAATTTTATCATAAAGGGATATCTCCGGACAATTTTGATCTTGATAGTGTTGTTTATCCATTTATACTTGCTTGCAATTCCAATAAGACTAAATACGGCAATCTAACCCTTGATTTTATGATTTCTCTATTTAAATTTTCGTCTTCTGAGCTATATCCATCAATAGAACTTGCTAAGAATCTACTCAGTTTGGCAATTCTTATATCAAAAGATTCCAATTATGAAACCTCAATCAAATCAATTCAATTTGTAAACTTAATCTTCTCTTCTTATGCAGGATTTCATGTTGTAATCGGAGAATTACTAGGTATTATATACAAAATTCTCATTTATGCTTCGAATTCCCATGAATATAAGAATACAGATAAAGAATTGATTGATAACGTTCTTAGTGCAGGAATAAGATTCATAATAATGAGAAGTCTTGATACATCAGTTAATATACATATTGATAACTTCAATAATTACGCAAAAACAATTTTGAACAATGTTTACGAAGATTCAAGTGATATTGTTAAAGATGTTCAAGAACCCAATGATCAAATATCAATACTCGATCTAGATATGATTGCAATTTATCATTCTTTGTTTGAATTAATTGAATCAGAGAATTTAAAGAGAACAACAGTCAATCAGATTGCTATGCTTATTTGTAGATCAATGAATACAGAAATAGACTTCTGGAAAAAGCCATTCGCGAAAGAAATGGCAAAAGAATTTATTATCCCTGTTTATGAAGAAATTGTAGCTGCTACGAATTCAAAGATGAACTTAGAACTTCCATGTTCATTTGCAAGCATAATTTGGGAGAAATTTGATTTAATCACTGATCATAAGCAGTTAATCATTCAAATTTCATTTATTTTGAACCAAAATAATGATGAAATGTTTTATTATGCATGTGAAATGCTTAAAAAACTTTCTCAATCACCTGAATTTTTGGTTTCAATTTTGAATTCACAAATACGAAATGGAAACAAAACAATTTTATCAATTTTCAAGGATATTTGTGATGTAGCAATGCCAAAATCAGACGTTGTAAGTCATAAACAACAAGAAGCAATGATTGTTCTTGGTAAATTATTAAATTCCTTCGATAAGTTAATGAAAAGAAGTTTTCAGCAGCCTAAAAGAGACAGAAACAATGAGAAGTTGCTTTGTTGTGCAGATATATTTAGTAATAACTATCAAAAAGGTTTAGATTTATTCATTGAAAATAATTTTTGTGATTATGAAACAATTGGTGAGTTTTTATACAAAATTCATGATTATATTGATAAACTTAGATTAGGAGAGCTTTTATCTCTTGGAGACATTGAAATCTTCAATCAATTCATTGAATTCCTACCAAAAAACAATGTATGCGATTTGATTAATGAATTATTTAGATATATTTTGATTCCAAGACAAAAAGAAGTTTTTGAAAACTTAATTAGAAGAATTAGTCACTTGATTCATGAAGATTTTCTTTCTAATGACGAAAAAAACATTTAATTATACTTATGAAATCATTAGAACATCATTTGTTCTCAAAGAAAAGAAAATGAATTCCCAATTTAATTATCAAGATGTTTTACACGAACTTTCTTCAAAAGGATACAATGAAATATTATCTAATTCAATAGTTGAAACCTCAATTATGATAAATATTGATCAAAAACTTGAGATATTTGATAATTCTGAAATTGACAAAGAAAAAACTGAAATTGCAGAAATGAATATCAGAAGATCGATTATTAATGAATACTATTATCCACTGATTACAATATTTGATGGAATTTATGATATTTGTTATGATTTACTCAAAAAATCATTGAATTTCTGTTCAGACTTTCCAAAAGAGAACCTAATGTATTGCCAAGGATCATTGATGATGTTGAAAGCATTTCTTGGATTATCAAGCTATGCAAATCAATTTGCAAAGTTTGAAGATTTTTTTTCTTTTTCTGAAATATTGATTCAAAAGTATCTAAAGAATGGAATCAAAAAAGTTCCAAATAGTATAATAAAGAAGTTGTCCAAGTGTTTCCCAACAATAAGAACATCATGGAATGAATATACTAAGTTCATTCTCAGAAATCAAATTGATTTTGATCTTAATTTTGAAAATTTAGATTCATATTCAATTAATTTGATGATTGATGCATTTGATAAAGAGTTCTATGATGAAAACAATAAACCAAGAAAGATTATTCTCAAGCAGATCTTGAATATAATGTTACATGCAGCTAGATCTCCAGATTACATCTGGAAACAAGTTTGGAATGAAATCAAACAAAAAGTTTTGATTGGGATAATACATTACAAAATATGTTTGAAATTTGTTGAGTTATCAATCATTAGTTCCCATAATTCAGGATATAACAGACAAGATGAGTTGTTTGAAGCATACTTAACTGCTTATCCTGATGCTAATGATAAACAAAAAACGAGAATTGTTGATTCTATTTCAAATGTAATTAATTCATTGAAAGATCAAATTAGTTCTTCATGGATTTATATCTTGCAAATTGTTGCATTGGATGAGATGAAAGACAATCAAAATTGTTCATCACAAGCACTTGATATTCTTGAGAAATGTGTCATTGATTATAGCAAACAATCAAGGAAATATGCATCATATATAATCACAACAATTTCTCAAATTTTGAACACATCAAATTGCATTGAAACAAGATTACGTGTTGTATCATTGATTCCTTTAGTTGCTGATAATATCATCAACAATGTTGAAGAATTCGAAATGTTGACTGATGTTTTAATGACAGTGTTTGCTGAACAAGAAGAAATCATTGTTGAACTTGGTGAATCTTACACTTATAAGATCATTTCAAGTATCATCGACAAAAGAGATTATGTTGATGTGATGATGACTAAAATATGTCAAAGAAGTTTCTCATCTGAACAAGGAGAACTCATCAACAAACTGTTCAAAGAGAATAAGATCCCTCTCTACGTGAATTTTAATGGTTACAGCATTGCTTGAACCATCTTTTTAATATATAGATTATTTTGTTATATTAAATATATTTCTTTCTTTTTATATGCATTGGAAAGTCACCATATGTAATAGTATATATATTTCCGTCAATCAAATATAAATATGTGTCAACTTCCTAGCGTAACCCTCGCCAGATATAGTAATATTGCTCTGGAAATGAATGTTTTCTGATTTTATCCCAAGTAATTTAATATCTATATATCAATGTTCGAATTTGGATCATAATATTCAAACATAAAAAATATTTACTAAGGATATGAATTTCAAGTTAAACATTATTTTGCTATTTTTGATATTTTTACTGTATGGATCTCAAACTTCGCGTTATTGCATATTCAAAATGAGACCAAAATTGATTCTATGTTTAGTTGATGTATCTTTAGAAATATGCATTGTTAATCGATAAAAATTATTTGTTGAGGGTAAAAGATGCATGTATGCATTATTTTATGGATAAAGTACCAATTTCCGACAAAAACTTCATAAACTCGTATTATTTAGAAGTCATATGCATACTACAATAATCCGATATGATCCACATGCACTATTTTTATATCTGACAAAAATCTTATTTTGAATTTGAAACACCCAAAAAGTTTTAAAGATACCAAATGCTTTAATTCCAGAAAAACAATCATAATGAGTTTAGAAAAGCTAATTTTATTAAGATAGTTAGTCAACGACTTCGTAATCGAGGTTCTTTAAGGCTTGTTTCAGTCTTGGGATTGTCTTATCATTGTATGACGCGATAGTCTTGATAGATTCTGAAATGTCGTTAGCAATTGCACGTTGCTCAGCGGCAAGTTTCTGGCGTTCAGCTGCAGCAGTACTAAGAATTGTTGTAAGCTGTTCGATGAATTTGTCTTCGTATTCGTGAAGAGCAGAAGAGTAAGTCCCGAGAGATTTGTCGAGAGCAGCTTTTGCTTCAGCTTCTTTAGCTTCAGCGTTCTTGAGGCTTTCCTCTGCTGTAAGGCGATATGGAGAACCTGTTTGTTGCTTCTCATAGAATTCACGTGCTTTTGCAACATCTGAAACAGTCTTGTTGTGCTGTTCAACAAGATCGAAGTGATCCTTGTGTGCTTTAACGAATTCTCTGTGATCTGCCTTGAGTGGGCTTAAAACATCTGGCAATGTTGAAATGCGTTCAAAGCATTCATTCATTGCCTTGATTTGCTTTTTCATTGATTGGCCAATTGGCTGAAGAGAGTTGGAGATAGCTGGGTTCTGTCCCTTGACAAAGATATCGTATGGCTCGCCAAAAGCATTTGACATGCCATCAATCATTTCGCGTTCGTTTTTGCTCATCTTCTTGAGGGCATCGATAACATCATCGAATTCTGGATTAGAACTGATGACATCCATAACTTTCGAAAAGGCTTTCTTGAAGAGTTGGGTCATGACGAATTAATTTTTTTTATGTAAATTCTGTCGATAGAATTTCAATTCATTGTAAACCATTCAATCCCTATCATCAAATTTTGTCACGTTTCTTATATCAAAATATGAGAAGTTTTCTCTCAGGTGAATTTTATTCCTTGCTGAAAAAATAAATATAATTCATTGTTATTTAAAGATTTTAGGCCATTATTTCACATTTTTTTGACAAATATCAAATTGAATTATTAAATATAAAAATCCAAGCATATATATACTCCCCTAACATTACCTGCAATATGCATTTTTGATTGACATACTTTTTTACTAAGAACACTTGATTTCAATTCCATATAATCCAAAAGATAAGTCCAATGGCCTGTTAGACTATATTGACAAATTATCTGACAATAAGATGCAATATATTGAATATGAAACGTCATCAAGTCGAGATAATCCAGAACAATTATTATTCTATAAATCGCGTCACTCATTTAGGGTTTCTGATGAAATATGTCCAGAGTACTACATTGGCTTTGGTTTTAAAAAGCACGTATTTAGTATCAATTCTTTCTCCATTAGTTCTTCGTTCAATCCCACAAATTCAAAAGAGCATCCCAAGACTTGGAAAATTATAGGATTAATGGACGATGTAAATTGGATTGTACTTAATTCCCATATAAATGATAACACCTTAAATGGATTTAATTTATTTGCTTGTATCAAAACTGAAGAGATTGTTGTAAGGTATCTCCGGTTCGTTTCACCCACACCTTTTGCTTTATACTCTTTAGAATTCTTTGGGAATCTATATCCAAGCAGCTTCATATTCCCATTACCTTATATGAAATTTTTTCAGCGCATGATGCCATGCTTTGGACAGAGGGGGGCACAAACTTGCCCAGTGAAGTGAAGTGAAAAGTGACAGGTTTACATATCAGAAATGTAAAGTGTCAGATTTGAAACAAAAAATGGATTAATTTATTATTATATGATAGAGAGATTTGGTAAGTTACTATCAAATTTGTAAGTAAGGGGAAAAAAAGTAAGAAAGAAAAAAAAATTTTTTAAAAATAAAAAGCCACTCGCTTCGCTCGCGGTTGACAAAAAGAACAAATTCGTAAAATAATTGTATGAAATTACGAAACTAAGCCACTCGCTTCGCTCGCGGCTTAAGAAAAGAACAGGTTCGAAAAAAGATTGTACGAAATTACGAAACTAAGCCGCGAGCGAAGCGAGCGGCTTAAGTAAACAACATATTTCAGATTATCGATACTAAAAATTTTTTTATTTTATTACATTTTTTTTTGCATTTTTTTTAAGGGTGCACACGAGAGGATCATGTAAACTTCAGAATTTAGAACCTTATTTTTAGGCATTATCTTGGCTACCTATTTAGGCTCGAAAAGCAAAAAATATCAAAAAATACAACTTGACTCCATTATGACCCTTTCATGGAGGTAGTTTTTATCCGCTAGTATTTTCCCTTTGAATCTCTTTACAATTCGAAATCAAATTCAAATCTCAGTAGAAGAAAGGAAGAATCGACTTACTACGGTTGTAATACGAATAAATACATATATTTAATTATTTTTATTTACATAATAATTGTTTGAAGCTCATATTCCATCAAATTTTTAAATAAAAACATTAAAATGTTGAAAATGTTCATATATTTTAATAGGGTTTTGGCACTTTATTGAGGAATTACTACATACATAGTCGAACTGAACTTGATATTTTGAAATTTAAATTATTTATCAAAATTAAAATTTAACTTGAAATTTATAATTATTTAGTCATATTTTGCATAATTCTAAGTAGATTTTGTAAAAAATCAAGAAAGAAAAATTTTAACGTGCTTTATTTTTTCTTTTTTATAATAATACATATTATTATATAATTAACATATTCATAATGCTTCACCCTTTCAAAAATATAATCCTCCTCCTCTCAAATAAACGTACATACGGGTGGCCTCTTTTTTCAAAAAATTAAAATTTGAAATTTTGGGCTCAAATATTAGAGATTTTTTCAACCTTCAACGATATATGTTGTCTATATCAGACCTCCTTTCTTTTTGATACTTAACATTGTTCCTAAATCTTAGCCGTTAAGGCTGTTCTGAAAATATTTTTTTTTGAAAAAATTCGAAAAAAATTCTTAAAATTCAAAAATCCCTTAATTCCTGAGGATTTTGGAAAAAAGTTTTTACATGAACATGTGTATATTATATGAAGTATATTGATAAGGTAAAAATCAAATTTTATTGCATATTCATCGAGAAAATAAACTAACGAATCCCTCAAAATTGAGAGTGTAATCCTCCTCCTCTCAAATAAACGTACATACGGGTGCGCCCTTAAGAAGCTAAATTCTGAAGTTTACATGATCCTCTCGTGTGCCCCCTTAAAAAATGCAAAAAAATTGAATACTTTACTGGCTGGGCAAATTTGTCGCCGCCCCCTTTGGACAAATTTCAGCTATTAACTTAGTGTAACAATTTCTGTGAGTTCGAAATATGAAATTTTGTGTTGATATATGTAAAAGTATCTATGATTACATGAAATTTTTATGATAATTTTTGAAGCACAATTAAGAGGAGTTATTCCATTATAAGTATAATCCAAAAGATAAAAAAATTGGATTTTACAATTGTTTTCTTCCTGCTATTGAAAGGTATATTTCTAGTTACTTGCTACATTTAGAGTATACTGTTTTATAGATCTACAATTTCTTAGGAAAAGTGACGGTTTTAAAGAGTTTTCTCATTTTTCATTGAGCAATATGCTAGCAAGAAACATTTTTCGCCTTTTCCGTAAGACCTATTATTTATCTGGATTTGTTGGTGTTTAAAAATGACACTCTCTTTATTATTAAAAAAGTTTTGAATTTATCTCAATCTCAGAATTGAATATTGGAAAAACATTTCAAGTTGATAGTATCACATATTCAATAGTTAATGTTTTTCGAAGAGAAGTTAGGGTTGGAACTGGAGTATTTAATGATTCATTTCCAAATGCAGTTAATATTGCATATAATAGTATGATACATGTCCCTCACTTTGTCGTATACTCTCATAAAGTCTGGAGTGTTATAGAAATAGGCACATGTGCATTTGCATTATGTGAAAATATTTCTTCTGTGAAAATAGGTTATAATGTTGAAGTTGTAGCAGAAAAAGCATTCCACTGTTGTTTTAATATTCAAAGTGTTATATTTGAGCCTCATAGTCGTTTGAAAGTTCTAGAAAAACAGGCATTTTATGATTTATATCATGTGAAAAGCATCGAATTTGGTGGTGATAGTCTCGAAAAAATCGGTCCATATGTTTTTGGATTTAATCATGAACTAAAATCCTTTAGATTCCCACCATCTGTAGCTTTTCTTGACTTTGAATCATTAAGAGGATTGCGCGATATTGAACAAATCGATTTTTGCGGAAAAATGGAAATTAATAAAGATGTTTTTAATAGGGATCCAAAACACGCTATTACTTCAACAGGTGTGAAAATCAAAGTGACTTCTAAATTTCCATCCAAAACTTTTGGGAAGGATGACATAGTAATTATTGATAATTCAATCAATTGCGTTTTTCCTAAAGCAGTTGAAGACTTCGAACTACAATGCAGATCACATAATAATCAATGTTATTACCGTCTTTTCAACGCCGTTTTCTATATCTTTATAGTACTTATTGAATCTTAAACAATCATTTCTATTTTAAAAAATTTCTTCTTCTAATTCATACTTGGCTTTAACTTGAAGCAGTTTTAAGTTGCTTCTTCTGAATTTGGTTACTTGAGATGAAATGAAGTCAACATGTATATATCCTTGCTTATATTGTTCCATAATTTCTTCTTGAATGGTAGATGAATATAATTCAAAAATAATATGCTGAATAAAAATCGAATTCATTCCTAAAAAATGACTTTATATTGATTTCCATGATGGTAATAAATGATATTGTCATCCTTATTCTTTGTTACATATCTATAGATGTAGAGTAATCAATTCAAGTCATCAAATTTAAAGAATCAATAAATAAAAATTGATTGTTTTTAAAATAAATATAACATAGCAATAATAATTTATTTGAAACAAAATAAAAAAAATATAAGATTCAAAATCTTGGATATGAAGGTGGAGGGAGCATACTTCTTACATCAGTCAGTGATGGTTCCATTAGCGTTGCTGCGGGTTGATTTGAGTCAACTAATGCTTGCATTTCGTCAGCATCAAATTGTATCAAATTTGGCTGATCTTTTCTAATTGATTGCTGTCCATAGAGTTTGAAATTAGATATAGATCTCTTGATCTTTCCATTCTGTGCAACATTTCCTCCATTAATAACATCCTCGAAATTAGAAAATCTGCAAATACATCCAATATTTTCGTTTCTAACTGAATTTTTCCTGACAAAATCAATAATTTTTTCAGAATGCAAAGGAAGAACAAAAGTGAAAACAACAGGATTAATGATGCATCCACACAGTTCAATAACAATATGCAACCACAAGGGTTGGAAGAATTCAGTAAACTTACTTTGTGCTTCCCAAGAAAGAGCGTTGTGGTTTTCATCAGTGAAATCATAATGAATGAATTTTCTGATTTCTTCGTAAAGTTCTAAACTATCTTTAGACTTTTTCTTCTTCTTAATCAATCCATTGAATATACTATATATAGTAGCAAGTAATGCCATAACCCAAACAATGCTTTTTTGGCCAATTAATGCACCAAAAACAATGGAAACATCAGAAAACAAACCAATGAAAATAAAATATGCAATAAACGATCCACAAAGGAAACAGACCGTTTTATAGACAGTTTGCATCGCATCCGGTGGGAATTGCTCTATATACAGGTTAGAGAAATAGTCTGCACGTTGTAATCTCTCATTAAACAGATGTGGAAGTTCATTATATTCTCGAATTGCCCATTTTGCTTCAGGAGACCATCTTCGCATGCTAAGAGAACTTGGAGAACTCTTAACTGACTGGAAGTAGTGGAATATTAGGTATAAAGCTTGAAAAGCTAAGTAAAAAGGTGAAATTAAAAATAATATGAACCCTATAACTTTGAAACGCTTTGAAAGAGAATCTCTGACTTGAGGAAGTCTAATATCTGGTACATCGCTAACAATTGAAGCTCCTGTTGAGTCCATTACGGTTCCATTCAAAGATATTTGGAAAATGTAAAAGAAAAACCGGGTCATTGGGAAGTGGCATGCCTGATTCATATAAGGAAGCTTCCATGTAAGTAATTCTGGGTCTGTAACGAAGGCAGTGATATAATTTTCCATTCGTAAGATTTCTTGGGCGATTTCGAGTGATGAAATGCGAACTGTACTATCTTTCTGTGCTATTGCATCTAAAATTTCAATCCAATCGAGAACATAAAGATCGACATCTTTAATTTCTAATGTTTCTTTAAAATATTTCCATATTCTTATAAATGTCGGAAGTGTGTAAGCAAACTGAAGTATCTGAATTAGGACGTAAATCGAAAAAATAACAACACAACATTCAATGAATAAGTTTGAGCGCTTCCATCCTTCTGAAAATGGTCTAATTACATCTGATATCTTTGTCGTAGTATTTATTTTGGAAATATCTATGCAGCGAAATAGAAGTACTGGTGAAAACGCAATAAAAAGACCAATTACTATATTACTAATGCTATTTATAATGAATGATTTAAGACCTCTCTGATAATAATAGTTATATATGTCTCTCCACGTGACATTTGGAAAAGTCATTATAAAATCTTAGATAAAAAAGTGACAAATTTTTATAAAAATTTCGCGATATTCAATTTAGATTTTAAACTTATAATTGATAGAATGGTCTAAAAAGATTAATTTATGCAGCATTCGCTCATAAATAATGAGAAATGATCACATTTTGTAAATTAATTTTGAAATGTACTTATTTATATGGAGCGTTATATTGACATATAGATAATACATAACAATATATGAGCAATTCAATAGAGTGATAGTCAGTTAAACCTATCTTTCATATTGTTACAGCACAATCTATTCTAATTCTATTAAAATTACATGAAATTATAGTGTAATGAGTTCTAAATCCTCTATATAGAATCTTCTAATATGGTATAATAGTATATATTACAAAGATATGAACGATCCAACAAATATTTTTGAAATTTTCAAATAACAATGAGCTAAAATTGTTTGTTAGTTGAAGCCCTATTATGCATTTCAATATTGGCAATAATAAGTGAATGGCCAAAAAAAACTCCCAGAAAAAAAAATGCTTCGTTCAAGGATTGTTTGTTATCCATGCTACATTGACTCTACAACAAAAGAATTCGATGGAAGAAAAATTTCCAAAGAATTATGTGTTGAAAAGCCAACAATTAAGGAATTAATCCTTGCATTTAAGGATTGCGGATTCACAGGAAAGGAAGAAGCAGACAAAACGCATCCCCGCGACTTCTTCAGATCAGGACGCGTTTCAATCGATTTTTATTCTATTAACGAAGAAACAAAAAAGAAAACATTACTTAATCCAAATTATAAAAACAGAAAATCCATTTATGCTGCTTTAGCTGCAAAAATAAAGGAAAATAGAGCAAATAATCGCACAAGCGAAGTTCAACAGCCTTCCAAGAAGAATAAGAAGAAATAAATTTTTGTAAATTCTACAATAAATGTGTAAAGTTCATTATTGCTAACTTCCTCATAGGTTTTTTATTTTTTTACCTTTAATTTATTTTTTTCAAATATTTTGTAAAATGAGGCTCCATGTTTTGCAAAATGATGGTATTTTAGATGTCGTTCATAGGATTGACTTGTTTGGGAATAGAAAAATTCGATAAATTGAAATTATAATGTGGATGTTCGTTATTGTAAAAAAAATAGATAGTATGAGATATTATAATCTTTATTACTAACAATAAGATAATCGATAATAAACATAAACATGAGAAGATAGTTATCCTTAATTAACAAAGAAAGTAGGGCCATATTCGCATGAATATGTGTCGTGTACTTTGAGTATATAAATATATGTCGAGCGTTCTCTATGAGAATGGTATATAATAGAATTTTCCAAATTTCATTTGTTCGACATATCCGATAAATCTAAATCGTGGAATTCCTGCAAAGATTTTACTTTGAGAGAATCTTCCTTCACGCCAGCACTATGTTTTGGAAGGTTAACTAATTTATCTGGAGGTTCTGGAACATTTCCTGGCTCTGGAAAGCCCTTATATTTATTTTCTTCCTTCTTAGCTTGCTGTGTTTCCATGCCTCCAACCTCTTCCTGCTTAAACTGAACATCGTCTTCTTCTTTGCACATAACAAAAATAAGATTAAAAAAACTTTTTACGTTAGGATTCAATTCCTATGCATCCTAACGTAAGATTTAATTTTTAATGTAATTCCATACATTTTGATATGTAGAATACCAAACGGATCTGAAAAGTGAGAAGTGATGTATGCATAAGGCTGCATTATCTGGTTTGGGATATTGAACTTGTGGAATATAATATCTAAATTACTTCAATGTTCCCAATTCAAAAGAATCATCAGATGAATTCATTCTTATCGGTTTGATATGAAATATGTAAACGACACCAACTTGAGACAATATAAGTACTATTATCAAATGGATTTTAATTGCATTTCTGCTTATTATCTTTTTGATAAAGTTTAAATTCATAAAAATATTAAAAATTATTACTTTGAATCTCCATTTCAAGTGTACGGATGCAACACCCAACATGTTCCTATGATAAAATAATATTAAAGTAGTGTTTAAAAAAAGTTTTTAAAGATAAATAATTAATAATTGATATTTCATGATTCATGTAATTGGATATAGTTTAGTACATGTAATAATGTAGTTACTTACTTCTTTGCTGTCTTGATTTCTGGTAATTTCTTTTTGCGGAATAAGAAGTAAGCAGCAGCACAAATAGACACACTGACTGCAACTGCAGTTATAATCTTGTAAGTGGATGTTGTTTCCTTTTCGTCAGTAAAGTCAATGGAAAGATCATCGATTAGAGGTGAAATGTAGTTAGCTGTTTCAACACATAGCTCACGAAGTGTTTTTGAATTCTTTTGCTGATCTCCGAATTCTTTGATCTTCTTTGTGTTGATTTCGAATTCATCCTCAATTGCAGAAATTTTCTTTTCAAGAGGGGATTGAATTGAAAGAGAAATAATTCTGATATAGTTTACAGTGTTTGCAAAGTATCTGACAAACTCTTCTGTTGGTTCCTGTGAAAGTGTTTTACCTTCATTGATAATATCGGCAAAGCACTGCAATGATTGATAAATCTGGCCCTTCTTATAGAAATCTACGCCAGCATTAAATGAGACTGCATATTTATCATCAGGCATATTGTTTTTATGTCGAATGTAAAATTAGTGATGTAATTGTATCGTACATCTCAATTTATCTATCGTAAATGCATTCTATTTTGATTTATCTAAATTAATGGATATTTATTACTGACAATAATAAACATCTATGAACATATTGGAAAAAGTTCAAAATGATCAAAAATTAAAAAACAATAAAAAAAATCTTTCATAAAAATCTCTATTGACAGTTTAAATTTATTTGCTGTCTGATGTAGCTATGGAAACTTCATGAAAAGATTGATTTAACAATAAAATATATGAAAAAGTGTCAAAAATAAGGTTTTGAACTTCAATAAAATGATTTCCTTAAAAAAGAATTTAAATTATAGAGAAAAATTAATCTGATTAAAACAAAAAGAAAAATACATGAATTTTTTATGATTTAATGAACTTTGACAGTCTGATATAGAACTGCTTGCCGAACTTTCTTCTATGCCTGTTAAGTTCTTCATTCGAAGCAGTTTGGCTGATCTTCTCTAAGTAACCAAGGATATCATCTTGTCCAGAAGAAGAATAATACTCAAGAAGATGTTGTCCAATCAAGTCATTTGCCTGACCTTCAGTAGATACATACATTCTGTAGTGCAATTCGATGATTGCTTCAACAACAGCTGTCCATTCTTTTGAATCTGGTCTAAACTTGCTTGATTGTATGAAACAAAGTGTTGGGCCAACGAAATCCTGTGTTATCTGGTGCGGATTCAATGGAACTACACTCCTTACGAACGAAATCAAAGGTGCAATAACAGATGGATGGTCGTATTGATTTTGGAGGGCTGTTTGCACCATAGTAAGTATAGTTGTCATATTGTCTTGGTCAATCAAGTGCTCATCTGGATTTCCGATCGCCACGCCGATCATTTCCAAAAATCTTGCCGTCATTTCAACTTTCAACCGAGCATCATCACCCAAAACGTTGCTCCAGTCGAGTGGCGTTATAGAGTTATATATAGAAATGATTGGTATTATCAATGGCTGTATATAGTCATGTGCCCACGAGTGATCAGTTAATTCCTTTGAATTCAACAAAGCTTTGATCGCGAGACACAATTCTCTGTATGATTCGGTGTCCTTGTCAACAGGTATGAGCAATCCAAGTATCTCCAAACCGTAATGTTCGATGGAAGCGTAAACTGTCCTTATGAAATTTGACAACAATTTATCACTTTGTGTTGCAAATGGCATAATGTTCATAAGGAACTCAGTGACAGGCTGTATGTGTGTGGAGTTAGGGGAGTATGTCATTGATCTAACGAACTGAAGGATTAAGATCAAATAGTCCGGTTGTTCTGATTCAGGTGTTTTATTGAAAATTTCCAATAATTCATCCATACATTGCTGGAAGAAATCAGCTTGTTGGCCGGACATGTATTGGATGAGCATTGCGCTTGTTGCTATGATGTTTCCATCTTTGTATTGGACAAGCTGATGGATTAATGATGGATCGAATTGAATCAGATTTCCATTTTTCTTGACTAATGTAAACAACGCGTTTGTAATGCGTTCGTGGACTTCTTCGTTGTCTATCTCCGATGTACTAGCTCTAACCAAGGAGTTGAAGACTTCTGTAATAACATCTGTCTCAAAAATTTCGGCAACCGCCAAAAAGTACGTTGTAAAAATACAATAAGAAATTTCTTGGAGGGGAACTTCACAGGGAAATTCTAAACCGACAATCGGTGAAAATTTGCCAACTAAGTAATTAATGTGGTCCTTCAGCTGTTTGTTCTTTAGGATCGAGGAAATGACATAGAGAACGGATACAGCAGTTGAGAAATCATCGAAGTTAGCCATGTCAATGAATTGGATGAAAATATTTAAGACATTTTCTTTGTCTTTCTTCAAACACTTTTGCGCTGCGTGAATTGAGACTTCTAGGATTTCTTCGTCAAGGCTGTCCAATGTAGTAACATTTTCGAAGAAAATAGAGAGCCTCTGAATGATTTCTGTGAGAATATCTGGAATTTTTTCTGGATCTACTTCGATATATGCTTCAAAGAAAGGAAGAATGGATACAACTGAGTTATCATTAGCTGCGCGAAGGAAATTAAGTGACATTTCGTAGTATCCATCGTACATTTGATATTGAATTGCATATTCGCCGGCTGCGCATAGGAATGCGGCAACTGCGCACTCAATCTTTGTATCTATTTCTGTTTCGCATACATTTGCCACGATTTGGAGTGGATTTATGACCTCTAAAACGGCAATTCTGTTTTCATCTGGCATTCCGCGCTTTACAATTGTCTTGAAGATGTTAAGAGTCTCAGGACATGTAATTTTTGAGTTAATACCTTTCCAAATTGCAGTTAATGATTCATTATTTACGACAAATACTAAACTTACCCATTTAAGTAGCATTCTAAGAGCTTCAAAGACATCGAGATGGTCTGGTTCGAGGTTGTCAATAAGATATTTAGTAACAATAAGATCAGAACCGTCTGCACGCATTGAATCTTTGATATGAGTAAATAATTGCGTATTTTCGTATGTTAAAGTTTCTGAATAAAGACCAAAGTATTTGAAAAATGTAATAACATCCCTTTTGCTGAATGAATTGAGAAAATCTGACCAAAATGAAGGCCATTGTTCAGGATATAGATGCCAAATTGTAGCAACGCGTGACTCTGAAAGAATATTGATAAATGATTGATCATTTGTCCCATTAAAGTTCGAATTTTGGTTGAAAATTAAATCTTTGTAGGCAACAATGATTTCAATTGGTAGTTCAGAGCCATGGAATTTAATAATATCTTTCATTTTAGTGTTCATGAATTTAACACGAAGTAAAGTTCCGCAAGATTCATAATTTTGGATTGCAAAAGCAGGAAAATCTGGAGATTCAGTAAACTCCTTCAAAAAATTATTGGATGCATTAATTTCCTCTTGGCTTTTACCATCAAAATTGGCTACAAGATCAACTGCAGTATAAAAATCTTCCATTTTTTTGATTGAAGGATAAAAAAAATATTTTTTTCATGAGAAAATTTCGCCTCAAAAGAAAAAAAAAATGACATCATGAAATTAAATTGTTCATAATAGCTTCTCTTAAGCTATACGTTACTATTTTATTTCAAAATTGGTCAATTAACTCTTCTTTCGGTATGAAATTCCATTTCAATAAGTTCTCATATTTATTTATGTCATCATAAAGGGAATACTATAGTACATATGCTTAAAACTGGCAGTCCTTGTAAGCAAAATTAGAAATCTTAAAATTTTCGAATAATTTTCTATCATAACGAAGTGTTTTAATAAAGAAACATAATGATCTTATATCATTCAAGTATTTATCAATATAAATGTATAGAATGGACCTAGGAGTCCAATATTTAACCTAATCAAATTTTAAATTATCCACCTATATTTTCATTAATCTTATTGGAATTGAGCTTAACAGAAATATTCATAAGTAAAGAATAAATCAAGTCTAAATAAGCTCTGCAGATAAAAAAAATAGCTTTGTTATTGTTATTAAATTATACATGTCATAGCTATAAATAATCATATGCTGATATACGACTTTTTTTATTAGCAGTAATATGAAAAAAACAAAAATTTCAAATTTTTCGAAAATGGATGAATCATTTGATATGCTAACAATCAAATGGAATGATTTTGAACTTGATCCAGATAGTACTATCAAGGAAGGTACTTTTGGTCGTGTTTTTAACTGCATATATCAAGAACAAAAGGCTAAAATCAAAATTTTCAAAATTTTAAAAAGAGATAACGATAAGTCATCATATATACGCGAAGCCCTATTTCCAAATCTTATATCACATCCAGCTATTGTCAAACCACTTGGCCACAGTCTTTACATTGATCCTGATGTATTAAAAAAAATTAATAGCCCAGTAAAGGAACTATTCGAAAGTTCCGAAGCTTTCTTAATTACGGAAAAGAAAGAAGGCGACACTTTACGTGAATATCACCAAAAATATATCCATAAAAAAACGCTAACAGACATTACTGATGCTATCTGTCAGCTTTTTTGCATTGCCAGAGTATTAATGACTCTCAATGAAAGAGGAATTTATCACGGCGACGTTTCTGACAATAATATTATGGTAAATGGCAAAAATGCATGGCTAATTGATTTCGGAAACGCTGAATCAGGCGAGAAGAAAAGAATCGGTGGTACTTACTTTGATAAAAACAACGAAAACAAATTTTCAGATTGTTATGCCTTTGGTTTAATGGTAACTCGGCTTTATGAGAATTACTTGGCCTTTCAAATACCTAAAAATACAAAGATGTCGACAATTTGCGAATGGCTACAAAATAATCAACTTTTTAAGAAAGAAATTTACGAAGTAGATGAATTTAACACGTTTAGAGATAAATATATAGTGAAAGAGAATAAGGAACGATCGGATGGAGCCACTTTTAGCATGTTTAGTCTTAATAATTTAATTAAATTACCTTATTTCAAAGAAATCCAATATAATCTCTACAAAATGGCGAATCTTGGAAATGGTCATGCACTTCTCATACTCAGCCACATGTGGGCGAATGGATTTTTTGCAAGAAATGACTATTATCAAGCAATTTTCTTCGCATTAGAAGCAAAAAGAATCAAATTTCCTTCCAGCGATGAATTTGTTTCTGACTACGCATATAAACTTGGAATAGAACTCCCTAAAGGTAAATTTGATGTAAAAGAAGTGTATCAACTTGTAAATCAGAAACTGATTGAAGATGCAAAACGAGGAAATTGGATTGCTCAAGTTAGATTGTATTTTATAAGAAAGCAACAAGGTAAAAATGATGAATTAACAATGAAATTGGAAAAAGTCCTTTCTATTCATGAAATTCCTGAAAATGAATTAAAATCTGAAGAAAATTTGGCAAGAATAAAATACAATGAAATTGACGCAATTGGAAATGATACAAAGCATAGTAATATACTTCATCCGACTACAAATAACAATGGAACTACTCAGGAGTTTTGTACAAATGATCTAGATTGTAATAACTCTGAATCTCGTGGATCTGAATTAGAAGAAGATCGTTATTATTCTGATAGAAGTTCCAGTTATCTTTGATCAATTTTCTGTCGTTGTGTTAACTTTAAATTGTTTGTTTTGTGGTGATCTTTCATCCCTATATTTATTTAAATTTGTCTTTCTCTCACTTTTTTTTTAGCATGGACTTACACACCTATGACATGGCCTTCAATTCAGATGCTTAATGTTAATTTTCAATGACGCTTCACGTAAGTGCAGCCTTAACTTTTTCAAAATATAGTGAATTGAAAGATTTACACGCGAAGAATATGATTTCAAGTTTATGTTTCATTTTTCTAAGATGAGAGGATGTCAAAAAGTAGTAAGTTAAATATGTAAAGGAAGATAAAGAGAGAAATAGAGCCAAGAAATAAGTTTAAGATAGTAAAAAAGAAATTATTGACAACATAAGCAGTTTAGAAAAAGACTTAATAAAGATTTCTGGCTTCGTGAATGTTTCATTTCACATGGTGCAAATATCAATGAATATGAAGGAATTGCTCTTCGTAATTCCAGCCAAATATCAAAGAAACAGTCAAACTTCTTAATTCACATGGTCCAAATATAAATGAATAAGATAATAAAGGTCAAAACACCCTTCATAAAGCAGCAGATAATAATCGTGAAGGAATCACCTAACTTTATCTTTCATATTGAAGATGCAAAAATCAATGATAAAGATGATGAAGACACCTCTTCATAAAAGTAGCAGGTTAAAATAGCATAGAAATATATAAATAATAATACATTTTAGACTAAAATAAAAATTAATAAAAACAAAACATTAAAAAATATTTAAGCTTCTTCATCATCTGCCTGTGCATCGAGATCTGCATTGTTGTCAGGCTGTTCTTTTGCCTGATCCGCCGGAACTTCTTCAATAATTTCTTCTTCCTCAATAACAACAATTTCTTCTTCTTCCACGAACACGTGTTCTTCCTCTTCATTGAAATTAGTCTTCGTGTTGAAGTCAGTTGCTTCGATAGCATTGTAATCCGTGTCAATATTAAATGCTCCAGGAGGATCTTGAGATCTCATTGGCAATCTTGAGATGCGATCTCTTAATACAACACCTGGCCTAACGAAATCTGTTTTCTCCTTAAGCTGCAACAGGTTGTTTTCATCAACAGGTTTTTCTTTCATATACAAAGGATAAAGGGGTCTGTCAGCAGTGGTACCATATAAATCAGTTATCGTCGTTGTAATCAAATCTCTAATTTTATCATAAAATTTATCATCCAATTGCACAGCTGTTCCTGAGCTAACAGGAGAAATAGATGATTGCGGTGAATCCGATTGGCTTGGGATGAATCTTCTTCTTGTGTTTTTATCTTTATTCATCTGATTTTCTTCCAGCATTTTTTGGTTTTCTATTGATTGTTCCTGTACTTCATGGACATTTATCCATCTGTTTAATCCTTTCCCTTGATTCAGTTGTTCTTCGATCGCTTCATCCATTTTGTTTTTCTTCTTCTTTTCTTGCTCTTTTTGCTTCTTCGCTTCTTTCAATCTCTCTATTTCTTCTTGTGCAGCTTTCAACGCCATAATCTTTGATTGTTGCTCTTCTCTCTTCCTTTGGTTTTCCTCTTCTTGTTGCTGGGCTGCTGCTCCAACTAATCTGACTTCTTTGTGTCCGGCAACTCCTCCACGTCTTTTAACTGTTGTTTCGCCTTTTTCTTCTTCAATTTCGCGGAGATCGTATAAAGGATTGATAGAAACAGCGTCTTGGTATTTGCTTCTCGGTGGTGCTCTCTTTTTCTCCTTTTCGTGTTTGTCTTCTTCTTCTTCTTCGGGCATTTTAACGGATGTTCCATCAGGTAACATGTATCCGAAACGTCTGGAATAGATAATACGTGGTTGGTCGGGATCCTCTTTGATGGAGCCTGATTCGTCATCTGATGAGGATGATTTGTTGAGTCCTAATCGTTCCATTTCGATTTCATCCATTGATGAACTTGATCTGTCGCTGTCTTCTTCTTTCTTTTCGTGTGCGGCCATGTATGCTTTGATATCTTCGGCTTTGCGACGCATGCGAGGCTGGGATTGCGATGTAACGGCTTTTTCGGTAAATCCGCCGCCAACAGGTAAATTACTATCAGCAAGAGAGCTGATAGGTTTTCCGTATCGTTGCACTGGTGTTTGCCATGAACGCTCGCTAGGCATAGAGACTTGCTGACGGCCTCTTCCGCCAAATCGAAATCCACCGTATCCGCCACGTCGAGAACTGTCGTTGATAGGAGTTCCTCCGAATCTGTTTGCCATTTCTTGCTGTATGGCCATTCTCTCTTTTTCTGGATCTGGTTCTGGTTCTAGAAGTGCTGGGTCTGGACGCTGAGGAATTCTTCTTTCTTCTTGATAGGGTTGTCGCCTTCCTGTACCAGCTTGCATGCCTGAGCGACCCCAACTCTTCATGCGCTTCTGTGCTTTTTTCTCGGCAGCTTGTTCTTCAGCAATTTGATCAAAAGTTAATTCTGATTGCATATCTCTTATTGGTTTATCGACTAATTTACCTGCAACCCAGTCACTTTTCATGATTGTTTTCGCCATCTCTGCTTCTTTCTCTTTCTTCGGATCAGCAACGATTCTACCGATTGTTAAACCGGTTTTATGGAATTTGACTTTATTATCCAGAGGAATGAGATCGGCGAATTCTTGATTTGCATATTTACTGTTATTTTGTAAATAGATTTTGTTTGCATCAGGTTTTAACGAGGTCATTTTTTTGAAACAAAAGTGACGATTTCATATCATTGATTTAGTGATTTCTTTTGTTACTCAATGCCTTGTAACAGAAAAATTAGATTCAAAGCACATAACTTTCTTACATTTCTTTTATAAATTCTCGAAAATACATAAAAATTTAGATAAAAATTCTAAAATCATTTGGTTATAACTCATTTGGACTATGTAGTTAAAATTTTATACTAAAATAACAGATATTTTTATAATCCTTATTTAATTTTTATAAAAAAATAATATCAAAATGATTTAGATTAGATAAATAGAAAATACAGTTTACAAATATAAAAAAAAACATTAATTGGCCATTACCTTTTCACTCTTAAGTTGAGTGAAAATAGGAGGTAAATCTGGATTAAGCTTAATAAGCTTTTGATCGTTATCACTAAGCTCGGATGTCTTTGTATATACAGGACGTTTGATGTACATCCTTGAGTAAGTCTTACGTCTTGGAATTTCTGTAGTTTTATCTTTTTGTTCTTCCTCTTCTTTCGGTTGCTTTCTTAAACCTATCGTTAAGCAATCAGGAAGTGGCATTGTTCTTTGTTGTACAACTACAGGTTTTTCTTCGACAACATCTCTTTGTTGCTTCAATGCAGTTTGTGCACGTATTTTATTAGCTTTACGAATAATTACTGCATCGGCAGCACTCGGTGGTCTTTCCATGAGATGCTGAAGAATTGATTGTGGTCTTCTAGGTCTAGAATTTGAATTATCTCTTTTTATTGTATGTTTTGGACGATCTGCTGCTGAAATGTCAAGTCCATCTAGTACTTTAAGCCACGGCATGGCAGCAGCTACTGTTTGTCTATAACCTTTTTCTAATGTCAGTGGATTTCCACGTAAATCAAGGACCTCTAAGTTTCTTAAATGAACGATTTTAGCGAGTGTTTGTTCTAGATCTTGTAATTTATTTGATGATAGATATAATTCTGTGAGAAAAGTTTGTCTTGATAAATTTAAATCTTTTATGAGGTTATCGCGAGCATCTAACAGTGTAAGACGAATATTCTTTTCTAAATTGTTCAATACTTCTATTTTGTTGTGAGGAATATATAAAGCCACTAAATTTGGATAAAATGAAAGGTCGTTTGGTCCGATTTCATGAATATTAGCTTGATCAACAACAAGCTCTTGGGTAGAAAATGGTGTTACCTTTAATTTCGAGGATGTTTCTAAAAATGGATTTCGTGTTTTTTTCGTTTCTTTCATCATAAATAACGTTTTTTTTAGAAGATTTTTTTCGAAGATCCGAAACAATGGCAAGTTAGGTTTTCTTTATTTTAAGTTACTGATTACGCTTTAATCGAAATATACTGTCATAGATAATAAAATAAAAGAATTCAAAAAATAATTTTGGTCAAAAGAAGCTTTAAGTTGGTAAAAAGCAAACAAAATAGAGTGTTTATTAATAATATAAAAAGATAACAAAAGAAATCATAAAACATAAAAAAAAAATTATTTCATAATGATAGAAAGTTGTGATTTGAGAGGCATGATTGAAGGCAATCCTTGTCTGAATACTTTTCCTGGTGGCATCTTATGAGGAATGAGTTCTTTCCTTACGCATGCGAATAATGTTTCCATTCCTTTATCAATGTAGATTGCCGTGCAGTCTGTTGTATGGTGCATCTCCCAAACAACTTGTTTCTTCACGTAATCGTAGATATAAATCGATCCGCCTGCATCACATGAAGCAAATTTGTTTTCATCATAAACTGGGAATACCTGGCGAATGGCATGAGTATGCAAGTTGTTCAAAACAAATAATTGAACGTTATTTTCGATATCCCAGATTCTGACAGAAAAATCTTCACTTCCTGAGAACAAGAAGAAGCCATCGAACTCAAGAGAGGTGATAGAATCAGTATGTCCTAATAATTGTGTCTCAACAAATGTTCCTCCGTCATTTTCTCTCCAAATTTTAATAATATTGTCGTTTCCTCCCGTAGCAAGCGTCAATTGTCCGCACATCCATGTTGCAGAGCTTGTCAAAATTTCTTTGTTGTGTCCTTTCCACATTTTGACCATAGAAACTGCTGCATAAGACAAACTCTCAAAAATAGCATCGATTTGCCAAAGGGAAATATATCCATCGTAATCGCATGAAAACATAACGGTTTTCATCTCATTTGAGACAACTGACATTGATGAAATAGAATTCTTATGTCTGGAAGGAAGTTCTACGTTCTTCTTATCAGTCAGATTGAGGTAGATGATTTGGCCGTTATCATGGCCAGTTATTGCGTAAATTAGGTCTCCAATTAATCTTTCACGTAATCCGATGTATCCAGAAAGGATTGCGAGGTGTGTTGGTATCTTAAACTCACTACGCATTGAGAAATCATTGCGATCCCATGTCCTGATGACTTTGTCAACACCAATTGTCGAAATTACGTCATTTGCCTGGTCTCTAGTAGTTTTTACGTAGAACACTGACTTGTTATGTACTTTATATGACTTCTCGACTGTACCGCGATTGATTCTGAAGAGAGTTACGCTGTCTCGAACTAAATATAAAAATGTATCTTTGGAAACAGGAGTAATTTGAAGTCCGCCAAGTCCAAGCTTCTCTGTATATAATAATGTGATTCTTTCTTCGGCGTTGTAAATGAATAATGAGCCAGAAGTGTCTAATAAAACAAGAGTTCCTTGTTTTGTGCAGAAATAGCTTGTATAATTGACTTGGTTTGGATTAATGATCTTTGAATGTATGCAATAGTTCTTTGGATTGAAAACACGAATGATATGATTATATGAGAAAGCCAAAATGTTTTCTGTACGTGGATTGTAGACGATATCGCAGATTCCATGATCTGCAAGATGCTTAGGGCGGTTTATCTGTGTAAATGTTGGATGATCTGATAATTGAACTTCGTATTGTGCAATTGAGCCATTTTCGAATCCTGCGTAGATATATCCGCTGTTATCAACTCTTGAGTTTGAATATATGCACATGCAGAAGAATGGTGTACGAGATTCAATGAAATGGACTTTTTTGAATAAAGATACTGATTTCATGGTTCCTCTGAGAGTTTGTTGAACGAGAACTGTAATTCCACGCATTTCAACAACGAATATATGCTTCTGGAATGCTTCTATATGAAGTGGTGTTTGTTCAAAAACACTAATTGTTTGAACGAGAGGATGTTCAGGAATTGTTTTCTGTCCTAGATTCCAGACAAGAACTTTACGGTCAGCACCAGCAGAAAACAGCAATTGAAGTGTAGTCGACCAGTATAAAACTGAAATAACACCTTCATGTTCAGTAACTTCATAAGATGGTAAAAGAACTGGGTTATCTAGCTTCTCAGGAATAGTCCAGCGATATAAGGTGCCACTCTTAGCGCCGGCAAAAATGTATGAAGGTGGAACATAAACGCATTTAACTAAAGCACTTGATTTTTGTGTAAATTTTTCTTTAGGAAGAGTCAGCGTCAACGTCTTGGAGAGTGAAACACTGCACTCGCCTTGAGGATCTGCAGACATCTAATAAAAAAACGTTCGACATATTTGAATAGTTTACATTCGATTTGGAAAAGATCAATGAATCTCATGACAAAATCAAGAAATAGAGATGATTTGGCTGATTAACTATAAATCTACATGACAAAGCAGAAAGTTTAATGCATGATTTTCAAACAATTTAGCATAATATATAATATTAGCTAGATTTAAAAAATGTAATAAGAAGATATATAAAAACTAAAGTTAAGTAATGTAAGTATATTGACGGTTTTACTCTGTAATGAAGAAATCTATGAAATGCAAACATTGAAAAAGCAAAATTTAAGTTTTCTCGATCATTTGTTGATGCTTCGGGTTGTACTTATACCGCATCAACTTGGATACTTCTCTCTGGTCTCTTCTTGACAAGAAGATTGCAGCTGCACATCTTGCACTTGATTAAGTTAGAATCCTTGGTGCCATTAGGGATGTTGACTGTAGCGCCACAATCGACGCAGATGTATTCTGAAGTTGGTTCAGATGTTTCGCGAGAAGACATTTGAAAAGGTCACTTTTATCATCCTGCCATCTAAATTTCTATAATTTGTTTTTGAGAATTCTTTGATATAAAAACAAATTCATTAATCATAGGTTATTCTATTTTTGGCGGTAAAATTTCAAAATTATTTATATTTTTTGGAGATCTCCCACACATTTAGTTTTTCTGGGCCATCATGGAGGACTTCAAAGAATAACATCCTCATACCATTGTTCATATTGATTATTAGTGGTGTTTTATCATTCTTTTTTCGACTCTTACCGCAAAAAAACATTCGAACTCGTTCAATGAAATATTCGACCAAAAATGCATCAGTTTTAGTAGGTATATTAGTTGTTACTCCTGGAAATATATCGAGAGTTATTCATACTTATCAATATTGGGGATTAGATTTTATATCTTCATATCCAGATTCACAACTATTAATCATTTCTTCGAAAGACTTAACTAATTATACTAGCAGATCATTTTTATTTCATACTGATCCAAATTTGCGCGAAGATCAGAATTTTGCGTTTGGATTTATTGAATCTCTAGCATATTTTGTCAAAAATACAACATTACGTTGGTATTTTCGTACAACAGAAGATAGTTTAATAAATGTCCCAAAATTTCAAGATTTTATTGATGAATTAGAATCAAAATATAATCCACTTACAGATATTGTTATTCTCGGCCAGTTATGTCGTATTGATGAAGATTTTGCCTTCATACATGGAGGTTCCGGATGGATAATGTCAAGATACGCTGCAGAAATGTATGAAAAAAACAAAGAACAAATTGAACGAATATATTTCGAAAGTATCGGAGGTGACGATACTATAACTGATTCTATTAGGCGAGTATTTAATTTAACTGATGAAGAAATGCATTCAACATCAGTTTTAGGCGTTCGACTGGATGATTTCTCGATTCGCGCCTTAAGGTCGAATAATTTCACTGGTATTGATGTCTGTCCAAGTATGACAACGATTTCTACTGATAGACCAATACAATTGAACAAATTAATTATTTGGCATTCGGGAAGAGAAGACACTCTACCTGTTGTAAGTGGCTATGACATTCTTAATAGAGTATCTGATGATATATATGTTTATTATAAGCCCCACTGGGCATCTGTTTGTAGTTATTATCGATAAATTTACATAAATAAATTGTTTATTATATTAGTGTACTTAATATATCCTTCGATTTCGATATACCTAATCCTGAAAACCACTGTACCTGGAGATGGATAAATATAACTAAATTATGAAATTTCCATGGTTTGGCATCAATTACTATAAAATTTTTATTGATTGCATATGTAGTTAATAAAGTAATTATTATTTTTGTAAAATAAGCAAGTATTGATTCTTTTACGATTTTTGAAATAGTATGGTTGTCAAAAAAAATTGTAAAATTAAAAAAACTGTGAAATTGAGCTTTGCTCGTATCATCTGCCATCGACGCTACAGGAAAAACTTTAAGAGAGCTGTATGGTAATTTTAAATATACTCGCCAGTTGAAATCCAACAAAATGATGCCCAAAAAAATTCTAACATTAATTATATTCATATTCTTATTACAATAAATTTTTATTCATACTGCGGTCTATTTTCAAAAGAATATTGATGAACTTTCTCAATAAAATGTTGATACTCCGGATCATGCAACAATAATTCCTCATTTCCGTTGTATTTCTGTCTTAAACGACTGGTTATTTCTTTAAGTTGTTCAAAATTATTTCCCTGACCAAAGTATTCAACATATTTCTTATTTATCTCTCGATTGATATCTTGGCCCCAATGAATTGCTTCATGCAGTGGATCAAATCCTGGCATTAAGCAGAATGCTCTTTCATTTGCAGCTTTGATTAACTCTTTATTGCTCGTAGCATGTATTAAGCAGAATAATAATCTAACATGAGCCTTTCTGAAGTAAGGGTTGATTTGTATGCATTTTTCTAAATCATCTATTGCTTCACGAAATCTTTGCATTCTAATTAAAGCTGCGCCTCTATTTGAATATAGAAGATGATTTCTTGGATTAAGTTCTATTGCTTGTGTATATAGGTCATATGCTGACTGATACTTGCCCTCATTAAACTTTTTGTTTCCTTGCTGTTTAAGTGTTTCACTATCCATTTAAAAATGTGATGTGAAAAAAAAATCGAAGTATAAAGTACTCTGTTTTTGGATTTAATCTCATTGTTTTGCAGATATTCACTACATCTCTTAGTCCATCACATATATCTATAAACATTGTTTGCGTATATCTTTTAGCAAAGTCAATTTCTAAATTAGATTTTGCCAAATTATGTGTAATATTTATATTCCTAATTAAATGTGTAGCAAACAGATAGCAGTAATGCATATATGATTCATTTTAGTATGATTAGATTAGAATTCAGTTAAATAAAAATTGTATTAATGGAATCTTTGTCATTCTAAATCATGCAATCTTAATAATAACATTCATTCAGGAAAATTATTTTAATGAGAAAACAAAATTAACCCTTTACGTGGATTCTAAATTCGAGATTTGAGATATTTGAAAAGAATCTGCTTTGATACTATGGAGAGTATTATGTTTAGGCATTACTGTAACCAAATATTAAGTTTTCTATGAGTTTTGATGAAAATTAAAATATATATAATTTGAAAAATTGAATTCTTTGATATTTGGTTAGTGCAAAGCACCATCCAAATATCGAAGAATAATATCATATATTTATTTAAAATATGATTAGAATATCTGAACGAAAGTAGTATAAGTGGACGGGTTGTGTGACTTTTTTTGTTACATCTATATATAGACGATGCATTAAAATATATTTATTTATAAATCATTAAAAAATTAACATTAATTTTAAAATAATTTATTTTTTTATCTTTTATAAAAGAAGCTATATATAGATGATGTCAGATATTCCGCGATTAATTAAACATCATTTAAATCCTGAATGGGTTAAACTTCAATTTAAAAATGAAGATTGTGAATTATTAAATGAATATGAAAGCCAAAATAAGCTAATGAGGTATAAATATAATGATAAAGAATATTTAATTTCATGGAATCAATGGAGTCATAATCAAAGACCTCATAAACGAGAAGATGAAATTGAAAATAATGAAATGGAAATCATTGATGACATTAAAGAGGATGGAATTCCTAAATTTTGTAGAAAAACCTTTAGAACTAAGTTAGGAGTATATAAACGTAGAGTATTAAATCCTGAATACATAAAACATTTATTTAAAAAGGAAGACTGTGAATTATTAAACGCTAATGAATATGAAAATGCTAAATCAAAACTGAGATATAAATATATTGGAAGTGATGAAAGGTGTAAAGATAAAGATAAAGTTTATTCAGTTTCATATAATAACTGGCACACGTTAGGGATAAGAAAACATTTAGGAGATTATGGTAAAAGTTCCGAATTCTTCAAATCTAGTATGTACGAGAGAATAAAATAAATCAGATATAATTATTTTCATGAATAAAAGATTCACTACCATAATGAAATAAAAAATAAAAAAATTTTTAAAAAATAAACTTTAAAAATTCATGTCTTACATTTTTGAATAATTTATTTTTTTAATTCGTAAGAAAATGAGTGGATCAAGATTTGTAACCGTCAATCAATTAATGGATGCTCTTTCACCAATTCTTGAAAATGTTAAACAAGTAGATGTTTATTTCGATGATTATGTAGAAAGTTTATATTATAAAGGTAAACATAATATTAAACCCATTGCTTTTGCATTTGATAATAAATTAATTGAAAATGCAAAAATTTGGGAATTAATTCCAGATATTGAATATATAACGAATATAACTAATAAATGGTTCAAACGAATTCCAACCACAAAAGTTCTTTGTAAATTAATGATCAAAACCGAGGCCAAAGAATTTCATGAATTTACATATCATCCAAATAAAGTTTCAGAACTAGAAAATGAAAAACTTCAGAAAAAATTAAACGATAGACTTTCAAATGATCGTATTGAAAAAATAAATAAACTAGCAGAAGTTGCATTTAATAATGAAATATTTGATGAATATAACCTTGAACTCAGTGATGGGCTTTAAGGACCCGGGCTCAACGAGTCATGATTTATGAAATCAATAATTTGATTTATTCGCTCTTCAATAATTTCTATTCTTTTTGTTAAATCATCTATTTTCATTAATGAGGTGATTCTTGATTGAGGAATAGATTTCAAACTAACCACTCCTTTTATTTTTGAAATTTTGAATCCATCAACTTTAAACATTTTATTCAATTTACACGTTGTCAATTCTTCAAATAATTTTTTATTATTAGCATAATAGTCATTAAATTCTTCAACAGATGAAAAATTTTTTATTTCAGTAATTGGTTTAACAACGTTTATTTTTTGTTGAACATTACCAACATCATTTATTTCTTCCTCCTCTGTTTCATTTATTTTAAAAATTGGTTTCATTTATCATTAAATAAAAATTAGAATATAAGTGATGAAATATATTTTTAATTAATATTAAATCAGAAATGGCGGCAGGATTCTTTAAAAAATTATGGGATGGAATTAAGAAAGCTGCAGGTTGGGTTCATAAAAATATTATTAAACCCGTTGCAAACTTTTTGGCACCAGTAGCGAAAACGGCGGGAACTATCATAGGTGGAGTATTAGGTACTAAAGCAGGTAATCCGGCAATGGGAGCACAAGCAGGTAACGCAATTGGTGGAATTGCTGAAGGAATACTTAATAAAATAGGAGGTAGATAGTGGAAAAATAAATAAATATTATTTTTATCTTAGTATCGGTTGAAGTCTTTGATAAACTTTTTCTCCTTTATTTAAAACTTCTCTTATTGGGGCAGCTTTTGGTGTTATTGATTCAGCAATGTCACTAATTGCTTCTTTATTCTTAAATATCCAATCTGCTCCTTTCTTCATTGTTTCCCAAACTTTATGCGCTCCTCTTTTTACTTTATCCCACAGTTTCTTAAATATACCCGCGGCCATAGTTGATTATTTCATTAAAATTAAAAATTCGTTTTCATCTTTTAATTTTGATTTTTTATTTATTAATAAATGACGACTAACTATTTGGTGCCAAACACTAAACCGATTAATGGAAATGTGTTTCATTCATTCGAAAAGATAAATGAAATATTCGCAAAGAATGATGGTAGAAGATATTATAGAGAACTTGAAAGTTCATGCTATGACTCTGATGCTCCATATTTTGATGATAAACAAACTCATTTAAGAATTACAAATCCGGCTCATGATGTGAACCAATTAGGTGACACATATATTAAACGCAAAGTTAAAGTAACTCTAGTTTCAAATAAAGCTTTCACATGTGATGCCGCTTTTAAATGCATGCGTTTATTCGTTGGTTACAAATCATCAAATCAAAGCTTTAAACAATTAGAAGTAGAAACCGAAAGAGGTGATGCCGGTTATCGTCAGATGGATTGTGCCCGTGAATCTTTCGCATTTGCAACATATAAACCAAAATCAGAAAGGAAAGTTAAAAAGTTTGTTCATTCGTTATATAATAATGTTCAAAAATATGATAACTCAGTATGTGGTAAATATATTGACCCTTCAGAAGTTTTCAAGAAAGCAAATGAAGAAGTTGATGTCACTTTTGATATGATTATTCCGGTAAATGATTTGTTAGCATTTCAGGCGTTCGATGATTATCCTAAATCATTTGGTGAAATCATTCTTAAATATTATGTTTTCAGGGATACTTTAGTATTTTGTCAGGTTGACCCGTTAAGAGTTGCCGATTTACAAAATTACGTTTATGAAAAGATAACTGATGAAAATTATGAAAAGATTATGAATCATGTTTATAAATATGATCGCAAATTCCAACAAATCGGACTTCCTGCCAAATTAATTACAAGCTTAGCCGCTACATCTGCTGACGCAACAGTTGATGATGTTATTATTTCATGCACAAAGATGGAAGTTTTAGAGGATAAATGTATTACACCAGGATACGGTTTAATTGAAGAATCAGTTAAAGCAATACCACGTTTATTCAGTAAGGAAGATCCATTCATGATTCCAGCTCAACATATTGACGTTCGTTCACTAAATGGAGGTTGCATCACTCCTGAAGGTATCAGCTCAGATTTCTCATACGCTCTTCATAACGTTACAGATGTTGTGTTAGCATTTCCGAAGAATGCAATACAAAGAACGGTTTTAGAAAATCCAATGCTTCGAGGTCTTCAGGTCACTATAGATTCCAGAAACTTCCCCGATCAAGCGATGACCACAGTGGGTGACATATTCTTTACACGTATGCTTCAAGCTTCTGATTTAGATGGAGTGAATGAATGCACAGAAGAATACGAGGACTCATTAACTAGACCACTGAATGATGATAATGGCAAGCCATTAGCTAGAACATGGAAAGACCAAACCTCATTCTTATGCACTATTCCAGTTCAACGTGATGGAGCGGGTATATTCTTTGATGGATTAGAAACTTTCAATCACAAGTTACAGTACAAGTGAAAGCTTATCCAATCATTCAGGGTGAAAATGACACTTACTGTTCAAAGGTGACAAATCCTCCTCAGGTTTGGTTTACTAGGACTACGTATTGGACATGGACACCGGACGAAGGTTTGAAATATCATCCAACAGGTACACCACCACAGTATAGAAGTTCATATGATGAAATATTGATGAATAGAAATGTTTAAAATTATAAATTTATTTTTGATTAAATGGATTTAAATTCATCCACCCCTTATGAAGAATTAGCGGAGTATATAATACATGTAGATGATATGATTAATGAAGCATTGAGTGATAATAGAAATGCTCTATCTAAGGAAAAATTAATGAAAATTCCATATTCTGAATGTTACTTAAATTCAATCACTGCAGCAATTGGTAAACAAAATAAAGGTAAAACATTAACGATATTAAAACAAATTATCATTATTGCTAACACTTCCCCCTATTCACATGTGTTAATTTATATCAACCGTTCAGGTTCACCTTCAGATGATACATTTGAATCTTTAAAGCATTTAATCAAAATTCCAATTATTTATTTATCACAAGAAGAAGCAGAAGATTATTTAAAAAACTTTTTAATGTATAAAGAATTATATAATACAATCAAGAAGCAAGGATTAGAGGATAAAATTATTGATAAACAACGGGATGAATTATTTGAAACACTTTCTATTTCAAATTTTGATAAGAATTTTTGCATTCACTAATTTTTCTAGATGATGCAGTGAAATCAAAACTAATAACTAATGAGAAATCATATTTTAATCAATTATTAACTCAATGTCGACACATTCAGTGTTCATTCTTTATGGCTGTTCAATACTTTAAAGCATTAAGCACAAACATTAAATCAAACTATCACCTTTTCATTTTCAGTGGGTTTAGTCGTCAACAGTTGAACGTTATGCTTTATCAAGTGAATTTACCAATGAGCATTAATGAACTTTACACACAATATCAACAATTAGGTGAACATGGAAAAATAATAGTTGATTTAAATAAAGGTTCCATTAATTCGAATAATTTTATAATTAATTTTTATTTTTTATTTATAATTAAACATGACAGAAATGCAAATCTTCTACAGGTTCCATTAAAACAAGGGACAAACAAAAAGGGTGCATATAATAGAACTATGAAAGTTCCAGACGGAATGAAAGAATTAGTCCACATTGTTGCCGGTCTTCAAAAAGATGTTAAACAAATGAGAAACGTTTTAACATTACCAGAAGCTCAAGCATATGCCAAACGTCAAGGACCAAATTGGGAAGCACATGAAGCAGACATTACGGGTCCAAATGGAAAACCTGATGGTATAAATGAAGTTTTCGTTACTGATGGTCAAGGTAATATTAAAGTCATAAATGGGTATAAATTAACAATGACGGATTATCCTAAACGTAAAGCATATAATGAACGTTATCCTATGAAATTTGATGTAAATGGAAAAGCTGTTAAACAACATATCGGAGACAGTAAAGATGGACCAATTCTTTCATACCGTCATAATCCATATTCTTATTTCAATGAAGAATTAAACGCTATTGAAGAAGGACCAAACGGATTACCTCAATATGTTAATCAGTTTGATGGTCAATATGCAAATTTGAGACCTGAAATTTCAGCTAAGAAATTCTTTAAAGTTGCTTTATTCGATCCAGTGTTCAATGAACAGAAAGAAGCAATGAAAGCAGAATTTAAACCAATTCAAGTGGCAAGAATTTCTTCATCTTCACTTTCAGAAGCGTTCAAGGAATTGATAAAGAAACCACTTTATTCTCAACAAGGTTATAACTTTGATTTAATTAAAGAAAGTGATAGACGTAAATTAGAAAAATCAGATGGTTTTAAGAATGCATGTAATGAAATGATTAAAGATATTGTAAATGATAAAATAAGACTGGAAGAAACTCAAATCATTATCAATAACATAATTGGTGCAGTTACAAAGAAAGTATAAGCAAACAAGGATGAACCTTGGGATATTACCGTAACAACTAAATAAAACTTTAAATATATTTTTCTTTTTTTTATTCAATTATAAATGAGAAGACGTTTCACAAGTCAAAAGAACACAAACGCAAAAGCAGAGATTACGGTTGGTTATAACGTAAATGATGATAAATCACGAATTATTCAAAATGTTAAAGTTAATGTTAGTCCTGAATTAACAAGGTCAGCAACACAGTCCAATTTATTAACTCGTGACTTACCAAAGAAAGAGGAGGAGCAAAATAAAGAAGATGGAGACCCAATCATTTTATCTGAACCCGGTAAAGAACCCGTTGAAATTCCCACTTATCCAACATACCCCCCACCTCTTTCATCAAACATCGAGAACCCAGGAATCTACGATTCCAGTCGCAATGCGCCATATAAAGTAGACATTAATTCTGAATTAATGAAAATTTACCGTGATATAATAATTAATAATTATGATTCAATAATAAATTTAATTGACCAATCCGGTTTAATTATTTTACCTTATGAATCATTAATTCACATTATCGCCATTCTTTGTGATGTTCAAGATTCAGACGTTAAGATTCAATTTTTCATAGATGATGAGGTTTCATGCTGCGGAACAGTTGCAAAAATAAATCCTATAAAGGATATTAGCACAATTAAGATATCATAGAACGGAACAACAACTGAACTTCATTTAACATATAATGATATTTATAATAAAATAGTTGATGAATATAAAATATCACTTGAAAAATTCTTTGTTAAGGCTATTTAATATTCAAGCATTAACATTATCGAATAATAATCCTTTGAATCATAATTGATAATAATTGACCTTTCACCAGTTTCTATCGTTTGTTTTATTTCTTTTTGTTCCCCACTATCTGGATCGGTCATTGTAATTGTTTTTGTTATAGTATCAGCTTTATCTTTAACTTCAATCTTTTTTCCATCAGGATATTTAAACCAAAATTCCAAAAATTCGATATTGTCAATCTGTTCATATTTTAATCTATCAATTACATTTTTAATACCATCTGAAAATCTTATGAAATGGTCATTATATGGGTTTGATTGAACTAAATTTGAATGAAGTGAAATATAACCCGATGATGAATATGACATCGACTCATATTTTCTGAAAACACTAAAATTTATAACATGAATGAATTTCTTATTCGTTGAATTTATGAATTCTTGAGGTAATCTTATTCTAGTTTTATTTATCACTGGAAAATAACGCTTTACCATATTTTTAATCGTAATAAAAATGTCAATTATCAATATTATTTCGAATAATAGTTGTGAATTAAATTTAACAGTTAGCGGAATTTATAATGTTACTCTCGTTTCTGTGAGTGGTAAATTTAATCCCATTCTTTTAGACCCTTCAGATTATATATCATTTATTAAAGATGACCATGAAAAAACGTATGATATGTATATAAATAATGTGATAACGAAATGGGATATTAACACGATTTTAAGTTATTTAAATGAATCATTTATCGTATGGTATGAAGAAAATTTTAAATCAAAACCTGATAAACTTTTTGAACTTGATGAAATAAATAACCTTATTAAATTTCCGCTGAAAATTAAATTTTGTACTCCTCATCTTCGTTCATTGTTGGGATATTAAATTTTGAAAAAGATGTTGGGGATGTTTTGTATTCTGACACGGTTCCAATTTCATTTTAATCAAATGTGATAAAGTTAATACCCCAATGAGATTTTCACATCAAACATTAGACCCTAACTCTTACCCATCAATACAAAACATTTTATCCATCAACTTAAACACATTTTCTTTATCATATCCGTTTCAATTATCTGGGAATTCATTTATTCTTCATTCAAAAGATTTATCAAATATTAAATTTAGAATAACTGACCTATTTGATTGTGATTTAGAATTCATGAATGAAATATTATGGCAATTTCAAATAGAAAAAATAGGTGATGAGATAACGGATTAAATATTTATTTTTAAATCATAATAAATGATTAAACCACAACAACTTAAGGCACAAAACACCCAGGTCCTTCAGACCATTACATACGCCATATATGCATATAATTCAAAGACGGCAGAACAAACGCAAAGGTTGAAATATGGAGATTTGGAGATAGTATTGAAAAATGAACATTTCGAATTCGTTTGCAAGGGTGGTGCAGTGATATCAAATATAAAAGAAATTTTATTTATGAATTCAAAAATTAAAGGAATAACGGATGATATAACATCAATTCCACCAGAAGAACAGAGATATTACGCATTAAATGCATTTCCTAAAGTTTTGAAGATTGGAAGATTTAATTTAAATGAGGAATTCATAGAAGGTTTCCTAAATGACATAATGAAGAAGGTAGATAAGGAATATGTGGATAGTGAATTAGAGAAGAAGGCGGATAAGGAATACGTGGATAGTGAATTAGAGAAGAAGGCAGATAAGGAATATGTGGATAGTGAATTAGAGAAGAAGGCGGATAAGGAATATGTGGATGAAAAAGATAATGAAATTAAAGAAAGGGTTGAATGGTATCATGAATGGACATCGAAGATTTTTAAAACTAAAGCTGATACGGGATGGGTTTCAGGATGTTTAGACCTTAAAGCGGATAAAACTTATGTTAACGATGAGTTAGAGAAGAAGGTGGATAAGGAATATGTTAACGAAATATACCAAAGTTTGATAGGAACAACAAAAAATATTGAAACTATTGTTGGTGACTTTTCTGTCAATGAAGAAAATAAATATTTTAGATGGCAGTTTGTACAGTCCTTAAAAAATGGTACACGGTGTAAACTCATTCCGAAAAATAACAATGAAATGTATGTAAGTTATAAAAAGAATGATGGTACACAAGTTAAAGTTCCATTAGACAACAACTGCTACTTAAACTTATATGGAGACGAACAAAAGAAATATTTAAGAGTTTATGAAATGGTGGATATGACATTGCCTGACCCAGCTCCAGCACCATATTATTATGACTATGGAGATGATGTCAGAACACCACATGTAGATGAACAAAAGTTAACATTATATTTAGATTCTTATAGATATAAAAGATATAATGCAATAGAAAAAATGAGAATAGTATATTATTATACAGATGACAGAAATAAATATTATAGTCAAGATTTTACCCACCCTGAAAACATAAGATTATATTATAAAAAATATTCTAACACAAATCAGAAGAAACCTGAAATAGTTGCACTATATTTTAAGTTCAAAAGAGGCAATCCTATAATATCTCATATGTTTGATTTAATGAACCCAGTAGGTTCTATTTATACATCTATGGATGCAAGAGGTCCTCAAGTAATGTTTGGTGTTGGTGCATGGGAACAAATAGTCGACAGGTTTTTGTATTGTGCAAACTCTTCAAAGGAAACAGGTGGAAGTAAAACAATTACAGGTGAAAATTTACCTGCACACAGTCACTACATAGATTTAAGTACATCTCAAGCAGGTTGGCATAAGCATAGATATTGGGATTGGTCAGGAATGACAAAAGGTAAAGGATATGATGTTAAAGACGACGTTAAGTTTGCTATAAATTGTTACTGGAGTGACACTCAGGGAGAAGGAAACCATACACATCACGTTTCAGGATATACACAAACAACAGGACAAAGTAAAGAATACATGCCACCTTACATGACAGTTTACGCATGGTATAGAGTTCAATGAATGAACTAAATATATTTTATGTCTGTAATTAATTAGGTAATGAAGTAATGGATGAACTGCAGAAATAAATGTTTACGTTAATGTTTACGTTAAGTGACTCAAAGAGTCCGGAGACAAAGTCTCATGTTTTAGGTTATTCAATAATTAATTATTTTTGAATAACTGAAGGTGTCACCACGTCACCATGTCACCAGGTTAATTAACTTCTCTGAAAAAATGAGACAACATGACATTTTGACAACATCACAGGAGGAAGGTAGTTATGAATTATTTTTGAAGAACTGAAGGTGTCACCACGTCACCATGTCACCAGGTTAATTAACTTCTCTGAAAAAATGAGACAACATGACATTTTGACAACAACACAGGAGGATTAATGCAAAAATAAATTCCAATCATACTTTATACTGCCTCATTTACAGGTATTTCATCGTCAGTAAATGAATCCTCATTATCGTTTGGTTCAACCTGTTTATATAACCCTTTCATTTCTTCTTTCAAAACATAACACCATGTTTGTTTACCATCTATTCTTCTCTGTTTCCTATCACATTTATCCTTAATGCTCATTTGGAAATTCTTGTCTTTCATGTCTGATGGTTTGCAGAATAGAGCATTTTTACATGTCATACCTGCACTCAATTCATCATAATGTGTATTTATCCATTCATCTAAAGGATTTGTTGATAACTCGATTAAATCTTGTTTGGCTTCAGTCATCGGTATGATTCGTACATTAAATGATGAAAGGTCATATTGCATAAAATATGTTAAAAGGTTATCATAAAATTCCTTTGTGCATGAATTCATCAAATTCTTGAAGTAATCAAATTGACCCTTGAATTTACCATTAACTCTTAAAACTACATATCTTCTGTCTCCAACTTCAATTTTGACAGGGTAGACGTTGTTAGTTACGAAAATGAAGTTTGCAACGTTCTGATCAGTTCTTCTGGGTTGATTCTTTTCATTAATTCTAATCTCATTATCCGTAATAATTGATTTCAAAGCGTTGAAGTTTGCGAGTCTGTCTTCACCTACATTCTTGAGTTCATTAAGTACAAGAAACATTTTATTTTCAACAACCGAATTGAAATTACCCGTTAGCTCACCTATTTCGGTAATGTTTTTACATGAATAACCAGCGAGAAGTTCAGAAATAATGTCTGTGAATCTGTTTTTACCTGTTCCCTGAAGTCCTTTCAAAATAATTGCTGTTTCATTCTTGATTCCAGGATGTTGAATCATTGATGCAATCCAGCCGAGAAGATATTTATACACTTCATCGTTATTATCACAAATGGCTTCTTTAATGAAATCCATAAACATCTCAATTTTTGAGTAATCAGGCTTTTCAAGAATGTTGTATTTATAACCCTGAAACGTTGAGAAAACATCTGGGGAATCAGATTTAAAGCAAACACCCTTAACGGTTAATGAAGACAATTGATTTAATAGTACGTCCCATGCTGTTATGGTTTTACCTTCTTCTTTAAATAATTTAATCATTTTGAGTGACTCTTTCATGTTTGATTGAAGAACGAATGATATTTGATTCATTTTGTCGTGGATATTATAGTCCTTTTGAATGAAATATTTGTTTCCACAATCTACAAAACGGATTACACGTGATAAATCCTCAATTACTTCAGAACTGTTTTTATACTGATGATTTTCAGCCCTGCGTCTAATATCTGTTATCAAAAACGAGTCATCAAGTTTGATATCAAATGTTATTTTTGGCTTACGTAATAAAGGTAAAACATATTCATCATAATATTCCTTTTGATATAGTTTTAGAATCTTCACCAAAACAAATAGAGAAGTCATTAAATGTGCATATCTACTACGTGCTTTTTCAAAATTACTTTTTGCATTTTCAGTTAAATTGCAGAAATTATAAACGTTATCGTATGCTTCATTAATTAAATGATTAGGTAACGAATTAATTGCTTGAAACAGTGTGAATAATGTAACTTCTTTTTCTAAATTCATGTTTCCACCGTCATTATATACTTCAAAATCACAGATGCCATCAACTATGCTCTGGGCAAGTTTATCGTCAATGTTTACATCTTTGTTTTCATTCATGATAGTCTTTATTTCTTCGTTCTTCTGTTCAACTCTTACCTTAATATTCAAATCATTTAATATATCATTCACTGTTCTAGTTAATGTTGAATCATAACTTCCACGAATGAATGAGTATGTATTGATTGGTTCTGTTGCATTCTTGCGAACTCTTGAATCAGCCATGACTACTAATGAACGTTTTGAATCATCAATAGAAGTCATTATATCAATATCATAATCATTGCAGGAATAACATTTAATCATTCTGTTCGAAACTGAATAGAAGAAATTAGTGTTGCAATAAATGTGAAGACCTCCTGAAGCGGTTTTAACGATAACATCTTTATCCGAAAGTTTTGATAAAATGTCTTTTCTAACCGTTTCTTTAAGTTCATCATTGTATGATTTATTGATATCAACATCTATAATCGTTAAATTTGAAATTTTATTTACTAATAAAGCCACACCGGTTTTCCTTCCTCTTCCTCCATCATGTTTGAGGTAGTTATGTAAATCAATCTTGTTTTCACCAATTCTTTCGTTGAGGGTTTTAGTTTCTGCCACAACTAATTCCTCAGCTAATGAATCAATAACTTTTTCATCAGAAACGATATAGTTGTTGTTGTTGTTGTTGTTGTTTGTTGCTGTCATTTATATAGGAATAAAAAAATAAAAATAATTTTAAAACTAACTTTATTTTTGGACTGCATCATATTTCCAGGATTGTTGTCAAAATGTCATGTTGTCTCATTTTTTCAGAGAAGTTAATTAACCTGGTGACATGGTGACGTGGTGACACCTTCAGTTCTTCAAAAATAATTCATAACTACCTTCCTCCTGTGATGTTGTCAAAATGTCATGTTGTCTCATTTTTTCAGAGAAGTTAATTAACCTGGTGACATGGTGACGTGGTGACACCTTCAGTTCTTCAAAAATAATTCATAACTACCTTCCTCCTGTGATGTTGTCAAAATGTCATGTTGTCTCATTTTTTCAGAGAAGTTAATTAACCTGGTGACATGGTGACGTGGTGACACCTTCAGTTCTTCAAAAATAATTCATAACTACCTTCCTCCTGTGATGTTGTCAAAATGTCATGTTGTCTCATTTTTTCAGAGAAGTTAATTAACCTGGTGACATGGTGACGTGGTGACACCTTCAGTTCTTCAAAAATAATTCATAACTACCTTCCTCCTGTGATGTTGTCAAAATGTCATGTTGTCTCATTTTTTCAGAGAAGTTAATTAACCTGGTGACATGGTGACGTGGTGACACCTTCAGTTCTTCAAAAATAATTAATTATTGAATAACCTAAAACCATTAACGATAAAATAAGTGATAACAAATTTTTATTTTTATCATAAATGGATACCCCACAAGCTCAAAATTTACCACGAATCATAACAAGGGAGGAAATGATAAAAATGATGCGAGAACTTGCTAAAAATAACAAACCACTAAAACTGAGAAAATGTGGTTATGCAGTAATGATGGAAAGAGAGACGTTGTCGAAGAGGAATAAAAATTAAATTTGGATTGAGTTTAAAAATTCATCTTTATTAAATTCATCTCTTCCAATCAATTTATTTATTCTATTAAATTCTTTTATTTTTGCTTCACTCAGTTTAAGGATTGAACGGTAAGTTTCTAATTTTTCGATTATTTCTTTCCTCTCTTTATCGTTTTCAACCCCACCGCATTGCGGCTTCTTTTTGTAATAGCATATTTTTGATTTAATTCTGTTTAGTTTCTTTTTATATTCATCGTCTGGACTCTTGACTGCTTTGTTGTCACTCATTTCTTACGAAATAAAAAAATTAAATATTATTTAAATATAATGGAGTAATAAAATAAATCGGAATTTCTATTAATTTATTGTCAACTTCAACTAATGCATTGCCGTTAATATATCTAACAAATTCAGCTATTGTGTCAAATCTTCGTCTTCTTTTTGTCATTGATTTATTAGTTTTTCCATAATCGAGATGAATCAAAACTTTATCCCCTTGTTTAAAATTCATGAGCCCCAAATTAATTTGTTCACGTTTAACATCATTTAACCTTTCCATTTGCTTTCTAATATATTCCCATTCTTTTGAAATATCATTTTTCATTTCCACTGGTTTCATGTTTATAGTTCTATGCCATGTATTATTGTAATAATATACTAACTGTTGTATGATGGAGTCATGATTTCCATCCCAGTATATCTGACCGTTAACCCCTAACGCATCTCTAAGAGTTCTCATTACCGCATCAACTATTTTATTATGAAACGTATATGGAGAGGATGAGAAGAAAAAATTAATTTGTGGGAAATAATGAGTCATAGCTGCCTGAAATCCTTTATCACCATCACCCCTGATATTATCTACTCTTTCATGATCTAGTAAGTATTGTATAGCTCTTCTTGTTTCCTGTTCTGTTTTCCCTTTCACCGGAATGCAATATAAATATCTAGTGTTAATGTTAATGGCAAATAAATAAGTAACGTTTCCTTTTGAAGATTCCAGATGATCGATTTCGTATGAATATGGATATGGTGCAAATGAAGGGCGACTAAATTTTTCCTTTAACGGTTGAATTTTTGGGTCAATTGGTTTATTTAATATCTTGAAATCCTTTTTAAAATCTTTTTGCTTCTTTAATGTTTGAAATGGATATAATAAAGTGAATGATGAAGGATTAACTGAAGGAGGAGGCGGTACTGTCGTTGGAGGTTTTGGTGTTGCAAGTGGTTTAATTTTATCTGCTTTGATTTTGGATTTCATTCCTTCCTTCATTAATTCTGGATGTATTCTATTATTTGTTTTAAATATGCTGTATATAAAGGTTTGATATACTTTCCCGCTTCGAGTTTATGTTGAAGGATGAATTCCAAAAGTTGATCTTCATTTAAAAGTCGGGCTGAATATGGTTTAACTAATGAATCATAAATTAAAGCTTGTGCATCATTTATGGTCTGAAGGACCTGGGTGTTTTGCACCTTTTGTTTTTGCGGCTCAGGATTATATAATTTATATAATTCATCAATATCTTCTTCTGTTAATACTTTATTTTTGAAATCTTTCAACTGTTAAGTTGTGATTTAGTTTTTCCCTTTGAATATTCATTATTTTAATTTTGTCTTTAATTTCAGAAATTATTTTATTATGATATTTCAAAATTTCATTTTTATAATATGGATAATAATATTCCATATCATCACCCGTTAATTTTATTATATGTTTTTGGAGATATGATTTTAATTCATAATAACTAAGAAAATTTTGATTAAGTACTAAATCACCAATTAAATTTTTTAAATCTACGCTATTCATTTATATAAAAATAAAATAAATGTTTAAGGGTGCCCACCTCTTTGAATCATAGTATTAAAACCATCATTAACGGTTCCTTCTTCTAAAACGGTATCAAATGGTGGCGGTTGTTGTTGCTGTTGATGCTGTGATGGGATTTAAAAAATTTGTTGTGGTTCCTTTTGTCTCTTCTGTGGCATTTCATTAAAAATAAACTTTAAATTCTTTTAAATAAATGGCATACAACATCCATTTTCACAACATACAGCCTTGGTGTGTGCTCCTGTTAATGCAGTCTTACCGATTGTTAAGCGAGTCATTGACCCGTTTTTAAGTTGTAAATTAATATTTTGACCATCAAATATCACTTTATCATTTATTATATCCAAATATTTTTTAGGTGTTAATTGCTTATTTTGTCTTAAACTAACACCCTTCATTTTTTGTGCAATCTTTTTAAAATCACTTCCATCAATTGAACCGTTGAATGATGTATAACACTTAGGACATAAAGCAACCATGTTATCACCTTGTTTCTCAATTGCTAAACCCAATAACTTCTTCTCATGTGCTTTTTCTTCAGCTTTATTCTTTAATTTAGGTTTAAATTTCTCATCAAAACAGAAGAAATCAAATGGTGCGAATTTGAAAATGTTTTTATCATAAAATTGTTTCTCGTAACAATTGCTTGAAATGCTTGAGTGTTAGGAAGATTTGGGTCGCCAGCGATTGCCCAATAAGATGAATCAGTATCACCTTCAATGAAATGAAAACGATTAACATCCATGCATTTATACATAAAATCATAAATGAAAACCAAATACCAGTATTTAGCATTATCTAAAGTGAAGAATGCCTCTTGTAAACATGTATCACATCTATAAAATCTATCTTTAAGCATCACTTGATATGTATCCTCACCTATTTCTCTTATGTTTTTAAACTTATTTGACATACATGCAACGCGTGCCTTCTGTGCATTCATTATTTTAGTCTTTGTGTAATTTTGTATTCATTGCATCGTAACCATATGATCCATTAAGTGAAATCTTGCAAAAATAAACTTTTTCCTTTATTTCCTTCTAATTCAGCCTTTTGTCTTTCGTTCATAAATTCGTTCGCAAATTCATTAAAACAAGTGTTTTTAGTAAATGTTAAAATTGATTGAATGTCATCAATGATAAAATGAAATCTGTCTATTAGATACCATAGATAATAAAAAAATGGTTGATATTGTTGTGTGTTGATGCTAACTGAGTTAATTTTCTCTGTTTCTGGTCAACTGGTAGATTGTTTGATTTCATGTAATTATACATAAAACTGCCAATTGTTTTTTCATCTGTGATAATATCTAAGTTCTTATTATCGGTAAAAAGTTTATGTAATCATTAATTATTTTTCATCAATGTGACCCTTTACTTCAGCCACGAATAAAGTATTTTTCTTCTTAATTATTCCCAGTGCTTTTGCTTTCTTTGTTGCTGTATCACAAATGATAACACCATTCAATCTTCCCGGCATATACATTTATGGTCAGTATATTGAATGAAATCATGAGGATTAGATGAAAATGATGAAGGATATAATGAATTAAAATCAACACCAACGAAATGAGTCATAATGTTGGTGGTGTCCTCATTTGATACAGTTTTAGTTTCTGGATTATATGAAAGTTTATTAATGTGCGTGATTCCTTTAAGATTAACACGATGTTGAACATTTGATAGACCACCAGTAATTCCATTACGGAGAATGTGATAAGCTTCAACTGAATCTAAAGTCATTGGTAAATTATTTTTTAATGCATAATTTCTTAAATTGATTCTTAAACGTTGAACATCTTCATCTTTATTTGATTTCACGACATTGCAATAACAACACATTAACTGACAATTTTCTTTGGTATGTGGTTTTTCATTATCGATTCTATCCAATGTTGGTTTATTTACATATGTAAACGCTTTACCACACATTTTACATTTAGATGAAAGGATTAAATCGTGATAGTATTGATAGTCATCCATTGAAACATTGTTTTTGGTATCTCTTTTCGCCTTTTCATCTTGTTTCTTATATGAATCAATTTTATATTTCCAATACTTTTTTGTTAATTCAAAACTTGATTCCACATTTTCTTCTTCTGGATATGTTTCGTTAGGATTGAAGTTTTTATATGCTAAAGCGTAACGAATCATTGAAGCATTCGATGATAAAGAAAGATTATGAAGCATGTCAATTTTATAAACAAATGTTTCTTCGATAATTTTATCAATTGGGTCAATCATAATTTCAACGTCTTTATTGCAATAATGAATAAAATATTCTAATCTATTCTCAAAATTTTTAGCATCATTGAGATATATTTGATAATCTGAATCGGATATTGTTTCTTGTGTTAATGCTGAATAAAATGAATCTTGAGTGAATGGTTCCTTTTTATATAATTCATCTTCGTAATTCCCCCATGTGATGAATTGATAAGGGAAAAAGGATTTAACACTAGGAATTCCATCCTCTTTAATGTCATCAATGATTTCCATTTCATTATTTTCAATTTCTTCTTCTCGTTTATGAGGTCTTTGATTATGACTCCATTGATTCCATGAAATTAAATATTCTTTATCATTATATTTATACCTCATTAGCTTATTTTGGCTTTCATATTCATTTAATAATTCACAATCTTCATTTTTAAATTGAAGTTTAACCCATTCAGGATTTAAATGATGTTTAATTAATCGCGGAATATCTGACATCATCTATATATAGCTTCTTTTATAAAAGATAAAAAAATAAATTATTTTAAAATTAATGTTAATTTTTTAATGATTTATAAATAAATATATTTTAATGCATCGTCTATATATAGATGTAACAAAAAAAGTCACACAACCCGTCCACTTATACTACTAACGAAAACTATCAAAATTAAGTCATAAAAAATATAAATATAGGATACTAATTTAATGTAGATTCATAATGTACAAAGAATGGGTGCTGTGTTCTACATTAGGGTTGGTTCTACAAAATCTCTGTCACTTTTGTTCGGTCTGTCTTTTTGAATAATGGCTCGCAGAACAAAGAAAGTAGGTATCTGTGGTAAGTACGGTGTCCGCTATGGTGCTTCCCTTCGTAAGACAATCAAGAAGATTGAAATCTCACAGCGTAAGAAGTACCCATGCGCCTTCTGCGGCAAGGATTCTGTCAAGCGCAATGCTGTTGGCATTTGGACTTGCACAAAGTGCGGTAAGGCTGTCGCTGGTGGTGCTTACACACCAACAACACCAGCTGCTCTTACAGCTCGTGCTGCCTACAAGCGTATCCGTGAAGCTCAGGCCAAATAAATCCAATCTTTATGATTTATAAAAGCATTATTTTTACATTCCAAATTACTAATCCCTTCTTTTAAAAACTACTTAAAATACCTTTTTAAGCCTTGATTTTGAAATTTTCGAAAACGAGGTTTTATTTTTAATACCGAGTCAAAAGCCTTCCATTTTTACTGATAAAAATGCAAGAGATGAAGTATCTTCTTCATATATTGCATTATGATTATAACAAAATAATTTTAATCTGTTGCACATACCTACTCTTTGATATTCTGTAAATATAGACCTAGTGAGTGCATTGTTCATCACTGTATTTACAATTAATATAAAATTAAATCAAATTTTGCTGGCATCAGCTAAAAAATCGTATAATAATAATTAATTTTATTTACTTTTAAAAAACCAGATATTAAAATAAAATATAATAAATGAAGAACACAAAAAATAATTGAATCTATTTTTGTTGATTTGACCTTTAGCGAGTGGAGTGGCCCCATTGCTCATAGTAAGAGTCATCTGGGACGTTTGTACCGTAGAGATCCTTATTCAGGTATCTCTGGGTCTCCGTCTGCTGTTTATGCTGTTTCTTCTGGAATTCGGCCAATTCCATGTTGACCTGTTGCTTCCTCTTTAACCATTCGAGTTCGTTCTTATCGCCTTCATTTCTGAGGTACTCTTCGTATTGCTGCCATTGTCTTTCACGTTCTGCTTCTTCTTCGCGGCGGCGCTGGTTATCTTCCATCTGTTTCTTCTGCTCGAGGATAATTGCCTTCTGTTCCTCAATTGTCATGCCGCGGTAGTCTTGTGGATCTCCCTTTCTTTGGCACATTTCTTCGACAATTGTACGTGTGCGCATTGTATGGCGTTTTTCGTTGTCGTTGTATGCTTGTTCGTATTCCCAGTCTTGTTGTTCCCGAGCTTTCTTTTCTTCGAGAAGTTTGAGATTATCTGCGGCAAGTTGACGACGAATTTCGGCTTTCTGAGCTTCGGTTTGAGCATGGAGTTCTGTGATTCTCTTTTGTGTCTGAAGTTCGTAAATTTGATTGCGTAAATCTTCTGCATCTTCACGAGCCTTGCGAGCTTGTTTCTCCTTGATCTGAGCCTCGTACCACTCTCTACGCTGAGCAGCTTGTGCAGCCTGTCTTTCGTACTTTGTGGAATCTTCACCCTGGAAGTATTGACCGCTGCTGATTCCGAGACGTGGGTCAACCCAGCCAGCTGGAGGCTTTCCTGTTGCACCGGCTGCACCAGCAGCTCCTGCAGCTCCTCCTTGTGCTCCTGCGGCTCCTTGTGCGCCTGCAGCTCCTGCGATACCTTTAGCACCGGCAACTCCTGCAGCACCACCAGCGCCTCCTTGAGCACCAGCCATGCCTGCTGCACCAGCTGCTCCGGCAACACCACCTTGGGCTCCTGCTGCGCCTCCAGCGACACCTGCAGCACCAGCAGCTCCGGCAGCACCTGATCCAGCGGCTCCAGCTGCTCCTGCAGCTCCTGGAGCACCAGCTGCGCCAGCACCACCTGCACCTGCCTGGCCAGCAGCTCCACCGTAGCTTCCGTTGACGCATCTTGGATCAGCAACGTAAATTCCATCAGCATCGACTTCGCCTCCTAAGAATGGTTTGTTGTTTGGATCATCAGGGAATAATGCCATAAGGGCTGGGTCATTCCATTCGTATCTGATTGGGGCGTTAACTTGATTGTAATCTTTACGCCAGATATCAAACTCTCTGCATTGTTCTGGGCGTTGGTATGTATGTCTGAAGTCTTCTCTTTCGACATTTAACTGGCGTACTTGATCATTATAACGTTTCTGACCAAGAAGAAGAAGCCTTTGATGCTCTAATGTTTGATGATCAAAGGCATCCTCTCTAGCCTTTTCACGAGCTTGTAATTCCTTTTTTTCTTGGATTTGTCTTTGGATTGCATCAACATCTATACCGATTTTTCTTACACGTGGATCTAAAATATGGGGTTCGCGATCAATTGCGCGCTGGCGCTTGGCGTCTGCCTTTTTGATTGATTTATCGTCTGGAGAGATCCAACTACTTCGATCCATTACTTATAACGTAGATTTTTATCGTCCTCAAAAAAATAAGTAACGAAATATTTTGATGATCATCGGTTTTTTGCATATTATGATAGCCCTATAGTCAAACATTCTTTTTCATATGGAAACTTTCCAAAATCATATTGATATTTCCCATTATTTTTCCGATTTCCATTTTAACCTATGGTTATATCTTATTTGGCTATGAACCCTATGTAAATTAACTCTACCTGGTTCCAATTTTCCTGAATCATACTTTAATATTATCTTTATCAAAATTGATTAACAATATCCTTCATCATTGGTGAAATGATTCAAAACTAATGATGAACATAAATATATTTGGGGAAAGCATTGGCAAATTCAAGTGTGGGATGATATTATGTCATGATTGATTGTGATTCTAATTGATATATATATATGAGGATGTCAAGAACAGCAAACTGTGGTTGTCAAGTCATGTTTATTAATATTTCATGTGACACTATCTCTAGCATCATTTGTTTCAAAATTCCTCAATCAAAATTTTATCAAAATTCGAGAGATTGGGCTTCTAATATGTGAATTTCCATAAATATGCTAACAGATAAGATGAAATCATTAATTTTTTGATTGATGTCTTCTCCGATAAAATCTTTTGATCAAAAAATTTTTTGATGACAGAGTTCACAGAGACACTAAATAAGATTCCATGCTGCATTTGTGGCATTATGATTGAACCAAACCCAAGTAATATGTGTGTTGATTGTTTACAGAAAAATTACTCAATTTCTGACAAATTACCACAATCATTATCAGTAAACTATTGCAGAGGATGCGGTCGCTATCAAGAAAACAAAAATCATTGGATCAATGCACCACTTGAATCACCAGAACTCCTTAAAATTTGTTTATCAAGATTGACCAACGTAAAAGATGCCAAAATCGTTGATGCAAAGTTCTTATACACTGAGCCACACTCCAGAAGAATCCGTGTTGAGCTCACATTAGAATCAGTTACTCCAGAAAACGTAACTCTTCGTCAATCTGTTATTGTTACTTACGTAGTCACTCTTCAGCAGTGCCCAGATTGCCAAGAGGCAGCTACACCACGTGCTCACTGGAACTCAAACGTTCAATTACGCCAGGCCGGAAACTCAAAGAGATTGTTATTCTGGATAGAACAGCAAATCCTTACATACAATGCCCATGAAGGCTGCACAGGTGTTGTAAGAGTTAGTGATGGCCTTGATTTCCACTATCCAGATAAGGCTGGCGCTGGAAAACTCGTAAATTTTGTAAAATCTAAGATCCCGATTTTAACAAAAGAAAGTGGAAAACTTCTTAGCGAAGACTTCCAATCGATGACTGCCGATGTCCGTTTCTCATTCCTTGTCAGACTTCCACCAATGTCGAGACAAGATTTGATTGTCCTTCCTAAAGAGATCGTAAGTGCTAATGGTAATCACAGCCATGTTGCTCTTGTCCATAAGATCTCAAAGATTATCAGATTAGTTGATCCTTTCACTGGAAGATTCATCGATATTGATGCAATAACATTTTGGAAGAAGCCATTCGAGCCAGTATTCGTACATGAAGATCTCAAGCGCTTTGTAGTTCTAAATGTTGAGCATATCGATACAAATGACAGAGATTGCAGATTTGACATGGCAGATGTCGAAATTACAGATGAAGAAACATACGAAGACAGATTTATTGTTAGAACACATCTCGGTGGCAAGTTGAGAGAAGGATTTGTCGTTCTTTGTTACGATAGAAGAATTACAAACATTCCTGACACTGTTGCTGCTGTTTTTAAGAAGAAAAAGATCCCAGAAATCATCATCGCTGGCCGTGCTCCACCTGAGAAGAAGCCAAAGATGAAAGTCAAAGAATTAACACCTCATCTTTCTGATGATGACGAACAGTTCAATGCTTTCATGGAAGACCTCGTTGATGACTCAGAAATGAGACAGGATGTTAATATCTATAAAGAAGGAACTGAAGAGAAAATGCCAGAAGAAGAAATTGAAGCTGCAATTGAACAAGAATAAAGTTTATATAGTTATTTGTTTTATTATTAAATCAACTAACTCTTATTTAACTCTAAATATTTACCTAAAGTCTAATATTTGATATCAAATTTTCAAATTATCTAAATTTAATTCATTTGATATGAAAATGATCCATTCTATAAGGAGAAAACCATAAATTTGATTTCAATTTTGGCTTTTTCTACTTGAAATGTGAGATATGTTAAAAATTTTTAAGCTATTCCAAATAATAAGCTAAGCACAACAATCGCCTTAGATTGAAATTCTTATGTGTTGTTATTGAGCTAGTTGTTGGGTTATAAAGTAAAAATAATTTTCAATTTATTAAATATGGAACATTAAAATTATTTACTAATTCTATTGGTAATGTATACAAAATAATAGAACGAATGGCATTAGTTATCTTTGGAGTTTTGGTCAATAATTGATTGCCTTATTTCTTTCATGATCTTTTCATGCTTTTCTTTGGAATCACGAATCTTTTGTTCGATTTCATCCGTCTTCTGCTCAACTTCCTTGATTTGAGCACGTAATTGCTCAGCGCGCATACCAACTTGTCCGCTCTGAGTTTCTTCTTGTATTTTCTTTTCTTGTTTGAGTTTCTTGATCTTTGCTGCAAGTTTTGCATTTGCATTTTCGTATTTCTTAAGCTTCTCTTCTAACATTTGAATCTTATTGGCTTGTTTCTCATAAACAGCAGGGCCATTTGTGGATAAAAGTTCATCTAATTCACGCTTGGCTTGATTTAGGTCAAGTTGTTGCTGGCATTGGAGATCATGAAGACGAAGTCTCTCTTGATAAATAATTTTTGCTTCTTCTTGGAGTTCTTGCCTTTCTGCAGCATTATCGCTACGAAGTAATTCATTAATTTGAGCATTTTGTTGCTTGATTAAGTGCTCAACAGATTTATATTCGCGATCTAATTGTGTAAGTAAATTTTGATTAGAAGTTCCAGTGCGAGTTGAGCGCTTGCTTTGGGTTTCGAGTCTAACGATTTTTGCTTTAAGCTGCGTTCTCTCATCAATCAAGCGTTGCTTCTCAATTTTGAGATCGTTAACATCTTCTTTTGTAACATGAGCCGATTTGAGACGTGAGTTAACACCCTTATCTCTTCTGGGATCATGCAAAATGTTGTACGGCTTTTCTGGGAGGTATCCTCTCGCTGAAGTTGATCCTCTCTTCATTTTTATCGGTTTTTAGTTTTTTTTTTTTTCCTTCGTTAGATTCTAACTTTTCCTTTTAATTATGAAATATGGAGCTGTATGAGCATAAAAATGCTGGAAAACCTATAAAATTGGATAAATAAGATAGACTTTCATCTTGAATTTTAAAATTTCCAAATTCTGTCACAAATCAGCAACCAATCATCCTGTTATCAATTGAGTTGATGATCTTTGATTATTAAGCAAGCAATTAGGATACATCAACAATATCAGAGCAATTAACTCTAAATTTTTCAAAGTATGTTATTGAAAAATATAGAATATCCAAGAATTAATTCTCTTTTTTTGGAAATCATTGAAAAAAAATTGAGTATTTCAAAGCAACATGTAATGACATCCATATATAACAAGTTGGAGAAATTAATATTGGGAAGAATTATGCAATGATGCTTTTTCTTAGGATGATTTAATGATTTTATGCGGACAATCAAAATTAATATGCTCTTTTTTCAAATCTTTGTTCAATAAGGTTAATATAAATTAAATAAGATTTCTCGTATAATTAATTCAATATTTCTTAGTCGCATTTTCAATGGGAATTCAAATTTTCAATTAAATGAGGTTTAGTCAAACAATTTCCCAAATGGAATTAAATTCATATTGTATGGTCTATAATTATATTTTCATTATATAATTGATAACAACTTCTGACATTTTTTCAATGAAGGACATTGTTTAATGTTTTTAAGGATTATATACGTATTTCAGTATTTCCTTAACCAAAATTATATCACTTTAAAAAGTATTGCATAAAATATTTTTTAAAGTACTCAATTTTACTTTTCAATTATGCCGAAGCTGCAGGCAGCTGTCCCTATCGAGCTAATAGATAAGATCAAGTCAGCTAATCCTCAGTATACATTTATTTATGCATCAGTTGCTCAGATTCATGTTGCTTTTCCAGATCCAAAAGTCTGGGTAAAGAAATTTGAAGGTATTCTAACTTTAGACGCCGACAATCAGAAATGCGTATATATCAATCTTTATGATTTCAAATCTCTCAAGCTGCTTTTCTCTCACGAACTTTACTATGACTTTAAGGATAAATGCAAAGCCCCAGCAAAAGACTTTTTCCTCTTTCCATCCGATGTCTGCATGATTGGATTGCAATTTCTTAATGATGCAGAAATGAAAAACTTTTATAAACAAGTAAAAACAGCTTCACCAAAGAAAAAGAAGAAATCTTTATTCGGACGCAAAGATGATGAACAGATGATCATCTCTGATGTCAAATCTGTTGATTATATCAGTGGTGCCAAGCAATCCAACAGTACTTCGATCCAAATCACTGGTGATAACTCAATTGTCGACCAAACACTCCAAGAAATGGGTTATACTAAAGATCAGCTCAGAGATCAAGCTATTGCCCAGAAAGTCATGGCTAAAGTTATTCAAAATACTAACGCTAAACTAAACCCAGATGCAAAACCAAGCAAAAGTATGTCATCTTCTAAACGTTCTTCACGTACACCGAATAAGTCAAGCTCAGGAGGTGGTCCTGCACCTCCTCCTCCACCTCCACCCCCTGGAGCTGGCGCGCCACCACCACCACCGCCCCCTCCAGCTGCTGCTGCACCACCCCCTCCACCTCCAGCTGCAAAAGGTGGCAAGAAGGGAGGAAAGAAGTCTGGAGGAGGCGGTGGAGGCGTTGTTAAGCCAACAGACGATGCTCTCCAAGATATGATCAAATTCAGAAAGAAGAATGCTACCAAAGTCAAACCACCAGAACCAAAACTTTATTTCCAGGCTGATTCTGGTGCAAGTGCAGCAAATACATCTCCAGGAGCTGTTGGTGGTGGACCTGCCCCAGTTGCTGCGGATCCGTCAAATCCAGCTGCAGCCGCTGCTGCAATGCTTGCAAGAAGGAAGGCAAATGCAAATAAGGCAGCATTACCACCTGCAACAGTAACTGCCGCTCCTCCACCCGAACCAAGTCGTCCAGCATTTGGTGGAGGTTTTGGTGGTGCACCTAAACCAGGTCCTAAGACAGTATCAAGGCCTGCTCCAGCTGCACCTGCAGCCCCACCGCCACCTCCACCAGCTAATGTCGCTGCACCACCTCCACCTCCTCCCGCTGCAAAAGGTGGTAAGAAGGGAGGAAAGAAGTCTGGAGGAGGCGGTGGCATTGTCAAGCCAACAGACAATGCCCTTCAAGATATGATCAAATTCAGAAAGAAGAACGCTACCAAAGTCAAACCACCAGAGCCAAAACTTTACTTCCAGGCAGATTCTGGAGCTGGTGCGGGCTCTGCTGCCCCAGCTGGAGGAGCCGGACCTGTATCTGGAGGTGGTGGTGGAATGCCACCTCCAAGACCATCTGATCCAATGTCAGAACTTGCTGCTAAGCTTGCCGCAAGAAGAAAGATGTAAAAAGCTGAGAATTTTAAAATATTCTTTCTATATATTATATATAATCATAAATTATAGATTTACTATCCATTATTTTCAAATTTCACAAAATAAATTTACACAATATTTTAGTATAACTTTGAAATGAAAGAAATATTTTAATAAAATTCTCCATTTTGAAATTTTCCTATCATAATCCTCATTTATACATAAATTTATGCTTATTTACTGATTTAAATTTCTTGAAAATTTCCAAAAAAATCAGAAAAATTAAAAATTGATTTTCATTTTAAAGATTTTTCAATTCAATTTTCGATTTTCAAAAAAATTTTGGAGAAATCAAATATGTTTTAACAGAAAGTGGAGTACAGATGCATACTTTTTATTACGATTTTTATGTATTTGTATTTAATATTAATTCAAACTATTTTTTTTTTAAATGATTAAGACTTTCTGATCATGCGAAATCGGTTTCATTCTCAAATATATTATCCTCATTCACTTATAATAAGAGTGAATAACATTTCATGAGAACAAGCTCGTTTTCTGATAGTCTTTTACTGTTTTCTCTTTATTTTTGCTCATGGACAACAGATTTTTCTTGTGCTCATGAATAAACACTTTTACATCCATACACGTTTTATTATAAACATGGAAAGTAAAGAAGATGGTTTAAGCTTTTGGCGAACAATTTTGGGGCCTCCGAAACCACAAATGCCCGAAATAAAGCGTGAAGAAGTCAGAGAGTATCCTAAAGTTAATGTAGAGAAATATATTACATCTTCTATAAATTTTATTCCAATTAATAAGCGTGATAAAGAACTTTTACGAGCTCCATTTACTGTAGCTGTAACTCCAATTATCAGTGATCCAGAGAATATCCCTAAAATGGAATACAGTTTCGAAGAAGCTCCAAAATGTGGAAATTGCGGAACAATTTGTAACGCCAAAACAATTATTTTTAACGACAGTACAAAATACTTGTGTGGTACATGCAAAGCAGCTAATGAAATTCCTATTGCAATGGACGAAAAATTCAAATCAAATCAATTTCACGTAAATATGGTTGAATACCCATATACAGATCAAGCACTTGTCAATGCACCCATAAAGAACATTTTTGTACTAGAAAAGTCAGAATTAACAGTAAATCACGGTCTATTTTCAAAAACAATCGAAAAACTCATCAATCGCATCAAAACATTAAAATCCGGATACTTCTCATTCATTATATTAACGAACACTCTTACAGTTCCAAAAATTAGCGAAGATAGGACCAAATTTGCTTATTCAAGTTATCCAGACTGTTTTGAGATGCAATGTCCCTCAGCAGACAGCATATTCTTTGATTTATCGACCGAACAAGACTTACTCATACAATATATTACTTCTATTTCAGAACTTTCTCAAGGAACAATATCATCAAGTCTTTTTGAGCTTATTGACTCAATTGGATCATCATATGCAGGACAGAATGTCATGACAACCATCTGTACGTCAACAATTCCCACAGGAACAATGGAAGAAGCCAAAGAACTCGGACATAAATTACTTTTATCGTTATCTCATTTTGACTTGTTTATTATGAACCCTTCCATTGATACACAACCAGATTACGCATCTGTAGGTGAATTGTCGATGCTCAACAATAGCCATATCAACATTTTTAATCCAGTTCAAGTTGAATCAGCATCTGATGACATTATTTACAGAATTTTCTGCCAGAAATGTCCCGCAGCACTTGTCTCGTCCACACATCCACCTTTCCTGGCAATAAAGGACATAAAAGGCTGCGGTATGATGAGAACTCAAAATTCTTTTATTATGACAGCGGCAGAGCCAGGTGACACTTTTTTCTTTTTTTACGATTATATTGTTGACCAGGTTGAATTCACTAATCCATCCATATTATACCAGATGAGGTTAACACATGATGATGGATCTACATCTATCACGGTGGCCACATATTCCTTCTCTTTGGTGAATAATAACAAATCTGTCATGGATCATGCAAATATTGACCTTATTTTGCAATCTTATATCATCCAGGCAATTGAAGATGGCCGTGAGAAGGCAGATGAGCTTGTAATGCTCTCGTCTTTGGATAAAATTCGAGATGATTTTCTGAATCAGCCATTTCTTCAGTTGATGTTGACTGCGTCTGGCAATAACAACTTCAGATATGCTTGTGTGTGCTTCGGAACAGCTTCGAAATTGTTGAATTTCATAAGAGCTTCTGATATTATGTCGAAAATGCCACGGGAATTCGGTTGGTATTGCATGCCACGCTTCTATTGGCTACAAAGAAACACAACAGAAGTTCCGAACTTGTTAACTTTGAACGGTTTCAATAGATTTGTTTCTGGAGCGATGTTTATTAAGTATGATAGTAGACATTCGCTTATAATTCTTGCTGAGAATGAAGACATGAATGAGTGGATCGATTTATTAAACAAATCTCCGCTAAAAGAAGTAATTCAACAAATTTCTACTACTCCATCTGTTGAATTGATCCATCCGAAGGTAAATGCAACACATAAGACATATATTACCATTAATAAGTGTATGACAGCTCCGCTTCCTGCAACCAAAAAGGATTGAAGTATATTAATTTGTAAATGTTATTTTTTTGTGAATATAATTGCTAACCCTACTTTTTCATACATAACCAAAAATAAGAGATAACATATTTTGATTTTCTTACAATTTTATCAAAATATGTTGAAAAAGAATAAGTTTATTGTTGAATATCATATCATTTTCGAACTTACTAGTAACATTGTGTCATTTGATATTCATGATCTTACTCAAAAAGCGGGATTTTCAAACTTGGAAATTTACACTTTTGGATCCAACTTTGCAACCCTATTTCTACATGTATAACATAACTTTGTCTCACTCAAATTCAAATAAATGACTTTTAATTTTAAAATTTTTTCATGTCTGATCAAGATATTCACCCAAATAAATACATTGAATTGCGAAGTATCTACAAAAACTACATCGATTCATATATTGCATTGTATCAGCTAAAAACTGAAAAAGAAGAAGAATTAAACTCAATTTACAAAATGATCAAAACAGAATTGATTGATTCAAAGAAAAATCTTCCCCAAAATATAATAAAAGACATTTTACATATAATACCGTATAATAATCGTTATACAAAGTCATATTTATCTCTTGCCAAACTGATTTCTGATGAATATCATGTCAAAGAGGTCAGTAATGTTATATCTATTTCAAAAATCCTGTTTTATAAAGAGTATGGAATTAAATTAGACAAATCCGATGATTTCGAAAAAAATAGATTAATCAATCTCGATATTCATACGGAGAATACAATTTGCAGAGCAATTGTGTATAATGACAAAGAAAGATTCATATTAATCATGGAAAGCGAAGGATTTGATAAAGATCAGAGACTTAATAGCGATTTATATCCATTTTCTATGCAAGGATATTCATTACTTGAATTATGTTGTTACCATGGAGCAGTTGATTGTTTCAAGCTATTAAGAACTAAATTTAACTTAGAAATAACCGGTCCATGTCTAGAACTCTCATTTTTAGGAGGAAATCCAGAGATCATGAGTGAATGTTTGAAATATCAGAAACCAACTGAAAAATGTATGGAATATGCAATTATTTCACACAACATTGATTTTATCACATTTTTAATGAATGAGTACAATATAAAGATCAATTTAGAATATTGTCAATTGTATAAAAATCTTGAATCATTTTTAGTTTATTACGATCAAACCAATGATGCCAACTATTGCATTGTTAATTTAATAGATTACAATATTCCATCTCTTTGCGATTTTCAATGCAAAAGATGAAAAATATCAGACTGCTCTTCATATCGCAGCACGTAGGAACAATAAAGAAATAATCGAACTTCTTATTTTACATAGTGAAAAAATTAATAAAAAAGCTGAAGGTGGACCAACCGCTCTTATATGTGCAGTACTTAATAATAATAAAGAAATGGTCGAGTTTCTTATCTCACACGGCGTAAATATTAATGGAAAAGATGAATATGGAGAATTCGCTCTTCGTACTGCAATAAGTAATAATAATAAAGAAATGACTGAATTTCTTATTTCACATGGTGCAAAATTTAATGAAAAAGTTAGAATTGGAAAAACCGCTCTTCAATTAGCAGCATTATATAATAGTAAAGAAACTGCCGAACTCCTTATTTCATATGGTGCAAATATTAATGAAAAAGACGAACTTGGACAAACCGCTCTTCAATTTGCAGCATTATATAATAGTAAAGAAATTGCCGAACTTCTTATTTCACACGGTGCAAATATTGATGAAAAGGATAGATTTGAAAAAACCACTCTTCAATGTGCAGCAGAAATAAATAGTAAAGAAACAGCTAAACTTCTTATTTTACATGGGGCAAAAATTGATGAAAAAGATCAATATGGAAAAACCGCTCTTCATTATGCAGCAGATAAAAATTGTAAAGAAACTGCTGAACTTCTTATTTTACATGGTTCAAATATTGATGAAAAAGGTGAAGATGAAAAAACTGCTCTTCATTATGCCGCAGATAAAAACAATAAAGAAACAGCCGAATTACTTATCTTAAAAGGAATAAATATTCATAAAAAAGATCATTTTGGGAAAACTGCTCTTCATCATGCCGTAAATAAAAATAGTAAAGAAATAGCCGAACTTCTTATTTTACATGGTACAAATGTTAATGAAAAAGATGTAAGCGGAAAAACTGCTCTCCATTATGCAGCAACAATTAGAAAAAAAGAAATCGCCGAATTTCTTATTTTACATGGTGCAAATATTAATGAAAGAAATAATTATGGACAAACGACCCTCCATTATGCAGCAGAATATAATTGTAAAGAAATAGCCGAACTTCTTATTTTACATGGTGCAAATATTAATGAAAAAGATGAAAAAGGAAAAACAGCACTTCATTATGCAGCAGCATATAATTGTAAAGAAATCGCCGAACTTCTTATTTTACATAATACAAATATTAATGAAAAAGATGAAAAAGGAAAAACTGCTCTTCATTATACAGTATGCAAAAATAGTAAAGAAATAGCCGAACTTCTTATTTTACATGGTGTACCTGTTAATGAAAAAGATGAAAAAGGAAAAACAGCTCTTCATTATGCAGCAGAAAATAATTATAAAGAGATAACCGAATTTCTTATTTTATGTGGTTCAAATATTAATGAAAAAGACGAAAAAGGAAAAGCAGCTCTTCACTATGCAGCGGAAAATAATAAGAAAGAAATTACCGAACTTCTTATATCACAAGGTGCAAATTTAAACGAAAAAGATAAAAAGGGAAAAACAGCTCTTCATTATGCAATGCGTAAAAATTATAAAGAAATAACAGAGCTTCTAATCTTACATGGTGCAAATCTTAATAAAAATTGGAAAAACAATTCTTCATTATGCAGCATATAAAAATAGTAAATAAACAATTGAACTTAGTTCACATGGCGCAATTATCAATGACACAAATGAGCGAAGAAAATATCAAAATTTTCGATATCTTTGAAATGTTGTCTAATAGGAATATATAATCTGTCAGATAATTTGAATCCTCCCAATTTGGAAACGCAATTTTATCAAAACAGAAATTCATTTTCATAAATTTACATTCAATACTAAAATCCTAAGCGAAAGCTATCAAGGTCATTTCAACGTACTTGTTAATTATTGTCATGCTCTGACTTCAGGTGGCTATATTTAAATTGATAGCGAAGACAATTTGTAAACTGTAAAAGCATCATTAAAGTTTAAACTATATCAATGGGTCATTTTGATTATATCGAAGTGAGTATGATTGTTTCTTCATTACATTACATATAGAGAATAAAGTATTTTGATATCATACACTAAATTATTGATAGAAATACAAATATGCAATTATGCAAAACGAAGTGAAGTATTACTATCATATGCTTTGATTTATTCAAAACTTATCGACTATATTATCCGCAGACATTAAATCTATTAAAATACATATATTTCACTATAATACCACTACATATTTTTTTTTCATCTTATTTTTCATTTTATTATCTGATCATTAACTAGGCAAAGGCACTATTACGTATTAATTCATCCAACATTAAGTAAAATATAATGTGCATATAGTGTATTCTAATCAATAAACATTGTATCTAAAATAAATTTTAAAATAATCTCAGAATAGATGCTTTACATACTTTATTCCATAATTTCAGTCAGAATCATAGTTTGCTGGCGCTGATAAAATTGTTTACAGGATCATTTTTTTTTGATTCAATATTCATTCTAAATAAGAATAACTGAACTGATGACATCATTTACATTCCATTTAGTAAAGATTCACATACATGATGATGTTTTTAAACTGTTGTTACTTTTACTCAGTTTCAGCGGAATTGTTTACAGAATTTCATCGCATCGAAAATATTGTTTATCTAACAATTTCACACATTTTATCTGATTTCTTATTTCGCAAGGGAAAAAAATTCTCATGAACGACTTCAAGCGGATTTTTCTCAGTAATAAAACTCCAAACTTCTCTTAATTGTGGAGAGAAATTGAAGTTTTCTTCATGCATAGTAGTTTAGTACTTTGTATTTACATTAATGTCAGAAACAGTGTTGACATATATGCAATTTAAAATCAATATTATTTATACTTAATAAGAATATATCCAATCGTTCTATTCTATCAAAATATAAAGCTCTACAAAGGAAATTGTATAGCTTAAAATTTAATAATTTGCCCCGATACTTTGAACGATGAAAATCGTAAGCCACTGCAATAAAATTAATCCTCCATTATTGTATATATTGATATCTTACTCTCATAAAAATCTGCAAGACCGTTTTCGCGAAAAAGTCATTTTACATACATGCATTACTGAGTTAGGCGATTGATCTAACCTCAACCATAAAAATAATGCACGATGCTGAAAGTCTAGATCTATTTAATAGACTCTAAATATTACCGCTGCGCTTAAAACAAGATTTAACAAATTTGTCGATGTTCACTCAACAAATTGAAATTTCATCAATAAAGCAAAAACAAAATGAGATACAAACGGGAACATGACGAATTTATCTACTAAAAACTAATTTATAACTAATATACAACAAAAATTCACGATTAATCCACCGAATTGCAACAAATAACTTGAAGATGTTGTTTTATGTTGCTTACAAAAGCAAACTACATAAAGTTTTTGAAGTAGCACCTTTTAAATACGCTCAAATAAAAATCTATACTAATACCTTTTCTCTTTTTTTTAAATAAATATATTCTCATTCATTTTTAAAACAAATTATTATATGAATATCATGAAATATGTCAATAAAAATAAATTATAATTATAATCCAAAATATTCATATCATATATGAAGAAAAAGACAAATCTTGGAACAAGCATCAAAAATAAATAATGTTTATAATTCCAAAATTTTTTCATTTTGCAAATTTTCATGTAAAATTCGTATTTCTTCACTTGATTTTCAAATTTTCGAATTTTTTTTGGAATTTTAAATGAAGAATCGAGAAACCTAATATAGATGGTTGTTATCTCATATGTGAATATGTTCGTTTTATTTCACATTTTGGAATTTTCTCATATTTAATGGTGAAATTGAGTTTCTATCACAGGTTTAGATAGCATATTTAAGGACAGATTACATGAATTTATATTTTCATCATTATGATGTATTGAAATAGGAGACGCTCAATATTACAATGTCTTTCTTAGGATACCAAATGTATTCAAATTTCCATAAACTACAATTTCTGTAGTTACTAGCCACATATGGGAAGCAATACACATATGTCTAGTAGATGGTATATCATTTTATCTCGAAAAATGAGTATCTTAGGAAAAATTCTAGATACTTTTTCAAAACATATAATAACGCAATATCTATTTTGTAAAACCGATTAATAGTACAAATATGTTTATTTGCAGGTCAAAGAATCGAATGTTAATTTTAATAATATTTCCTCGAAATCTCTCTTGCAGTTTTCTTCCATTCTTCGTCTATTAGTCATCGAGTACCTACATAGTCTAAATCCATTACCAAAATCAAGAAAGCATCGTTACGATTTTGTTGACCTACCTTTGATTTCTTATCCGAATTTTTAAAATTTTCAAAAAATTGACAAAAATATTGTAATTATGACTGAAGAAGAAGTTCCTCAAGAAGAATTACAGATTTGTCCAATCTGTCATAAGGCTCGTCATCTAGGCGTCTTAGAGACATGCACAAAATGCAAAACCGCATTAACTCACGATAAATCAGATCCAAATACAGGATATTGTGCGATTTGTGAGCCTTTAATTCCAAGTTCCATTCTTGAAGAATGTTCTTTGGCTATTGCTCAAGCTGCTCCTGAGGATGTTGGATGCACTATCTCATCACAGAAAAGAAATACCAAGAAATACTACAAATCAATGAACTCATGGATGGACACTTTGGAAGAGTTAAATGATATCACAAACGATTCCCCATTACCTGAGGATAACATGGAAGCAAGTTGCTGCATCAGATGGGCTACATACATATCATTTACAGTTAACTTACTTTTGCTTGCTGCTAAGATTGTTGCCGTTTCATCCTCTGTTTCATATACAATTATTTCTTCTGTTACAGATTCAGCTCTTGATATAATTGCAGGTACAATTATCTCATGCACTGCCGCTCACTCCAAATTCACTCGTGAAGACCTTGACAAATACCCTCTTGGAAAATCTAGAGTTCATGTCGTTGGTATCCTTGTTTTCTCGGTTCTTATGGCTGCATGTGCCCTTTATATCATTTTACAGTGCATCCTTTCACTGGTCGGTCATCAAGTCCCAGATAAAACAACATTACCAGCAATAATCATCATGGGAGCAACAATTGGTATCAAATTAACCATGGCAATTGTTTATTATCTTCTTGGACACCCTATTACGAAGACTCTTGCCGAAGATCACAGAAACGATGTCCTTACAAACTCATTTGGCCTCTTTATGTACTGGGGATCCTCAAAACTCGGTTGGTGGATGGATTCTGCCGGCGGCATTGTTCTTTCTGCTTTCATCGTCTTCTCGTGGACAATGAATGCACTGGAGAACGCCAAGATGATGCTCGGTAAATCTGCACCACCCGAAATTATCAGATCCATTACATACGTGGCCGCTCACCATCACCCTCTTATTATGTCCGTTGAACAGGTTATTGCATTCCAGGCCGGTCCGATGTATCTAACTGAGCTCCATATTGTAGTTCCAGGAAATCTTCCTCTAGAACTCGCCCATTGGATCGGAGAAAGCTTACAGTTGAAGGTCGAAAGAATGCCTGATATAGAGAGAGCGTGGGTTCACGTTGATTGTGAATCTCACAACGAAAATGAACACGTTCTCTTTATGAGAGCTGCCGGAAAGCTCGAACAAGAACCTCCTCAGTCAACTCAGAACGTGTCAGTGAATGTTGAACAGCCACAGACTCCAGAACAGGTCTAACATTTGATTAACAATATAATTTTTATTATTTTGTTTTTTTTAGTTGTTTGACTTGTTTTGTAAACATTTAGCTTTTTAATTGTTTCTTTCTTTTCTCGATTCTTTCAAAATCAAATCTGATCTCATTTTTATAATAAATTTATTTCATCCATTGTCATGTAAATAGTACTGAAAACTAAAAATAATAATGCTCACTTTCCGATTTTACAGAAATCTTGTAGTTTCTTATATCCAAATGATTTTATTTTGATGAATAGGAATCGTGGTATATGATTGCTAAGAAAATTTTTATGAAAAAATAGAGATGAAGGCTATTATCCAATAATTAACTCTTTTTTTAACGATATAATTAGAAATGTTTTCATATTTTGGACTCACTTCACAGTAAATCTGCCTAAAACATACAGTCTAACATTAACATTCTAAACGAGGGCTATCCGAGCCAAAACATATCAGATAATCAATGTTCGCTTATTGATGTAACAATTTTTCATTCCATTTAGACAAAGTGGGCCATAAAGGTTTTCCTATAATAAGTATTCGATATCATCCAATATTGAAATGGCAGGTAATGTCACTTTTCTACAATCAGAAATACAAATGATAAAATTCTTCTTGATCGTGAACCGCTATGGTCAGACTCGTCTCGCTCAGTACTACGGAGAACGCCCATCAATTGAAGAGCGCCAAAAGCTTGAAAGTGAAATCATCCGTCAATGCGTTTCCAGAAATGAACAAATGTCATTCACATTCCATCACGGCGATTTGAAGATCGTTTACAAGCGTTATCTTGCTATTTATTGCATTGCCACTGTTGAAGAAGGCGCCAATGAAATCGCTGTCGTTTCATTCTTTGATTTCTTCTTCCAAACACTTAGAGAATACTTCGGCGATATCACTGAATTCCATATCCTTTATAACCTACCTCAATGCTACACTGCTCTTAACGAAATCATCGTTGACGGACAAGTTGTCGAAACATCTAAGCAGAAAGTCGTCACAATGCTAAACTCAATTTACGTTTAAGCAGGAGACATCATGGAGCTCCCTACCTATTTTAACCTTTGAAATGTAATAAATTTTTAAATCTTTCTTAAACTTTTTATAGTAAGAAACGAATACTAACATTACCAATTTTTTTGAATAAATTAAATACATTTGATATCTTTATTTCTCTATATAAATAAAAAATAAAAAAAATATAAAAAATTATTTGGCATTTGGATGAGCTTTTCTATAAGCCTTTCTCTTCTGGTACTTAGGAGTCTTTGTTAATCTCTTTTCTCTTCTCCGTTCTTTAAGTTTCTTCTGAATTTCCTTCCATTCAGCTTTTGTATAATTCTTTCGGTCAAGAGTTTCCTTTTTCTCACCTTTCTCTTCCTCTTCTTCCATTTCTTCTTCCTCCTCCATCTCCTCTTCTTCTTCGGCCATTCTTGCCAAATCAATTTCATCTGGAGCGACGTAAGTAGGAATAATGCCAGTGAAAGCACCGTGGTATTGAGCATTGGTGTAGTAGCCATCTTCTAAGTCAGCAATTTCTGCTTCTGGGTCATTTACTTGGTCAAGTCTTTGTGGAATGTAAACTTGAGTAAATTCTTGTGGAGTAATTGTTTCTTTCTCATCCATGATGTTCCTGAGGACTTCATCTTCGCTTCCGTAGAGCTTTGGATCGACGATGAAGTCGAAAAGAAGCTTTAATGGAGCTGTTTTTACACCACGAGATTTGAAGAAACTTGTAATGACGCAGATATCGTTTCTGAGGAATTGGTTGGCATTGGGGTTGTCTATTTCGACTGCCTGACCAACATCGATGATGTATAAACTTGTTCCTTTGACAAGTAGATTGTATTCGGAAAGATCTGCATGAACAAGCTCGCAGGTATGGTACATGAAGCGGATAGTCTTGGCCAGATCTATGTAGAGGTCTTGGAATTGCTTTGTAGCAAGATTTGCAAGACGTAAGGTTGGAGCTGGAGAATTTTTGTTCAAAATGAGTTCCATGAAGATAATATTGTGCTTAACAAGAAGTGGTTCAGGGCAAAGAACACCGTTCTTGTGAAGACGACTTAAGTTTCTGAATTCTTTTTCCGACCACAGAACAACAGCTTTTCTTGAGTTCTTTGACTTGGAGTGGTGCTGGAATCTTTGCTCGCCTGTAACATATCTAGCACGATCTTTGAATTTGAGAATGCATGTCTTGAAGATTTTGATTGCAAATTTTTCTGGCCATGTTTCAGGAGCGGATTCGCCACGATGACCGATGTAAATGTTGCCTTCTTTACCAGTAGAGATACAACCTTCAATATCACCTAAGATTTTTCTGTTTAAGAGTTTGAATAAAACAACTTTTGTACGATTATCAAGAACTTGTTCTTCAGTTCTTCTCATATCCTTTCCTGGACGTAAAGCCTTTCTTTTTGCATCGTTCTGCTCAATTGAATCACGTGTTTTATCGACGTATAAGTTACCTTGAAGTTCAAAATTCAGCTTGTGGGAATACATTTCAAGCATTTTAGGAACAATATGTTCGCCTGAAGCCCTATCTGCCTTGTCTAAATTAATATCATCAAAGTTGTCGTCAAAATCATCACTATAGTCCGAAGACATTTTTAAAAAAGTGAAAGATTTTGATATTTTTTTTTGAAGGGTCTTTTTCCATGACTATCCCCTATTGAATATTTTACGATACCAGGTTTACATGGTAAAAATCATTCTCAAAATAAAAGACTTCATAAGCTTATTTCTTTGTTGGTTGAATTCAGATTTTTGGCGGGGAATTATCATCAAAAAGTGACATCTCCAATAATTTATCGTTGAATTTCAAAAAAATTCATGTCTAATCCAGTTCATCTTATCCTTTCAAAAGTTCCAGAAGCTCATACAGCTGAAATCAAGGAATTCATTGAGGATTTTGGTACTCCTCAAACAGTTGAAAAGATTTTAAATCCAAATACAAAAAGATTCGAAGGCTTCGTTAAAGTTATACTCCAAACCAAGTGGGATATTCGCGAAACAATTGATGCTATTAATGGAACGCCATTTAAAGATACAACTATTCATGCCGAAATTAAGGCTGACCAGACATACAAGAAGGCTCCATTATTATATGAGGATTCAAATAATCCATTCCCATTTTCTGGATTTTCTATTGTTACTAAAAATAAAAAGCAGAAACAAGGAAAACGCAAAATTGAGAAAACAGAGCCAATACATCCAAACGTAACTGAGAAAGATGTTATGGTTATTAAGGCAAGAACAGCCGAATCGGCAGATCAAAAGGTTGTTGAAATTCCACAAAATAATACTGAAAATGAAACTAAAGACAAGGATAAAGACAAAGAGAAAGAAAAAGACAAAGAAAAAGATACAAAGCCACCAGCTCCTAAGAGAGATAGAAGCCCTCCAAGAAAGAATAGAGATAGAAAACACGATTCTGATTATGACGACGATTTTGATAGAAAAGACCGTCGATCTCCACGTCGTGGAAGATCTCCATCAAGAAGAGATCGATCTCCACCAGATTCAAGGCGCGGAAGATCTCCTTCTCATAGAAGATCTCCTCCAAGACGAGATTACTCTCCGGAAAGAGATCCACCACGAAGAAGCAGATCTCCTGCAAGACGTGATCGCTCTCCACCACGATCCCCACCAAGAAAAGATAGATCCAGGTCTCCAGGACGCAAATGAAAATAATATTTTATTGTGGCTTAGTTTTATGTTATGTTTTGAAAGTGTAACGACAATTTATCATTCTTTAAAATTATATTTAAATAAAAATTGTCTAAATCCATAAATTACAATTTTTATATTTTGTAATTTTTCACATAATCAGTTTAAAGTTTAGAAACTCGAATTCTTTTCTTTAGGTGATGATATCGATTACTATATTCATCAATTTCATTTGAGAATTTTCAATTTTGGTTATAATGAAAGTAATTTGAAGGACCAATTTTTGATATTTAAATAACTGAACCATATACAAAATCAATTCAAACTTAAACAATATATCTCATCTAATAACGTACTAAATTCTTCCGAATTAATAAACCGACACTTTTTATCGATGTCTTCACCTGACTATGTAAAGACTACCAACGAGCTTTGGTACCACGTTCAAACAAACGAAGAGTCTCCAAAGGCCAAAGTAGAGATCCTCAAGAAGACTGAAGAGCTTCTCGCTAATCCAAAATTCAATGAAAACTCATTCCTCGTTGCAAAGGTAAAACTTATCGAGTACAAGGCTGGAAAGAACCATGACATCAAGAAACTCATCGAAGACTTCCATGCTGCCGCTCGCCTTGACATGACAAACACAGATATCTACATCTGCGAGGCAGAAGCTAATCTTCACGACGGAAACCCAGCTGCTGCTCTCGAGTGCCTTGAAGGAAACACAGCAATCGATCCAAATCCAGAAATCTATAGCCTTATTTCCTTATCTTACCGTCGCTTACAGCCACAGAATCATGAGAAGTCTCTTGAATACGCTAACAAGGCTGTCAAACTCGATATGAAGTCAGGAAAGTCCTGGGAAAATCTTGCACTCGCTTATCTTGGAATTGGTGGCAGAGAAAACATTATTCAAGCCCACAAAGCTATTAAGATGGCTATTATGAATGGATTAGATAAGAATGCCGATACATTAATGAATCAGGGTACAATCAACGAGTTATTAGCTAATTACAACGAAGCAATGAAGAATTACGAACAAGCAATGGTCATTGTTGAAGGATGGGCACTTCCAGCCGCTAGTCTTGCCCGTCTTCAGGAAGAAATTTCCCGCTCATTTTCCGGATACGATGCAACACTTGCAAACAAGAAGCTTTTTAAGAGGTTGGAAGGCAGTATAAAGTCTAACGATGAATACTTAGTTGTCCAGATCACAGGAGGAAAGACAGATCCATGCCCACTTGCAATTTGCTACACAATCACAGGCGAAGTACGTTTGATTGCTGTCACACAGACAATTCGTGCTTATCTCATGTGTGAGAAGACAGTTCTCACAATTAAGAATCCAAAGTGGGTCAATCTTACATACAAAGACAGAACTCTTCCATATCACATTGTTGAGAACATCCATGACATAGGAATTGAACATGGATCTACACCAAAACAAGTTAAGCCTGTCAGCATTAACAGCTCACTTGCTTAAAAACAATCTTATTTTGATATGAGTAAAAATTATATATAATTAATGAATTATTCTTTGAATTTCGCTTAGCAATATGCAAGTATGCTTTATATACCATAAACGTGTTCAAATATTAATTATGAAACGTTTACCCAATACACTTAACCTTTAGTACGCATACTTTCAGTCAATGATAGTAAAGCTCCAAAATTAGAAAACTGTCAATGAAATATTCATCTTATCAATGCGGTTGACATTTTTTGAGTATACACTATAATCTTCCAAATGAAATAAAGCATTCTGATGTGTTTTATTCATTATTTATCAATAAAGATAGACTGGGCATAAAACAATCAGAATTTTTTTTTGGATAAAACTTTTTGAAAGTATCCTCTGAATTAATTGACTGTCTTTTCGAAATCTAATAACGATAATATTTAGGACCATTCTTTATTAAGAATATCATAGAATCTAATGCAACAACACATTTGATTTTTTTTTTGAATAACTTTCTTTGATTTTACTTAATCTGTTATAACTGAGCCTTTTGACTCATAAAATCAAAGATTTTATAACATAAAAAGTATACCCCAGTAATAACAATGGTCATTTTTTCATTAATTCAATACCATTATACAACTGAAGGAAAAACGCTTACTAGTATGTTTTGGAAATATGAATTATCTGCTAGGCAACCCAACATTGTTGAAATTGATGCAGATTGCGAAATCATTGGATCTCATGCATCCTATTCTTTATATTTCACAACTTTAAGCTTTAGTGGAATTTCTCAACTAAAAAAGATTAACGATTCTGCTTTTCAAAATAAAAATTTTAAAAAATTCGAATTTGAGAAATGCCCTTTACTGGAAGAAATAGGAGCCAATGCTTTTGCTAAATGCAATATCAAAATATTGGATTTGAGCTTCTGTCGTAATCTTAAATTAATCAAAGAAAATTCTTTCGATGAATCTGAAATCGAGATATTATCACTTCCGAGTTCAATTGTCGAGTTAGGTGAAGGTGCATTTGGATATTGCTATAATTTAAGAGAAATTAATATCCCATCTGATATCAATCTGATAAAAATTCCCAATCTGTTATTTGCAAAAACAAAAATATCATCATTTACAATTACTGCCAAAGTTGCTGATATACAAATGGGCGCCTTTAATGGTTGTCCATTACTGAAAGATATATATTTTGATGAAACAAACCAAAATATTGTTAGAAGGAATGATTGCCTTTTCTCATCTGATTTAAATAAAATCATTGCAATTTATCCAAATGTAACTGAAGTTATTTTGCCATTAACATTGGAAGAAATAGGCATTTATTCTTTCTCAAATTCATATTTAAAATCAATAGTTATTCCATCAACTGCTAAAAAAATTCGAAAATATGCTTTCTATACGGCAAAAATTAATGAAATTGTTTTCCAAGATGATTCACAACTTGAAATTATTGAAGAGTTTGCATTGGCAACTATATCGGAACTTAAATTAAATCTGTCTTTATTAAAGAAATTATCAACTATTGAATCATATGCTTTATTTTCATGTAATCCAATTGTCTTTCCGGAAAATGATTTATTTAAAGAGATTTATCCAGCATTCGGTAATATAATATCGAGTGAAATACCATCTCAAGTAACACATATTCATGATGATACATTTATTTATTCTCGTTATCTATCCTATATTGGATTTAAAGAAAACAGTCAACTTGCATTTATTGGCAAAAATGCCTTTAGTGGAACAAATTTATATAAAATAGATATTCCCAAAAGTGTTATAATAATTAATGACCGCGCATTTTATGAATGTAAAAGGCTAAAATATGTCTATTTTCCTGATGATAGTATTTTGAAATTTATTGGACAGGAAGCATTTATTTCATGTAATATTGAATCATTTTATATCCCAATGAGGGTTATGAATATTAGCGTTAGTGCTTTTAGTTATGAATGTTATATTAATATACAAACTTCACCTTCAAATAGTTTCTTTTTTTCAGACAGAAATTGCTTATATACAGGTCAAAATCAATCTATTTTTAGATTTTTGAGCCAGAATAATGATTTTTTCTCAGTCCCATCTTTTATTAAAGAAATAGGAAAAGGATCATTTCGGGGTTCAAACATTGAAAGAATTTTTATTTCGAATAATGTGACAATTATTCATGACTATGCTTTCTATCAATGCCCACTCAAAGTTATTGAGTTTGAAAAAAATAGTCAGCTTAAAGAAATAAGATCCTACGCATTTGCTTTCTCAAATATCACTAATTTCTATGTTCCACAACACGTCACTAAATTAGCAAGTATGGCATTTTTTGGATCAAAACTTGAAAATATAACATTTAGTCAAGAATCAGAAATATTTGAAATATCATCAAATGCTTTTGAAAATTGCAAAATATCCAATATATTCATCCCATCATCACTTAAAATTATAGGTGATAATGCATTCAAATCGTGTACTTCTTTAAATAATATTACTTTTGCAGATAATAGTGTTTTGGAAAGTATTGGAGAGCACGCTTTTGAATCCTTGTCTATTATTCACATTAATATCCCATCATCAGTCAGATTTATTGGTGCATATGCATTTTATAAATGCAACATATTAACAGAAATATCACTTTCAGAAGACAGCCAATTAGAATCAATTGCAGATCATTCATTCGAATCTCTTCCAATTATATCATTTTTAATACCTTCACATGTTAGAAGTATTGGTGAATATGCCTTTAATAAATGCAATTCACTAAGAAGTATTACATTAGCTGAAAATGGAGTTTTGGTGAATATTGGTAGTCATGCATTCGAAGCCATACCAATTGTTTCTATTTCCATTCCATCATCAGTTAGGGTAATTGGCCCTTATGCCTTTTATAAATGCAATAAATTAACTGATATTCAATTTTCAAATGAGAGTAATTTAGAAGAGCTCGGCGATTATTCTTTTGAAGCATCATCTCTTAGATCTATTGTTATTCCTTCATCTGTTACAGTTATTGGAAATAACGCATTTTCAAAATGTTCCTCATTAACATCAGTTATTTTCAATTCCAATAGCCATATTTTGAAATTACTCTCAAATTCGTTTATTTTAACTAAAATTTCAATAATTTCCTTTCCATCTTCTTTAGTTTTTATTGGGGATAATGCTTTCAAATCAGTCAAATTATCAAAAATTGAATTCGCAGGAAATTCTAGCTTACAATATATTGGAAGCTATGCATTTTACGAAACATCTATTAATTCTCTTAAAATTCCATCTTCAGTAGAATTTATTGGTGAATTAGCTTTTGGAAATGTCATTGCAGATGATATAACGTTGTCTAATACCTCCAATTTAACTGAAATTGGTTATAAAGCTTTTTGTTCAATCAATGCCAGCTCTGTTATACTATCAAATGTGATAAAAATTGGTGAAGAGGAATTTTTCAAAGTAATAATAGGATCCATTTGTATTCCATCTACTGTAGAGATCATAGAAAAAAATGCATTCGGTTCATCTACAATTGAGACAATCACTTTCCAAAATAATTCTCAATTGCGATCAATTGCTTCATCCGCATTTTATCAAGTTATAATGAAGTCTATTTCAATTCCAGCTTCAGTTGAATTCATTGGAGACAATGCGTTTTCTTCATCAAAATTAGAAAAGGTATTTTTCGAAAAGGATTCCAATTAAACTGAACTTGGAATAGATACGTTTTCCTTTTGCTTGAATTTATATATATTCAATTTTCCGGAAAATTCAAAATTGTCAATTATTCCAGAAGGTAGTTTACAAGATACTAAATTATCTACAATTAGAATCCCTTCATCTATTGTTAAAATTGGAAAAAGCAGTTTTAAATATTGCACAAAACTCAGCAATATTATAATTTTAGATAATTCACAGTTGAAAATTATTGAAGAATCTGCATTTGAACACTGTAATATTACAAATTTCAGTTTCCCTCACTCTTTATCTGAAATACATGATTTAGCATTCTTATCTTGCAGCATTCTTGAAACAATAGAATTTGATCAAAATTGTCAATTAATAAAATTTAGTCCGAATGCATTTATTAACACCAAAATTCTTCATATTGTTATCCCTTCATCTGTACTTATTCTAAATAATAATCAGGAGCTTATTTATTATTACAAATATTATCATTTCTCTAACTTGAGCTTTTCAGACAATAGTCAGCTTCAAATAATTGGGAACTATTCATTCTATAAATGTATAAATGAATCGTTTGTTATTCCATTGTCTGTAACGAAAATTGAAGAATTTGCATTTTCGGAATCAAATATATCATCAATTGCAATATCATCATCTGTCACAAAAATTAGTAACAATGCATTTTTCAAATGTGGTAATTTAAAAAATATTTCATTTCATGTAAATTGTCTAATTGAAATAATTGAAAAAGATTGCTTTACAGGGACATCAATATCTGAATTAAGAATTCCTAAAAATATGAAATCTTTCACGCCTCTAATGTTTAATAATACATATGAAATCAATTTTAAGATTGACACAGAAAATGAATACATAATAATTGTAGATTCCATCATATATTCTAAAGATTTTAAAGAAATTTTCTATTTTCCAGCGTTCAAAGAAGAAGTCTTCGTCAATAATATAGGGTGTCCAAAGGTGTGTTTAGCACAAACCTGAATACTGCGAATAGAAATAAACAAGTTACATATATATAAAGTTTATTTAAATATAATCACCATTGGATTCAATCACGCGTTCGCAGCGATCGATCCAGGCTTGAAAGACACGCTTTAAATCATCATGAGAAAATTGCTCAAATTGCTCTCTTACAAAATTTTCAAGATCATCTGGACTCGCGAATTCGCGTCCTTCAGCTCTCTTTTTTAGCGTGCCGAATAAATAAAAGTCAGAGGGTGCAATATCAGGTGAATAAATTGGGTTTGGAACAACTTTGACATTGTTTTCCACCAAGTAATTCATTACCTTATGACTTTTGTGAACTCTTGAATTATCAAAATGAATTGCAAACTTTTGTTTTTGTTGTTTGGATTTCTCAAACTCATCAGAATTGATAATTTGAGTAAGAACATTGTCAATTAGATACTGAGCATTCATCGTATTAGGTTTTTGAAGAATATCAATTGCGATGATGCCATTCACGCCCCAAAAAACCGACAACATCATCATTGGTGTGTCAATTTTTTTCTTCGGGAATGTTTGCGGATTTTCATCCTTCGGGATCCACATGATTTTGGCTTCTGTTGCATATTGAAACCAAGACTCGTCCCCTGTTACTAAAAAGCGAAACTTCTTGGATTGATACGCACCCAATATAGAGAGGAGCTCTTTCGAAGATTGGACTCTAGATTTTTTTTGAACTGAATTAAGGTTGTGCGGAACCCAACGTGTATACGCTAGTTTGTAGTTCAAATAATTGTGCAGATAATAACTGACTGTTGTACGTGGTATCTTTGTCATCTCCTCTATCCTTCTGAGTGATGCTCTTGGGTCTTCATCTAGCACTTGAAGAATTGCTTTGATTTTTCTTTGATCCGGCGATTTTTTGTCAATTTTTATGATGGGCGCCTTTTTGTTCATGAAGTGATACATCCTAACATGATACGTTACAGTGGAATAGCTAGGAGCATCCATACCGAAGCATTTTACCAATGTCTCGTAGATTTTTTTACAGTCTTTGCATTTTTTTGCAAGAGCGAGGATGTTTTCTTTATGATTCATTAAAAAATGAAAAAAATCCCGCCAAAATTTCCCGCGAAACCGCCTCTTGTCTCAAAATTCATTTTATATCCCGGCATGGCGCCAAAATACAACATACTCATCATATACATATATTCATATTTTTTATTATATATTTATAATCAGCATATATCTCCTTTAATAGTCTCATATAGAGCGCTGTGCTAAACGCACCTTTGGACACCCTATAGTATTGAAATTATTGGTGAATATTCATATTGTGGATGTAAAATGACAAGCATAACGATCCCATCTACAGTTTCTGTCATTAAACAGAATGCTTTCGCAAACTGTACTTCCTTACAAACAGTTGAATTTATGTCTGCATCAAAACTATCAACAATCGAAGCTTATGCATTCTGGAATACAGAAGTTTTTGAAATATTTCTTCCAGATTCTGTAACATTTTTTGATTCGCAGGCGTTTGAAAATACAACGTCAATTTATTTGTCAGATAACAGTGAATTTCCCAACATTGATTTTTATACGAATTCTTCTAGAAAGGTTTTTATTCCAAAGTCTATCGTTAATATCCCTGATTATAAATTTCGCAATTCAAAAAATATTTCACATGTTGAATTTTCATATATTCATTTTCAGGATCAGGAATTGAAAATGTTTCAATTCCAAGATCCGTCGAAGTCATTTCATCATTAGCATTTTACAAATGTACCAACCTAACAAAACTATCTTTTGATAGAGATTGTGAATTAAAAATAATAGGATCTGACGCCTTCGCCCATACTAATATTGAAAACATTGAAGTTCAGGTGAAAAATTCATTTATTCCATCATTAAATAATGTAACTTTTATTGACGGAGTTTCAACTCCATATTTAAATAGACACATCTTTTATGGAAGTAAAATTAACTATTTAACTATTCACTCTTTATTCCAAAATGTAGAATTCAGTGCTTTTGGCTCATGCAATATCTTGAATTTCATTACCAAGGAATTTTTAATTTTAAATGATAAACCTCTAGAATTAAATGGGAAATTTCCTCATAATTTAACAATATCTAGTAATATAAGTAATATTAAATTCCCTGATAGTATTGATTCTCTTGAACACGAGTTATCATTATTTTTTGAAGGATCAGATGTTAACTTAGAAAGCACTCTATATTATCAATACAAATTTAATTTCTCGCAAAGATTCAGATTTCACAATAATTTTTTCTTGAATTTTGACTTGTTTACAATCTTTATATTCGAGAGGAATAGAAGTTTAGAAGGTGTGATTAATCACAAATATATAATACGAATATGTAAAAATGTTTTATTCATGAAACTGATTGTGAGTTAAGACTGATAATGGCAAGTGACAGATGGATAGGATGAGATTTATAATATATAAAGTCATTTACTGTTTCAGGCATCAAGAGAGGAATGGTGCTGTTTTCAATAGAGATGTATTCAAGAACTTCAATTGTTGTTTTATCATAAATTCCTTTTTTGTTATCATAATGAACATATGTTGAATTTTCACCAAACAAATATTTAGTTGTATTTGATAAAATTGTTCGACTTGTTACATATAAATGACTTTTGCGTTTAACCATACAATAGACATACGTCACAAATCTTCTAGGAATGGAAATATTTATAGGATGATTAATATAGCATATAAAAACATTAATAGAACTTTTATCATCTGGACAGTTTAGAAATGTAATATTTGTTATGTTTTCGGTACCTTCCATTACATAATCTCCAATATCATATTTATTACCTGGAATTGTGAAACTCGTTAATGATGTGCAACCAGTAAATGCTTCTCTTCCAATATATTGTAAACTTCCTGAAATTGTGAGACTTGTTAATGATATGCAACTACTAAATGCATATTGTCCAATATATGCTAGATTACATGTAATTTTGGCACTTGTTAATGATATGCAACCACCAAATGCCGCTTCTCCAATATATGTTAAACTTCCTGGAATTGTGATACTTTTTAATGAAAGGCAGAGATAAAATGCCGAATTTCCAATATATGTGAAACTACCTGTGATTGCCGCATATGTTAAGTTTGTGCATTCATAAAATGCAAGTTTCCCAATATATGTTAAACTTCCTGGAATAGTGATAGTTGTTAGATTTATCGTTTTATAAAATGCTTTATCTCCAATATATGAAACACTTCCGAGAAGAGTCACATTAATTAGACCGGATTCATAAAATGAATAATTACTAATATATAGATCAATTCCAAATATTGTGATATTTGTTAAATGACATTCACTAAATGCATAATCTCCAATATATGTTAAATTTCCTGGGAATGTGATACTTTGGATTGAACTTCTATAAAATGCTTTGTCTCCAACATATGTCATATTCTCTGGAAATGTAATATTTGTTAATTTACAACCACCAAATGTTCCATTTCCAATATATGTTAAATTTTTTGGAAAAGTGGTGTTTGTTAATGTGCAACCATAAAATGCGCCATCTCCAATATATGTTAAACATTCTGGTAAATTTATTGATTTTAATGCACAATCAGAAAAGCACCCATCTCCTATACTTGTAATATAGGGTGTCCAAAGGTGTGTTTAGCACAAACCTGAATACTGCGAATAGAAATAAACAAGTTACATATATATAAAGTTTATTTAAATATAATCACCATTGGATTCAATCACGCGTTCGCAGCGATCGATCCAGGCTTGAAAGACACGCTTTAAATCATCATGAGAAAATTGCTCAAATTGCTCTCTTACAAAATTTTCAAGATCATCTGGACTCGCGAATTCGCGTCCTTCAGCTCTCTTTTTTAGCGTGCCGAATAAATAAAAGTCAGAGGGTGCAATATCAGGTGAATAAATTGGGTTTGGAACAACTTTGACATTGTTTTCCACCAAGTAATTCATTACCTTATGACTTTTGTGAACTCTTGAATGAGTATATAAGAATTTCCGAAAAAGTGACACCCAAAAAGTGACACTTTCAATAGGGAGTAACACTTAAAAAGTGACAATTTAAAATTCACAATAAATAAAAATAATAAATTTTTTAGTCTATTAAATTATTCTTTTCTTTGAAATCCTCTAAAAATTCTTCGAAATGTTCTAAAATATAATCTGGAGAATTATAACAAAATTCATTAATTTCTAACATATACGTATCTAACAATTCATTTGGAATTTCAAACGATCTTAAATATGTAATTGAATTTTGTATCTTCTCATTTATTTGAGAAAGTTTTTCTTCAGCATTTTCCAATAAAAATCTTAATGGATTCAAATTGGCTTCTTGATTCTGAACAAAATTTAATACTTGGTATAAACGTGATTGAACTTCTCTTTTCAATTTTGTTTTATAATCTGTCAATCGAGGCTCGCGAATTCTAATTGAAGGAATAAAACCTGTTTGAAGTAAATCGTTTTTAATACGATAAAAGTAATTGGGTGCAACTTCTTCTAAAAGATTTTTGACAAAAACATCAATTCTTTGATTTTTAACGCAGCCAAAATCGTGATATTTTATCTTTTTAAATAAAGATTCAGAAACGTTATTCACAACGGTTAATTCATTTGGTCTGGCAGCGGCTATCCACATCATAGCCAACAATTCCTTATACAAAATTCAAAAAATTGGTGCAATCAGAACTGATTGCACCCAAGTTTTTGAACTTTCTTGAGGGAATTAAAGGGTGAGAGATTTATAGTCTATCTATATATCTCCCACCCTCTAATTCCCTCCCTGACAGCGGGAAACTTTGTCTGAATGTTAAACTATTCAGACAAAGTTTCCCACTGTTTGCGAAGGAATTGTTGGCTATGATGTACTGATCATGAATCAGTACATCATAGCCAACAATTCCTTATATAAAGTTCAAAAAACTTGGGTGCAATCAGTTCTGATTGCACCCAAGTTTTTGAACTTTCTTGAGGAATGGAAGAGTAAGAGGTATACATTATGAATATATACCTCTTACCCTTCCATTCCCTCTCTGACAGCGGGAAACTTTGTCTGAATGTTAAACTATTCAGACAAAGTTTCCCGCTGTCAGCGAAAGAATTGTTCCATCTGGTGCATAGAGTGTGAATCTATGCACCAAATGGAGCAAGTCCCTCGCGAAATTGCCCAAACTTGCGTCGCATTTCAAAGATTGCGACCCAAATTTTGGCGATTTCTAGTAGAGATGGATTATTTTGAGTCACTGACCTATATGCAGTGGCTCAAAGGGCTCCATCTCTACTTTGAAGCAAGGAAACTTTCCTCGAAATTTTGATAATTTGAAGAAAGTTTTCAAGCAATTAACAAAGGATTACTCGCTATGAGGTAAAAATTCTAGATTTCACCTCATAGCGAGAGCTTCCCTTTCATTGCTTGAAAACTTTCCCCAGCTTCAAAATTGGGGAAAGGGCTGTAAAGTCGACTCCGATACCAGCAGGTACCAGAGTATTTAAAAGAGAAGCCCTCGTACGAGTTTCTATGAAGACCTTCTCATTCAAGAAGATCTTAATAGAAAATCGTACGAGGCATTGAAACTCGCGTCTGGTACATGTTGGTACCAGAGTGTTTGAGATTTGAAGACTCTGGTACTAACATGTACCAGAATTTATGATGAATTTAAGATGGACCATTATAAAATGGTAGCGGTTTGTTTCAAAAAAATTTAGATGAGATTTGCATAGATATAGATTATATGATTTATACATATGAAAAATAATATATAAAAATATAATTTTGAGATAATTATGTAAATAATATTTTAAATATTTGAATTTGAGGTATAATTTTATAGTAAAATATATTATAAAGAGTATTTATATAAATATTGTAAAATAATATAAGTAATAAAAATTGAGACCCCCTCCCTGTTTTTGATGTTTTGTCACTTTTTCGGTAATTCTTATTGTTTCATATCAGGTGAATAAATTGGGTTTGGAACAACTTTGACATTGTTTTCCACCAAGTAATTCATTACCTTATGACTTTTGTGAACTCTTGAATTATCAAAATGAATTGCAAACTTTTGTTTTTGTTGTTTGGATTTCTCAAACTCATCAGAATTGATAATTTGAGTAAGAACATTGTCAATTAGATACTGAGCATTCATCGTATTAGGTTTTTGAAGAATATCAATTGCGATGATGCCATTCACGCCCCAAAAAACCGACAACATCATCATTGGTGTGTCAATTTTTTTCTTCGGGAATGTTTGCGGATTTTCATCCTTCGGGATCCACATGATTTTGGCTTCTGTTGCATATTGAAACCAAGAATCGTCCCCTGTTACTAAAAAGCGAAACTTCTTGGATTGATACGCACCCAATATAGAGAGGAGCTCTTTCGAAGATTGGACTCTAGATTTTTTTCGAACTGAATTAAGATTGTGCGGAACCCAACGTGTATACGCTAGTTTGTAGTTCAAATAATTGTGCAGATAATAACTGACTGTTGTACGTGGTATCTTTGTCATCTCCTCTATCCTTCTGAGTGATGCTCTTGGGTCTTCATCTAGCGCTTGAAGAATTGCTTTGATTTTTCTTTGATCCGGCGATTTTTTGTCAATTTTTATGATGGGCGCCTTTTTGTTCATGAAGTGATACATCCTAACATGATACGTTACAGTGGAATAGCTAGGAGCATCCATACCGAAGCATTTTACCAATGTCTCGTAGATTTTTTTACAGTCTTTGCATTTTTTTGCAAGAGCGAGGATGTTTTCTTTATGATTCATTAAAAAAATGAAAAAAATCCCGCCAAAATTTCCCGCGAAACCGCCTCTTGTCTCAAAATTCATTTTATATCCCGGCATGGCGCCAAAATACAACATACTCATCATATACATATATTCATATTTTTTATTATATATTTATAATCAGCATATATCTCCTTTAATAGTCTCATATAGAGCGCTGTGCTAAACGCACCTTTGGACACCCTATATTTTTAGGAAGTTTAACTATTTCTAATTTTTTACAAGAAAGAAACAAACTTCCAGAGAGATATGTGAGATTATTACAATTACTGAGATCTGCTGATTCAATGGCAGAAGAGGCAAAGCTCATATCACCAATATAAACAAGTCTACTGTTTTCTTCAAAACTAACTGATGTGAGATCATTACAACAATAAAATGCAAACCAAAAACCATCATCATTAGTTATCTCTTTGACAGTTTTAGGGATAACAATATCACCACTTGATCCATAGCATCCAATAAGAATTTCATCATTACTGTCTTCTCGATATTGAAAATTATTAGTACATTTACTTTCCGAAAGTAGAAAATAAAACAACGCCAAATAATATTATCATTTTGATTTATTTAATTTTTTTTAAAATGAAGTTGCAGTAAAAATTTGATATTTAGGGAAAATTTTGATTCCGATTTTGTATATTTAATGATTTTTAGATTAATAATTTTTCTTTAGAAAAAAGAGTTTTAGTGTAAGAAAATTTTGTGAATTGAAGAAGAAATAAAAAAAAAGAAATTATGAGTAAATTTGTTTTGAAATTCATTGGTCAAGGGTCTCATTTAAGTTTTTTCCCTTATCTTTGAAATAATCTGATTTTTTGATTTGAAATAATTGATTTTGTTACAAATGAAATTTATCCTAACGTAACCCTAGCAGCACACAAGTTAGCAAAGTTCTTATTTTTCATCTTGATACCAGTTAGCCATAAGAAATGCTGGATTTTAAGGGTGCACCTGTATGTACGTTTATTTGAGAGGAGGAGGATTACCCTCTCAATTTTGAGGGATTCGTTAGTTTATTTTCTCGATGAATATGCAATAAAATTTGATTTTTACCTTATCAATATACTTCATATAATATACACATGTTCATGTAAAAACTTTTTTCCAAAATCCTCAGGAATTAAGGGATTTTTGAATTTTAAGAATTTTTTTCGAATTTTTTCGAAAAAAAAATATTTTCAGAACAGCCTTAACGGCTAAGATTTAGGAACAATGTTAAGTATCAAAAAGAAAGGAGGTCTGATATAGACAACATATATCGTTGAAGGTTGAAAAAAATCTCTAATATTTGAGCCCAAAATTTCAAATTTTAATTTTTTGAAAAAAGAGGCCACCCGTATGTACGTTTATTTGAGAGGAGGAGAATTATATTTTTGAAAGGGTGAAACATTATGAATATGTTAATTATATAATAATATGTATTATTATAAAAAAGAAAAAATAATGCACGTTAAAATTTTTCTTTCTTGATTTTTTACAAAATCTACTTAGAATTATGCAAAATATGACTAAATAATTATAAATTTCAAGTTAAATTTTAATTTTGATAAATAATTTAAATTTCAAAATATCAAGTTCAGTTCGACTATGTATGTAGTAATTCCTCAATAAAGTGCCAAAAACCCTATTAAAATATATGAACATTTTCAACATTTTAATGTTTTTATTTAAAAATTTGATGGAATATGAGCTTCAAACAATTATTATGTAAATAAAAATAATTAAATATATGTATTTATTCGTATTACAACCGTAGTAAGTCGATTCTTCCTTTCTTCTACTGAGTTTTGAATTTGATTTCGAATTGTAAAGAGATTCAAAGGGAAAATACTAGCGGAGAAAAACTACCTCCATGAAAGGGTCATAATGGACTCAAGTTGTATTTTTTGATATTTTTTGCTTTTCGAGCCTAAATAGGTAGCCAAGATAATGCCTAAAAATAAGGTTCTAAATTCTGAAGTTTACATGATCCTCTCGTGTGCACCCTTAATTCGAATATCGAACGATCAAAAATTAAGAATGATTCAATCAATTACAGAAGTATGACAAAATACTTGAAGAATTTTCAAATGTTAGCATCTTTAAACTATAAGCAATTCAATTTTTGAGGTGGCTCTTTGAAAACAATGCAAGTATTGAATAATCTCAGAACGTATATTTCAAAGTCTAAAAGATCCTAGATTGTTTTATTAAGTTTTTCTGTTTATATTTTGAATAATCACAAATTTGAAGGTTCCATCGAAAAAGTGACATTCTAATAATATTTTGATAAAGTATACTCAAGAGTAATATTTTGCGATTTTAGGAACTGTGAATGAAGTTTTTAATTTGGAAAAAAAATGTACAAAGAATCAACTCATTGGATTTCCAAATAAATTGCGAATATTTTATCAGTATATGTACAGTAATTCTTCTATGAGTTTACTTGGAAATCTATAACGTATTTATGGAATTCTAAATTATTTGAAATTTATTCTTTAATTTTATAATAAAGATACTATACTAAGAACGGGAATTGTTAATAAACAAAGGTAATCCCACGAAAAGTGACACCCTTCTTCTTTTTTCCTAGGGTTGCTGATCGCTTCTTTTCTGCTCGTTATGGCAGAGATGAAAGAAATGATTGGTGGAGTCTAATTTATTACTACAATTAGCAACTATCTTGTAGAGTATTCTTAGTTGTATTGTCAGTTATTCTCCAGCATTATGCAATTTAAAATCAACTTCGTTAATTTTAATTATATTGCAACTGTACTCCTATATGGAGATGACATCAAGATTGCGCCTGCCAAAACCCCATATTAAAAATCGAAATTTTGCATCTCGAAAATGCAACGACAGAATTCCTCGTAATTTTGAGTTCTTACGTCGCTTATGATATATATTCAAATAACCTGAATATAGAAAAAGTTACTAAAATTTGAGAAAATTATTGCAATAAGAAAAAAAAGTCGGCTTTTAGATATAAATTACTTATAAATTACGATGACCTCTATAATGAGTGCACAGTACCGAATATAATTGTTTGATATTTCTGATTTTAATTTTATACATTTTGATTGGAATAGTCGTAACTCAAATATAGACGATAGTTACTACATTTATGCGAATATAGTGCGTTTCCATTCATCTATTTAATTGTTGTTGTTGAAATAAAAACTTTATTATTTTACTATCTTAAAATAAGAATTTTGTTATGGAAATAATATTTCCAACAGCAATCATGGCATTGCATCAACTATAGAATGAGTTTTTATCAAAAATGATATCAAAATCAAAAATCAGATGTTTTTTATGAGTAAAAACGATTTCATTTGATGATTTGATTAATTATACAATACTTTGATTTTCCAAATTTTTTTCAAAATTGATTTTTTGAAGAGAAAAATCAGATTTTTGATTTTCATTTTTGAATTTTTGAAATTTTTTTGGAATTTGGAGTTGATCAATTAAGCAGAATGAGTAATGCGAATGCTTTTTACATCTCACAGAGTGATGAGTTAAAGGTGAATTTTAAAAAATTATTTTAAATCACAAATATCTTTCTTATTATCCTTTATTCTAAAAAGAATAGTACTTAGCATTGATAAAGCATGATCTGTATTAGTAAAATACTTGAATGAAAAGTGTAAACGTAAAGTTTTTATTCATTTTTATATTAGATCTAAACAAAAAACTGCATCATATTAATATTCTAGTCGAGAGATGAGATTTTGTTCGTTTTTGTTAGCATTCAGTAGACATTGTAATCTTGAATTTTATATATTACTTGAAATTATTAACAAACGTGATGTTTTGCTTCGATTTATGATTATTTTTATTAAAGTATCTCGACATGTATCTTGAACAAGATCGTTTCTTGAAGAACTCCAAGATTTTTAAGAGACTTCTTACGAAATTTGATAGATGATAAGAACCACCATTTACGCAAAATGGTTTATTGAATATAAAATAATTCTGTAGTGATCCATTTTCATTATACTATTTTCAGTCAAATCCTCAAAAGTAACAATTCAAATCTATTATTTACCTGATAAACCGGATATTACATAATAAACTATAATCATGTAAGCTGGGAATATTATGGTTTTATTCAAAAGCTCCAATTATACTTAAATTTGAAATACATATAATGAATATTGATATTTACTTATATTTGAAATTAAATTTGATATATAAATCATAACATGATAATTAATTGATAAAAATTATTGAAATTAAAACGTAATTCACAAATCTTTTTATTCTTTAAGTAACTTTTCAAACTAAGATCATATCATTCATATTTGGGGCCTACTGATTCTGTTTATCTTATTTATTTTGAAATCTGTCGTTTCGATCTTCGTGGGATAACCTTTTAATAAACATTCAAATTTGTTTCTCTCTGAAAAATTTGAAAAAAAGCACCCTTAATTAGAAATCTACTACTATTTCATACAAAAGATAAGATAGATTTGATTTCACTTTAAAAAAAGTGGTTTTTTGATAATAAAAAAAATCGCAATAGGATTCCTTATGTTTAGTTTATTTGTCTTCGTACTGGTCAGCGAGCTTCATCTGTTTAGCTATTGGAGAGATAACAGATATTGCCCAGTGAAGAGAACTCGACTCTAACTCGTACAAAGAGCAAAATCTGGCGAGTCTGTCGTTGTTTGCAGAAGCGAAATCGAGTCCTTTCACTCTCATGATTCTCCTTCCGATGTCTGTTGCGAAGTGGATGTTCTCCTGCTCGATGATCGCGATGATTGCACCGGCAATGAACATCACGCCTTCGCCGTAGACCTGGAGTGGGCTCAGAGATGATCCCATCTTGTTGTCGACGCAGTTGATACAGAAGACAAACTCAAGGACAGACCAGGCTCTGGCGAAACCTGTCAATGTTTCGAACATCAAGTAATTTATGGCTCTTTCATCGAAGATTCCTGTTTTCTCAGATGTGTCGTAGATCTGACGGATCAATGCTGATATGAAAGGAGGATGGACGTCTTTTCCGGTGACTCTTTCGTCCAATCTCTTGATCGCATCAGATGCAACAGATCCTTCAGGAAGGAAATTGAAGATTTCGTCATTGTACTCCTTGCCATCGATGGATGATCCTCTCAAGAAGCCAGCAATGTGCATTTTTGTCAATTTCTTGACTGCAATTGAGATATCCAACATCGAGGCAATGGACATGATGTTGCCGAGAGCTTTCATGGCCTTGAAAAGCTTCTCAATCTCTGTATCTTCGGCGAAGAAACGATATGCACCTTCGAATCTGTCGAAAACTAATGTGCTTGGGGTATTCATCGGTTCATCCTTGAATCTCTGTAATTTCGGAGCTTGTTTGTTGTAAAGTTCGACGAATCTTTCAATCTTTTTGCTGAAATCTGCTTGGATGTCTTTAAGGAGCTGAGCAATTGTACCAGAGTCCAAGAGCCTGATGATAACAGAGAAGTGCTCGTTAGTAATGACAGAGAATGTTGGCAAAAGTGCATCTCTGAGGATTTTACCGAGATTACCTTTACCGAATGAAGCTGAACCTGGAACGCCTGGGTTATCTGGGAAGAATCTCGTTGGATTCGATCTCATGTAGCATTTATATGCGATGTTGTGGCAAATATCTTCTTTGAGACCTTCCATTAATCTCGTGTGGAAGCTAGATGGTACTGAAATGCCGAGAGCGGACTTAACCATGAGCTCGAAAGGCATTAACGTCAATCCTGCCTCGCATAATAATCTTCTTGTATCATTGAGAATGTCCAAAGTCTTAGTAACTGCTATACCAGAGGCTATACCGTATTTATCGAATAATCCAACAGTCGATTCGACGGAATCGCACATGTAGCCATCGACAACTTTTGTAATCAAAGAGCGTAAATCGAGATTCTGTCCGTGCAAGTAGTAGGAGTTCTGCTGAATCATAGTAATAAGACGGTAAGATCTGTTTTGCGGCCACTGATCTGGATCGACTGTTTTCTTGAGTCCTTCCTGGATATTGTCTGGGATGTATTTCATCGTGGCGTAGCTTCTGAAGGCATTGAAGGTGAAATCGGAGATCAACGTTGTTAATGTCGAAAGGCAAATTGTTGCTTCTCCCATAATTTCATCCATAAGCATCTTGGAAGCAAGTTTCGTGCGCGCTCTGTTGGCGGCATCATCGTAGATGGCCAGTGGATAGAAGATTAACTCGGCATTTTCTGGAACGACTTTTCCGTGCTGGTCCTTCTCTGTTCCGTAAGATTTACGTGCGGAAAGGGCGTATTCGCAAAGAACGAATGGAAGAGAAGCTCTGATTGGGAAAGCTGTGACGTTGTTGATATCGAGTTGAACTTCTCTGAAGTAAAGGTCGGATTGGTCACCAACATCGATAAGAACTTCATCGAACAAGAGAATTGACTCGAAATTCTCTGATGCGTTCAAGAAATTGTTAATTGCTGCGATATCGTCGCTGCCAAGGCCTCTATCCTTTGGCTTTACTGGTCTGAGCAACTCATTTCCTTCGTTGATCATGTGGGAAACTTGAATTCTGATGAATTCGATCGTTGCTGGTGGAGTTGGAGCCAATTTATCGAGAATTGTATGGTCCTTGAAGTTCTTTATGTTGGACTGACCAGTTCTCTCTTCACCTCTCATCCAATCTCCTGTTAATTCTCGAAGTGGGCTGATAATTGCTTCAACTTGGTCCTTCATCTTCTTGCAACGAATGAGAATCTTCTCAAGCTCGTTCTTGATGAAGTTCTGGACGGTTCTGTTGATGTGGAGAGTGACCAATCTTGTAATTGTGGCAAAGTGGTCACGAAGAAGGTCGTGGGCTGATCTCCAGAGGGAAATGATGTGGAGAACAGTCTTGAGGTCGGCGTTGGAGAAGCCAATACGAACAGATCTTTCGAATGGAGATTTGATTGTTGGGTTGTCCGGAGGATAGAGGAGCTTTTGGATAAGGAGTTCGCGGACTGCATTCTTTGTGCGGCCAATCAGCTGGATGCAGTGTAAGATTTCGTCGTAAATTTGGGAAACATCGAGATCTCCTTGGTTAGCAAGGGTAATGTGGGCAGGGAAAGTAATAAGGAAGTTATGAAGCTCGCTTTGAAGCTGGTCGTAGTTGTAGTTTGCTTTCGTTGGCTTCAAATTCGGGAAAGCGTTTGATTTACGAACAAGATCTGTAAATGTCGAGGCGATTTCGATTGTAAGAGGAATAACTGGGTGAGCCATAGCCTGGTTCAATAAGAAATCTTTGACATTTGAATCTGATTTCTGATCTGGAGTGAAAAATCTGATCATGAAGAGGGAAGTACGAAGATATGCGTATAAATCTTCTGGAACGACATATTTCTTCTTCTCGATGAAATCAATCAAAACTGGCATAACAATGTGAAAAACCTTGGATCTGAGTGCCTCTGGGATCTCCTTAGTGCCGTCAAGGAGCTCGTTTTCGATTGAGTTTTCAGCAGAAATCCATTGCTTTAATTGGATGTATTCGTTCTGATTTTGATTTCCTTTTCCGGAAAATGCGTAGCTCATGAGGTTGGAAAAGTCGTTTGCAAGAGATGGCTTGATAAGATGCATTTCATCGAGTGTTGCAAGACGATAGAACAATCTGCAGATTGCGTGGATCAGATTGGCACTGTATTGGCCATTAGACCAGACGCCATTATCAGAGAAGAGTCTGATTAAGTGGCTGACAGTATCCGAAGCAAAAGTTTTGCAGTCATTTAACAAAATGTAAAGTTCGGTGAATAAAGGTTCAGTTGCTTTACGAACTGCTGCTTGTCTTGCTTGACGCTCTTCTGCTTGTTGCGGTGTTTCATTATCTGGAATTACTTCTGATCTATCGACTGAAGGAAGGAGTGCTTTTGTAATAGATCTGCGTGCATAAAGGTCGTAGATGAAATGATCGGCTGCTTTAATGCAATCATCAAATAACTGAATTGTATTGATTTCTCTTGATGCAGTTAAATGGGTTTTTGCGAATAATGCGTGGTGGAAATATGACATATTCGTGTAGTGGATGAAAGTTGACGCTGGTGATGATATCTCAACGTCTTCCACAATTGGTGGCTTTTCGATGTTATTCCACTCGTCAATCCCAGATTGAGTAGGAAAGACAATGGATTTGATTGTCATTTGATTTTTTTTTACCTCAATTTTGACATTAATTATAATAACACCATACAAAAGTTGCTCATTAGAGTATATATACTTATGTTATCAATAAATTACGTGATTTCGAATCGTTTTCCGAATTTCAATTCATTTAGGAATGAATTTTCTGGTATTTGTTACAGTAATTATCGTCTGTACACTATTCTATGACTATTTGTTAGAAAAGAATTCCTGACTCGTTATTCACTTCTGATGATCCAACAAAAAATCCGAATTCTCAGAAAAATTGAATGAAATTGTATTAATCGACGCATAAATTATTAAACAAAATAAAAAGTCTCGGCTTTTGATTGATCAAAATAATAACAATAAAATTTACAAATATCAAAAACAAAGCGAATATAACTGAAATTGAAGATTAATAACGTCTGCATTTTCTTCGGTTAACATCTTCAAGTCTGTCTTTCATATCAATAACTGATTCCTTTAACTCCTTCACCTGACGAATCATATTCCTTTCATAGCAACACTTTTTATACCTGTGATCTTTGAATGAACAAGAGGAATCGTCATTGTACGCGTGTGTATTCGAAACCTTTTGGACTTTCTTTTCTGTTAAACACATTCCAAGTAGGAAATCTATTTCTTGAACTATGTTAATTTCTGCTGGTGAACCCTGAAGCCAAAATCGAATCCGACTTAAGCAGCGTTGAATGTCAGGATCATTGTCAAATCTGTCCCCGAATGAAGCAAATGTATCGACTAAATTTGAAACAAGATTTTCAAGATTTGAAGCTTGTTTACTTCTCTGATTGTAGATATCTATCTGTTCCATTGCATGCTTTAAGTTCACCTTTTTTGTTTGGTTTGTGCAAAGTTTTGCTAATAATGTATTGTAATCGACCTCTACTTGCTTCTTTTGATTACTTAATTCCTCTATAGTGTTTTTATATTCTTTTTCGGCATCAATCTGCTGATATAGATATTGAGTTACAGTTTTAAGAGAAGCATCATTCATATTTGTTTTTGGAAGTAATTGCAAGATTTGTTGAATCTCACTAGAATCAACCTTCTTTTTATTATCGAGAGAGACATTATTAATGATTGTATTAACTTGATAGGTACGATTTATTGAATTTAAGTCTGAAGAAACATCAATTCCAAGGGATCTGAAGTCACGCACAATTGATTCATAGGTTTCTCCATAATGGTTAACAAATCTAAGTAGTTTTTGTGTTGCAGATTTAAATTTTTTGATAATAATTTCTTGAGAAGAAATTAATGATATAGAATTAAAACATACTGAAGATAATCGATCTCTATCATTCATGAGCTTGTTAATTTCCTTACTATTTTGTTCAATCAGTTGATCGAAACCAAGTAAAACTTCGGTAACTTTTGTTTGAGGAATCATTTTAACAGTTTCTTGTGGCTTTTGAGGCGGAACAACTCTAGTTGCTTGTAATAATTTATTTTCTTCTTCTAAAAGCTGATTTTTTAATGTTAAATCGGAAACTTGCTTCTTTAATGCTTTAATTTTTGCATGCTCTTGTGCAGCTTTAGCTTTCACGCGATCTAATTCAAGTCTCATTGGATCTGTTTCATCACTTGCGGTCGTAGAATTTACTGAAAAGAATTCACTCATATTTCTTCTTGCACTTTTTTATATTGTACGTTAAGGAAATTCCATCTCTCAGTGATAAAGTAGATTTGTAATCAATGAGGAAACACACATCTACTCAGATGATATTATCAAAAAAAAAAAAAAAAAAAAAAAAAAAAAAAAAAAAAAGGTAGTGGGGCTTCCAGGCACTTCGTGCCTTCTAGCCCTGAAGATGTTTAGTATAAATGAAGTTTTTATTCGGAAAATTGTTAGTCTTCTGGGTCGAAAACATTATATAATGTGTCGCTTTTCACAAATTATATATGTTTTCATGTTTTGTCACTTTTCTGTCACTTTTCAGGTAAAAACATTTTTATTATTATATATAAATGAATTTTACAAAACCACCGTTACCGTTCTTTGGAAATAAGGGTAAATGTAAAGATATTATATTGAGAGAACTTAAGAAACTACCGAATGGTCTAACATTTGTAGATTTGTTCGGTGGAAGTTTCTATATATCCCATTTGTGCCATATAATATTCCCAGACTCAAAGATTATATGCAATGACTTCGACAACTATATGAACCGTCTCAAACATATTCCAGACACAAACAATATATTGAAAGAGTTAAAAGAAAAGATACCTATAGGTAAGATGGAACGTAACCATTAGATAAGAAAAATATTGTGAGAGAGGTTTTGAAAAAAGCAGAATATATAGACTGGGATAGTATATCTGCTAGACTATTATATAGTGGTGCTATAAGAGTTCATGACATTGAAACACTTATGTCAAAAGTTTTATATCTTAACTATACAAATGTTTCAAAGAGGACATAGAAAAATATATTGAGGGTATAGAGTTTGTGAGATGTCATTGGACAGAGTTGTATGAAAAATATAAAGACAAGGAAAATGTTTTCTTTATAGTGGACCCGCCGTTCTATAACACATGGGATTTTCAATACCAAGTAGACTGGACTTTGAGAGACTCTTTAGAAACTTTAGACGTTTTACATAACCATCTGCTTTTACTTTACATCCGATAAAAGTGGTTTGGAAAGTGTCATGAGATGGTTAGAGGACATACATGACTATGAGTTTAGATACGATAAGATAGAATATGAGAGAGGTCCTATAAACTGGAGAAAGTGTCATAACAAAGAAATTTTACTAGTAAGTAAATGTGGTTTGAAATAGGACTACTTGTTTTAGGTTTTTTCCATTGTGTCATTTATTATTTGACGTGGCAGAAAGATATAGAGAATATGAAGATGAACCAATGCCTGCAAATGTTCAGTATATGTACTCGTAAGAGATATTTTTATCTAATATTAAATGGACGCACAGAACTTAGCGAATGCACAGCAACCTGGACAACCAAACCCAGAGAATATTCCAAATGAAGTTAGAATACAAACTGCGATGGCAAACTATGGTCAAGTGCCAACAGATGTACAAATGCAAACTGCCATGTCAAATGACGCTGCGTTAGGTTTGCCACCATGGTATGCAAATATGAGATGGAAAGAGTTTTATACAAACCCTGAAGTGGGATATAAACAACTCTATGCAGATGACGCGAACACAGGAGTTGACCCAGAGTATGTTTTCTACCAGAGGAGAAATAGAATGTATGAGCTCCAGTTAAAGAATGCTATGGAACTCAACAGGAAACGTAAGAGACTAGGTGGACATTAGATTTTTACATATAGTAAATGGGTTTCTTCAGTAGTATTGGAAACTTCTTTCGAAATGTTGGAAGAGGTATATGGAATGGAATAAAATCTGTCGGAAGAGGAGTATGGAACGGAGTCAAAAATATTGGTAAAAGAGTAGGTCAGTTCGTTGGTATTATACCTAAAGACCCTGAACCAGAAGAACAAGCTCCTGTTATACAACAGCCTGAACCTGCACCACAGTCTAGTTGGCAACCAAATCCAACACCTCAACCGTATTAAAATCATATTTTTACCGTTCGATAGTAGTTGTATATGAAACTAAGTTCTAAGTAAAACGCGTGGTATAATGGAATTATTCTCTTTCTTCCATCTGTAGTAAACCATACTTGAAAGTCTGAAATACTTCCACTCGGTGGTTCATATAGCTTTGTAGGTTTTTTCGTAAAAGTCATTTGCCAAGCATAAAAAAGAGTTTTGTGCACCAGAAAATGAAGCATGAACGATAATAGCATCTTGGTCGAAAACATTTTCATATGTTCCATTAGGGTTTTCGACTTCATAAAAGTTCGGGTGTACTGGATATTCTGCAGGCTGATTTAACATCCTCAAAAATCTATACCATGCCAAGTTGTTATATTTTGTAGAAATATAAACGTCTTCTCCAAGGTCTTCTATTCTATTGATTTTAACAGTTGCATTTTTCCTGTCATAAACAATATCGAGATGGTACTCTCCTTCGTCAATGTTGTACTGTTTTGCATATTCGAGATAGATATCGTTTATTTTTTCTTGAAAAGCTTGAAGAGTTGTTTTCTAAGTTTACAAGCAAATTCACTTGTAAAAGTTTTTCCCTGTTCAAATTTCTCATACGTACGTTTTTCTTTGTTATAGTATCGAACTTCAAAAGCGACCGTAAATGGGAACCCATGTATGGCTTCTGAAATGAACTTCATTCTACGAAAGCCAATAGCTTTTTGTGACAGATGGTCTCTTAGCCATCTTAATGGGTAGTCAAAACGATAGCCTTCATGCTTTACGGTCTCTGTCTCAAACTTTTGACCGACATTAGTAAAAAGTTCATCTAATGGTTTAGTTGTAGCAACTCTTGAATTTTCTTTTTCTATTGAAAGCATATTTTATCTAGAATAAAAATGTCGAAAGAAACAGCGTCTATGAGAGAAATACAACACAACCGACAACTCATTTTGCAAGCTCTAAATAAGAACACAACAAACTTTTCAAACTATTCTAAGATATCTGAGTCATTGAAAGAAGGAAACTTAAAACTGACGATAAACCCAATGACAGATGAGTTTCTATTTCAAGACAATAAGAACCATACTGTTTGTATAAATCCAACAAAAGGAACTTTAAACGAGAAACCTATAAATGAACTTCTTTTGAAAACGGATGTTGACAACAAAGCTGACAAAGAATATGTCATTGAAAAAGTTCAAGAAGAACATGACAGAGCAGATGCAACATATGCAACAAAAGAACATACTCATCCTGAACTAGCGGACAAAACATATGTTGACAATAAAATGTCAAGTGAAGTGACAAGAGCTGACAAAGAATATTCTAAAAAGACTCATACACATACCATTGCAAATATTACAAACTTACAAGAAACCTTAAACAGGAAAAGTGACGTTGGACATACACATACCATTGCAAATATTACAAACTTACAAGAAACCTTAAACAGGAAAAGTGACGTTGGACATACACATACCATTGCAAATATTACAAACTTACAAGAAACCTTAAACAGGAAAAGTGACGTTGGACATACACATACCATTGCAAATATTACAAACTTACAAGAAACCTTAAACAGGAAAAGTGCCGTTGGACATACACATACATCTTCTGAAATAACAGACTTAAACGTTAGCCTTGAAAATAAAGCAGATAAAACATATGTCAATGAAATATACCAAAGTTTAGTTGGAACAAAAAATATTGAAACTATTGTTGGTGACTTTTCTGTCAATGAAGAAAATAAATATTTTAGATGGCAGTTTGTACAGTCCTTAAAAAATGGTACACGGTGTAAACTCATTCCGAAAAATAACAATGAAATGTATGTAAGCTATAAAAAGAACGATGGTACACAAGTTAAAGTTCCATTAGACAACAACTGCTACTTAAACTTCTATGGAGACGAACAAAAGAAATATTTAAGAGTTTATGAAATGGCAGATATGACATTGCCTGACCCAGCTCCAGCACCATATTATTATGACTATGGAGATGACGTTAGAACACCACATGTAGATGAACAAAAGCTAACATTATATTTAGATTTTTATAGATATAAAAGATATAATGCAATAGAAAAAACGAGAATAGTATACTATTATGAAGATGACAGAAATAAATATTATAGTCAAGACTTTACCTACCCTGAAAACATAAGATTATATTATAAAAAATATTCTAACACAAACCAGAAGAAACCTGAAATAGTTGCACTATATTTTAAGTTCAAAAGAGACAATCCTATAATATCTCATATGTTTGATTTAATGAACCCAGTAGGTTCTATTTATACATCTATGGAAGCAAGAGGTCCTCAAGTAATGTTTGGTGTTGGTGCATGGGAACAAATAGTCGACAGGTTTTTGTATTGTGCAAACTCTTCAAAGGAAACAGGTGGAAGTAAAACGATTTCAGGTGAAAATTTACCTGCACACAGTCACTACATAGATTTAAGTACATCTCAAGCAGGTTGGCATAAGCATAGATATTGGGATTGGTCAGGAATGACAAAAGGTAAAGGATATGATGTTAAAGACGACGTTAAGTTTGCTATAAATTGTTACTGGAGTGACACTCAGGGAGAAGGAAACCATACACATTTCGTTTCAGGATATACGCAAACAACCGGACAAAGTAAAGACTACATGCCACCTTACATGACAGTTTACGCATGGTATAGAATTGCTTAGTCGTCATTTTCAACTTCTTTAGCATATTCGTCTGGAGTTGTCTTATATTTGTTAGGAACTGTCTTTGAAAGTATACCACCTTGAACTTTGACAAGTTTGAAACGAGGTCTGACAATAGTAGTTTTATCTTCTGCTTGCAGTCTGTACATTTTGCCATGTTTGCCTAAAACTTCATAATATTCTCTTGTATACTTTCTTCTATTTTTACGAACACGAATGTGAGTACCTGTCGAGTTCCCATTGTTGTCATAGTCAATAGTATTTTCATATGGGTCGCGTTTAGGTATTTCTATTTTTACTTTGTCACCTTTCTTAAGTTTGAAGCCTGGCATTCTTTCTTGTTTGTCTCTTTTGACTAAACTATTAAATATATAGTCTTTCTCTAAGTCAGGGTTGTTTTTC